GCCCGTTCCTCTATAGATTGCATTACAATTTCAGCAATTGTAATTGCATTACAATTACAATTGATTGCATTACAATTACAATAGATTGCATTACAATTACAATTGATTGCACTACAATTGATTGCATTACAATTGATTGCATTACAATTGTAATTGCATTACAATTACAATTGATTGCATTACAATTACAATAGATTGCATTACAATTACAATTGATTGCATTACAATTACAATAGATTGCATTACAATTACAATTTCAGCAATTGCTGAAATTGTAATGCAATCTATAGAGGAACGGGCACTCATGACTTACAAACATGCACTACCTTTTTGGTTTCGCTACGTAGATGACACAATCACAGCACTACATGCAGACGAGATTGATGACTTCTCACATCAACAAACAGAACAGCCATACAATTTACCAAAGATGTCGAAGAAAACGGAACTCTTCCTTTTCTCGACTGTTTGGTAAAACATGACAATCAAAAACTAGGAACAACAGTTTATCGCAAGCCAACACATACTGACCGACTACTAGACCAATCATCTTACAACCCTACATCACACAAAGCCACCACAATCAGAACATTAACAAGACGTGCACAAATCATATGTGATTCACCGGACGCTCTACAAAACGAAAACAACCATCTCAAACGTGTTTTGACAAAACAACTATAACTCTGACTTTATCAAACGCAACACTTACAAACCCAACAGACCCAACGAAACGAACAACTCAGTGACAACAGCAACGATACCTTACATCAAAGGTACGTCTGAGACTATCTCGCGTATCTTACGACCATACAACATACGTGTCGCACATAAACCAATCACAACATTACGACAAGTACTAACGAACATAAAGGACAAAGAACAACCACGAACGACAAGGTGCAGTTTACAAAAATAAACTGCTCCGACTGCACGCCTCCTATATCGGGGAAACTGGCAGGAACTTAAACATAAGACTTACTGAGCACAAACGAGCTACTAAGAAACAAGACAAAACTAATCACATTGCCGAACATCACCGAATCACAAAGCACAACATTGACTGGGACTCGGCAAAATGCATCACTTACAGTACTGACTATAGACAACGGCTTACATTAGAAAGTTGGTATACCAACTTGGAACAAACCCTGAACAGATCACAGCAATTACCGGCACCTTACAAAACGACTTATTCACAATACAAACAAACGATCAACTAAAAACATTACACTTCAAACTAATTCACAATGACAATACACCATTGACCCACACACTACAACTAAAAACGTTACACCTAAATCACACATCACAACTAAAATAAAATATTTCACTTCACACTAATCCACAATGACAATACACATTTCCCTGTACACAATACAATGACGTAAGAACCAGACAACAAATACGGCTAACCTGACGTTTACTCCTCATTTGACTCTGAAGATGACTACCGCTAAGGTTGTCGAAACGTCAGTCAACAACATCAAAAACAGTCCTTCTCAGGACTTTATTAACCTGGACGATCATCATTTACAAACATATAACGATACTCCCAGGTTCAAACCATTTACTTTATTACGTATATTTATATTAGCTTTCTGCCATCACTTCAATTTCGTAGATGTAAACTAATGACGACCGTGGGCAGGCCAGACCAGGGTAAGACTGGGACGAATGTGTAGTGAGTATTTTGAAATGTGTAGCGAGAATTTTGAAATGTGTAGCGAGAATTTTGAAATGTGTAGTGAGTATTTTGAAATGTGTAGTGAGTATTTTGTAATGTGTAGTGAGTATTTTGAAATGTGTAGCGAGTATTTTGAAATGTGTAGTGAGTATTTTGAAATGTGTAGCGAGTATTTTGAAATGTGTAGCGAGTATTTTGAAATGTGTAGTATGATTTTGAGTGATGTTTTCTTATTGTTTGTTATGTTTTCTAAATTATTTTGTCGTGACCCGTACCGGCCACCGTAACTTAGGGAGTGGTCGCAAAGCATAATAAAAACACATCCATCACAGCAATATAAAAAGAGTGCTTTCAGTAAGCAAATTTACATTACATAACAAGAAATGCGAAATGAGCTTCGCAATTCTACGAAATTTGCTTCGCAATATTTCGCCAAAATCGAAATAACTTCGCAATTTGCGATTTGCGAAGCGCTAATTCGGACCTTGAAAATTATGTTATAAAATTTTGATTCATTTTGGATAGTAAATTTCTTTTCACCTTAAAATATATTCATGATTCAATCTAGAAAGTAACTTCTCTTCTCTTCTCGAGTAATTTTGCGATTAAATAGCACACTTTTCTGATTCAAAGGAATTCTTTTGATCGCATAAAGACAGCCGTCCAATTTATTACGTACCTAAGCTTATATATAGCATTTCCAAATCACGTAGAAAATTGTTCGTGATTTGGAAATGTTTTACGCTAAACGAAAATTGTTCACATTTTTTTTCTACCTGTGAATGAACGTGAAATAATCCTTCTACAATATCACGGAGAATCCGCCATATTCTATGTTGGTCATTGCATTATCACTCGTCAATAGCATTCCTCTTCTCACAATGGTTTATCTGTATATAGAAAGTTTGCAGAGTACACTTTGAATCTTCTTGAATATCTCTTGTGGCGATTGCTTTGTCTTCACTTTAGAAAACAGCTTCCTGGTCCTAAAAGAAAGACGCGGGTAGTTATTTTTACATATCTTCAGCAACATCATGAACAGTTGCCACTACGATACACTACGTAAGCCAACGAGCTTCCAAACTGTATGTGTGATTCATCAATATTTCTTTTGAACATATCTTTAGTAGACTCAGTGCTATTAACCCTTTCCTTCCCAAATTAATATTTGTGATCGTTTGTCTGAAGTAGTCTGCTATGAAAACTGTCAAATTAAACAAATACAATCATAGTAGAGCTAAAAACTATATATTATTTGAAAGCTTATGAAATGTTCTACATGTTCTTGCGAATTGTATGGTCATCAAAATGACCATTATGTCACGTTATCTTTTTAAACTTCATCGAATTTTTTTTGAACAATAAACCATATACAAGTTTGTGCATGTAGATCGTCCAGGTTATTAGAATCCTGAGAATGACTGTTGTTGTTGTTGTTGTTGTTGACTGACATTTCGAAAACCTTAGTGGTAGTCATCTGGCAGTCTTTTGACTCTGAAGATGACCACTGCTAAGGTTGTCAAAACGTCAGTCAACATCAACAACAACAAGAGTCCTTCTCAGGACTCTACTAACCTGGACCATCTACATCCACAAACTTGTAATGATATTCCCGGGTTGAAACCATTAACTTTAGAATTAAATACAACATATTGTCATTAGTTGCAAAGATAATTTATTTAGAGGCATTTTGATAGCAAATTTATGGTGCAATGTATTTTGAACACTTCGAAAATATAAAAATATTGATGCACAATTGATTTGAGCAAGAAATTAGAATTTCAAAAAGTGCCAATGAAGACAATAAATTATAAAAAACACATTTTATTTAACTTTAAATGTTTTAGAGACATTTTTTATAAAAATACCAACAACCATATAAATGAAAATGTAGTGCATTTATTTGTGCTATGGTTAATTCTGAAACAGGTTTTGTGTGAGCTATTTTGAAGCATTTGGGGCAAAAGTTTTTTTGTTTTCTTATTAGATCTCTTACCACAAGCTGACTTTTTATTTCCATAAGCAAAACACCTTCATGACCTTTCAGATTTCCTTGGAAAATGTCAGCTAGACAATCCTTATTCTGGTGAAAGGTAGCAACGTCCTTCTCTTGCTCCCAGCTACTCTTGTAGTGAACTCACTAGTAGATTTGCAACTTGCTCCAAAAAGGTCTGATGGACGTTGCTTTTTGGATTCAGTTCATGACGCTTGATTCTTGAACAAGACAAGAACATAGTTCTAGTAAAACAAAAAAACACTTTCTTTCACACCTTCATAGCTTTTCTCTGCATCAAATAATATGAGAGAAATTGATCACATAAATCAACCCCTCCAAAGTTGCTGTTATGAGACACAATAAGACTCAGTTTGTTCATAATCACCAACATCCTAATAATGTCGAAGGCAAAAAAAATCATGAAAAGTATTTTCAATAAATACTATTCTAATTATATTTCATTGCACAAGAAATTGCTACATCATTTTAATGTTAAAGTTACATGTGGTAAACAATAGCAGTTTTACACATTGAAAGACAATTATAAAATAAATCATCTAGTATCTAAAACTGAAAGAAGCAATATGTAAAGTCTGTAGACTACTAAAAAAGGTAATTTTAGTTCTTACTTGCAAAGTAAAATGAACATCATGATTCAAGACTAGCTCACTGAAGCATTCATCTTGATTTGTATTTTGAGGTTGGCAGATTTCTTCAATCATTTCTTCTTCTTTATCTTTCCTCTTTAGTCGATTCTGAATCAACTAAAGTCAATTCAGACTCATTGTCGGAGAAGAATTGATTCAGAACATCCGTTCACTGTCAATCCACTTTCCTTTCCAGAGAAAAAGGCGAACAAAATCCGTCAAAATCACGCTATAACAATTATTCTGGTAAAATTTGTCGGCGGGGCCATTGATGTATGATGTAGCTAAGAATTGAAGAGCCATACAAAACTTCCTGTTGTTGAAATGTAGAGCAAGATTTATCAATAATTATATATAAAAGTACATAACATGACTTGGCAGGTTTACTTATTAAAGTAAATGAAAGAAAAATTTTTAAAAAAGTTGTTTTGAAATCTCGTCAGCGGAATTTATTGAAGTTCATACAGTTTTTTATGTTTGAAAAATCAACGTTAAACTAACGAATCATTTCATGTAAATAATTCACGTACAATAATTGAAACAAAAACCTTTATTTTCGTGTTAAAATGATTTTCTATTTAAGCATTGTGAGTAAGAGAATAAAAAATAAACTATTTAGCCTCAATAGCTGCATATTTATGCAATAGCTCGCTACTACGAACAGTTTCGTTAAATGTGCAATAATGAATTGTGTATAGTTGAACGACTGAAACTGGTGCATTGACATTTCTTTCCATGGCATTTTTTTGTTTTAAAGCATGACCTTTAAACTCATGTGTCTTTGACTGAACTCTTAGGAAAATCATCTCCATTCTGAAGACCTTCATTTGTATGCGACAAAACTTTAGGATTGTTTTTATTTTTCTCGTATGAAACATCTCCAGATGTCGAAGAACTGTCTATTTTTTCCGCTGAATCATATGGACGAGGACCAATAATGGATAAAATGGCGGGTAGGAAAAAAAGTCCATGGAAAATACCAAAAATAATGACACCAATTAAAATCTACAAATGGAGGACAAAGAAATTTGTTTTGGCGTCATTTAATACTACACCAGGTATAATTGAAAAACAACAATTAGCTATTATCACAGTAATCTTTCTCTCACCCTGAAAAATGTTATAAAAACGTGAGATTTTGAGACAACCAACGGAGCAATCGCTAAAAATGTACTGAAACAACCATTCCATACCGCTGGACCGATATCACGGTACATTTTAATTGTTCTTTCTGCCACAAAAAGATAAAAATGTAGAAAAAGAGAAAAAGAGCAACACAATATCACACCACGCGAACAATGTCAAGGTAAAAATTTCAATTGCTAAACATATTTTGTTACCTTTTCTTGTACCAGATTTTATCAAAAATGTGTGTCCAACATGAGATGCATAATCCACAGATAAACCAATAGCAATGATAAGCACAACAGTTGAAACTGTGTCAATCGTTAAATCCCAAAAGTACATCAATCCAGCGACATCAACCTAGAGAATCATGAAGACATATCAGCCATCAATACACAAGTGCGGCATAGGAATAAAGATAAAAGTTTGAGATTCATTTTAATTTTTGCAGTTTGTTTTTTGCACAACAAAAAATGATCAAGTTACTAACCACCGTGAAAATGACACAAAGGGACACAAGCACTGATGTCACTGGGCTTGCAATGAACACAAAATTAACAACTAAGATAGCAGCCATTGCCAATAAAATGTTTTTGAAAAGTTCTTCCCCTATAACCTGGCACATTGAAAATTGATACAAAAACATCAATTAGCTGTATTGAGCTTTACTGAAAAACTTTGTCCGCGAAAAAATTTTCTACCTTGTATGTTTCAGCAAACAAAATCCAGTCACCATAAACCCTGGGTCTCGAACTGAACTCAATGTTTTCAATTAAAGTACGAAGATTATTCATTGCTGCAACGCGATCTTGTGACTTTCTAAAAATTCTAATGAATGCTCGTATTCTTGTGGCCTGTATGATAAAAGTAACTTTTTCAAAATGTTTTCGCTGTTTGTACTAAAAATAAAAACATGTCTTATTACTGTAATATCGTTTGAATTTTCGTTCCATATTATGTCATTTCTGTAACGACTTCCTTCTTTACTGTTTATGAAAAGTTTCAGTTGTTTATAGAACTGCTCTTTTGAAGAAACTGTCATATCTAACGGTGCAAAATTACAGAGTTGACGTGTGTTAGTCTAGATTATCGTGTGAGTATTGGTTTATTGAATAAAGAAATTTGAAAGTGTTAAACATGAAAAATAATTCAAAAATACGATGTTAACTGATGACTTACTTGAAATGTGTAGTAGTTCGGGTTTTGTTTTATTTAACCATTTAATATAATGTTCAAACCAATTTTCAATAGTGCTTGATGCCAAGTATTGCCTTTCATTTTTTAAATTGTTATTTAGTGTATGTAGATGCATTTGTTCTTTGAAATAATCAATCTCTCCTGTAAAAAAAATAATCGAAATAATAAAGTAATTAAGGACAAGGGTAAAAATAGCTAAATAGCAAAATTTCAAATTCAGCCAAAACGACAAATTCCAAAAGTTAAATTCATTTGTAGAAGACCCTAGCTTATCAATCTATTGATGTTGTTCACCAATCAGGTGTGATTTATTATTTATACCAGATGCGAGATATACATCACCATTGAACTTACCAGTATAAAACACTGTTGGTTGGCCACCCTCAACAAAATTCTTACAAATGAAAAAAACGTTAGATTTAGATATCGGATTTTGCGTGTTTTTTGCAGTTATTTATCTTCAACAGACCACGACAAATGAGATACCTCATCATTAAGGTCCATAAAATCTCTCACAGATGTTCCAGTAGGAAGAAACCATTTGTATTCAAATTGTTGTTCTAGTTGCAGTGAACCATAAATATTTCCACCAAGTAAAGCAGCAGCCATTACGAATATAAAGATCTGAAAAATCAAATAAACGCTAGATGCAAAAAATATCCTTTTAATTTGTGCTAAAATATTTCATTAAACATGTGGTTAAGATAACCAAAGTTAGAAGCTCATCAATGCAAAATTAGCGATAGTTTAAAACAAACTTATATATTGCTGTCAATTTTAGAAATCTTACATAGTTTTATCTAGAAATTATGCAACATGACTTGTATATATATGAACTGATGCAGTTTAAAACGATAGGGAAGTTAGTATACCTTCACAGGTAACTTGACAACCCCTGGTCCAACAATCTTTTCATAAAACATTTGTAAATAACTTTTCTGTCCACATTCGTTTGGTTTATAATCTTCAGGTAAAATCATACAACAACAACAACCATCGCGTCGTTTATCTCTTCTGTAAAGTTTAAAAAATTTATAAATTCAATCCATGCAATCTAAAGTAGATTAAAAAAGTTTTCCTTGGATTTGGGTGAATATTTTTTGAAACTTGATAGACAAGACATGCGGTTAAATTATTTATTAGAAAGAAAACAAAAAAATGAATACAGGCGTAATTAACCTTCTAGCATCTATAGCTAAGCAGGCAGCAAAAAATGTGATTTGTAACAAGTAGTCACAAAGGATTCCTAAAGATAAATAAATGTTTGTTATTTTTCAGTCTCCTTGCCAAGAATATTAACAAGTAATGAAATAATTCTGCATGGAAAAGTGAAAATTTGCTTCATCATTATGAGTAGTATACTGTATATATACATAGAAACTTACCAATTGCAGCAAAGAAACAAAACGATCGAAGTCCAGGAATTATCTAATAAATTAACACGAATATGACAACAAAATTATCGCATAATTTTATCGTAGATTTAAATGATAAAGTAAGTGTGATGACAACACTTTGAAAATTGACTTTAAAAGTACGCTTTACTTCAATGTAAATTACATGCATAATTCATTATATATGGTTTTTAGAATTAAATTTGATCTAAAATATTGATGCAGTAATTAAAAATTAATTAAAAATTCTTGTTTCATTTTAGGACAATATTTCATTAACACATAAAAATATAAAAACAGAAGTGGTATAAATAAGGAAAAAACTGTACCGTGGTTGCTCCAATTAGGAATGCCAAAAGATCAGAAAGCGAAGTAATCGTTATTGAGCATCCCTTGAAAAAAAGTTATTAAAAATTTAGTCGTTCAGATATTTTTGTTGTTCCAGCATTAACTTTTCTCCATTAAATTTTCAGTAAAAGAGCAATTAATTCAAAAACAAACAATTGCTTCGTACTAAATTTTAACAAATGTGTTACAATCTTTACTTACAGCATGTTTTAAAGCTAAACCAATTCTTTCTTCAACTGAATTTGTCTTATGAATATCAGGGTGAATGTTTGACCACGATTGTACGATAACAAATAGATCATCTACTCCAATACCTACAAATAATATATTTCGGGATATCGTCTATGATTTTCCTTGAAAAAAACTATTTAAAAATATTTTAACATGAATTTTATCGGCTAAATAAAAGCCACAAATTTATTGGCGAGGTGTACCTAGCAATAGAAAAGGCAAAGCTGCATGAGCAGGACCATAAAATAAACCAAAAGCACTACAAAGAGCTATGGATACACCAATTGATAGTCCAACACTTACTATTCCACCAAGAGCAAGCCATGCCTGTATATGGAAAAATAATGAAAAAAGTTTACTTAGTATTAAATGCATTTTTTGAAAAGCCAATGACGCAATAACGCAAAAATCATACATGGATGGATAGCATAAGTTTGTACTTGGTGACTTTTTTTGTCTACCTTAATTTCCAATCGAGTGAATTTTCCAAGAATTACGACAACGAATAGAAAGACAACTAAGTAGCCACTTGAAAGAAGAATGGCGTCTCCATCAATTGCGTTGGAGGAAATTTTGTCAAATCTATGAATATTTAAGGTTTATCATGGATGGATGTCATTGTTTGTTATTTCGTCAATAAATGACTTTGATATTGAAAGTTTGTCAATAATTAACTGTTGTATGGTGTTCGTCTCGTGCTTAACTGTTAGTATTTTTTTAACAGTCCTTAACTACTGGTTTTTGTTTATGTGTCAATAATTAATGATTGTTAATTCATCAGTTGTTTGTTAAGTATACAGGTGTTTGTTTATATGTCAATAATTAATGCTTGTTACTTGATCAGTCATTTGCTAAAACTATTAATTTTTATCAAAACGTCAGTTTCTGACCATAACTAAACCATCTAAGTCAAACAACACTTTTTTAAAATGGAAAAAGTTTGAAAATTTTACACATGGTCTTACTTCCTTCTGGTAAAATATCGCGAAATGTTATTCTTCACAATGATATTTTCTGAAGCTTTCTCCCATTTTTCCTCCCTAGGGTCAACCTAATAAACAGTCATATGTATGCCAAACTTACATAAAAATTATACAAACTTCACAAGCATTTTATAAAAATTTACCAAACTTTCATTTTGTGTTTTTTAAATTGGCTATGTAACATTCACAAAATAAGAGTTTTTGCATATTCCTCGCGGCTAAACACAACCAAACATTTCTTACTTACATCATTAGCAGGATTAACTAAACCAGGGAGTCTTTCAATAAAGTAAGTTGTTTTTATTAATTTTGCTCCAGAAATCTTTCCGTTGCTGTCATATTGGATGTTCGATAAAACTTGTTTAATGTTGAACGGACTCTTGGAATAGGGGCTATAGGAAGATTATGTATGTTTTTTTACTGCGAGCAACACATTTATTTTTATTTTTTCTCTTAAACGATCTGGAAACTAGATGATATAACAACAACAGATACGAAACAATAATTGTTCCCACCAAACCTTAGAAATGGTCTGTTGTTAATATCTTTTAAGACTTGATCGTTTCGTTTTAATCTTTGTATTTTATCCCCGTCAAACGACCATATTTCCAATATTGAATTTAAAGAACAAATATCGCCAATCCTGCAGTGTAAATTAAAAGCTTTGCATCGTCCTTTCATATTTTTTGAATTATTTGCAAGATCGCTAAATTAAAAAATGTGTACGAACTTGAAACACATGTCTTTCCATCTGAGTGTTTTATTCTGAAATGTTATGGCGACGTTAAGGAATTCTTGATGAATTTTGTACATCTAAATAAAGCACAACGTTTGGTGTTCACTTTTATTTCACTTGTTACTACTCAGAAATACCCGTGACAATCATTAAAACCATAAAGGACTTAACTTATTGTGGAATTATTTGATGTAGAAAAGATTCAATAAATCATTCACAGTGAAGCAGTGTGTCAGTATTGTTAAAAGATGACATAATTTTCCTATGATGAACATGCAAACTTCAGAATACCTTTTGAATGACGTCAACGTTAAGAACATTTGATTGCATATCAATGAAACTAACTGGAGTGGGTTCAGCCTTGAAATGTTGTTCAATCCAGTTTTTATCATGTTGTGCCTTTGAATCTTTTGGCACCCACAATTCTCCATTCCTGCTTTCTTGGTTGAATCTGAGAAAGCCAATTAAACACAGACCACAAATAACGAGAGAAATAAAGATCGTCAACCAAGGACTGGAACCAACAGTTTTACCACTCCTAAAATATACAGACATGTATTCAAAACACGGAAAATAGTCTAAGTAAGCATTATAATATGAAAGTGCTGCGTTTAACTATATGGTCACTGGTTGTATAAGTATCACTGTTTACAATCGTGCTTTCTTGTTTAAATTTATCATCAAATGTTAATCACTACAAGATATCTATTTCAGATTCAACCTGTAAAAGAATGTTTCCAGATATCCTGTGATAAAATTTCTTAGTGTCTGCAAAAGAGATTTTTTCGTCGCTCGTGCAGATTTCGATTTACAAGATTCCGACATATTTTCTATAGAAATTATATAACACAAAAAATATGAGAAAAGTTGTAAATATTTGATTGAAAAATATTATTAACGCCATAGAACAGAGATTTTGCAGTATTTTGGAGTCTATAAAGTTTATACGATTTGTGCAAAGCTGCTGCGCTAACCAGCGGTATTTCGACAAATATTTCCGCAGATTTCTCAAAAAATTTACCGGTTTACATCAAAGCTGACGTGGCCCATGATGAAAAGTCGGCCGAATGCTTACTTTATTATATTTTATCATGAAAGCTATCTGACTTTCAACAGTTCTTTTTAGAAGTACTTAGTCGTCAACTCGCTATTTACCATGGCAGTATGTTTATTACTTTGCCAAACTAAGTCATTTCTTTACTCTCCATAAACGTGCATTTTGTATAGGTCATCTTCCTATAAAACCTACCTTTATCCAATACTCAATATTAAATTTTTGCTGGTCAACCCAGTTAAATGTCTACCTGTGCCCAAATGAAAGTTTTTAAAACACAAACTTTCTCCGTTGACGTTATTCTTTATGTCGTGAGAGACAAAGCTGCATTAAAAGCATGTTTAAAATGCTGAACTGAAATTATACCTATAGAATCTTTGTTTCATTGTTTCAGCTTAATTTCACCCATTATCAACCCGTAGCAATTGGATGATATAAATATGTAATATCCACGCCATGTTACAAGTGACGGTATGCAATATGATGCAAAAAAAGTCTGTCTTGTATTTTAGTTACAGTTCGACTAAGCTTATTGCGAGTAATGTTTTTAGTGAAAAACCTTAATCATGTTTTTCATTTCTCAACTTAATAAGCATATTATATTAAACAGTATCTGTAAATTTTCCACTCAATTTCCTCCTAACTGCCACGAGCAGCAAACGTCGAAGAGAATCACGGAGTCCCTTTTGAACTGGCTATACTGGTCACAAGCACGGCACTCTGTGATTCGTTTTGACGTTTGTTGCTCATGGCAGTTGAGTGGAAGGTTTACAGATACTGTTTTATATGATATATGCTTATTAAGTTGAGAAATAAAAAAACATGAGAAAGGTGTTTCAGTAAAAACATTACTTGCAATAATCTTCGTCTTCTTATTATTAACATTATATTTCTTAATAGCGAGTGTGGCATTATTAATGAACCACAGTGTGAAGTAGGAAAATCCAGGATATATTTACCTTCAAGTATATCAATTAAAATTACAAATACACCATGGTCAAAGGTAGTTTAATGATGAAAGGTGTCTTTGAAGAAGAAGTCATGCAAACTTTTTTAAGGTACATACTGTTGTGAAGTATGAGTGATCGAAGTTACTATTAGCTGTTATTGTTAGTGATTTATTAAAAGCACACGTATTGCGTATTTCTCTTTTTCTACATTGTCTGACAGTCACGTTCGTTTTCTAAAGAATATAAAAAGTCTTTATCAGATAAAAGACAATTTTTTCTTGTATTTTCTATGGATCAGCATGGAAGCGGCAAATCTTGTTTCGTGAGGGCTGTCACCAATGATTAAAATTTAATTGTTAGGCTTTAAGCCGACAGACAGCGATGTTCTGTTCACACCAGTTTTAGGAAAACATAGTTTTAAACAATGTAATGTTAAATGTTTGACGTAAGTAAATAGCTCAAAAGAATTCACACAGGCCTCCCTAGTGTCGGAGCCTTTGATGTTTTTGTCTTTGCGCATACCATTAGCCACTATTCCAGGCAGCTGATTCTTTATTTCATGACACAGAATGACGTCATGTTAATTTGGTCGGTGAAAACAAATGATAAATCCTAATCAACTGGCTGGAAAAATGGCGCAAGTGGTCGTTTCGTATTGTGATCATTCTGTGCCCTATGCAACATAAAATATTGTAAACAAACTAAACATGAATTTTCATCATATATAATGGCAAGTGTCCAGTTTCACTTCAACCTCGAGGGCTATTGTCGTTTCCTATGGTTGGCGAGCTGCAAAATGTTTAAGTTTTGCCTTTACCATTGTCGTTCTAGGATGATTCAGTTTTTGTATGGTAACTATAAGTGATCTTTTGCAGCGTTAAGTGTGCTAACTGCTGGAAAAACAATGGCGATCCTAGCAACTTTAAAAAATTCAGAAAATGTCATTTGAATTTGTTTTCAGAACTTGAATTCTTGAAGCGTTTTATAACCTACTCGATCCCAATCTTTGCACAAAACTTTAGTTTGTCCTTTCGTGTCTCCGTCTCAGCGTTAAATTAAAAGTTATTTCAAAATAGGCTATAATAAGCTAGTCGATTAAACTGAAGTCCTTAAATTTTTAGAGAGTGGGTCAAAGCAAAGAAGCGATCAAAAAATCTGGATATTTGTTTCGCAGAAACGTATCTTGGCTCAGTTAAAAAGACATCAATGGTAAGTTAAATCACAGTTCGCAAAAGTTAAGCTAAAGATAAAAAATCTTGGGGGGGGAGCTGTTACGCAGACAATGAAAATGACATAGAACAAATAGCAGTAAGTGGTTGTTATTTCCACAGTTTCCGTTAGTTGAAAAGGTAAAATCCAACAAAATAGTTTATAAAACATCCATTGTGAGAGAATGACGTCAATTCACATTAGTTGAAACAAAACCTTTCCTTCAATGACAAAGTATTTAGTTAAATCGACGAAAACCAGGTATTATATCAAGTTCAATAAATTTGTATAAATCACATCATTGCGTTTGTGATGAAGATATTTTACTAGAAAAGGGTTAGACCTGTTGGTATGTGTCTATAAATGATAATTATGTACAATAGCTGCAATTTAAGCAGTAATACAATTTAATAAATGCTTTTAATCTTTATAATGTGCAATAAATATAAAGCATGCCTAAAAATACATTTCAACGACTGGAACCGGTGCATTATTTTGTTCGAGAGCATTTTTTTGTTTTAAAGGATGACCATTGGAAGCATCATCTTCAACCTGAACTCCTTGATTTGTTTGTGAAGGAACGCTAGGAGTGTTTTCATTTTTCTTGTTCTTCGGTGAAACATGTCCAGATGAGGAAGAACTTTCGATTTCTTTAGCTGAATCATAAGGACGAGGACCAAGAATGGATAAAATGGTCGGAAGGAAAAAAAGTCCATGGAAAATACCAAATAAAACAACACCAAACAATATCTACAAATTGTAATTGTAAAATTTAAAATATAAAATTTACACAATGTACAATATGACAAAAAAGTATGTACGAAAGTTACCCTGAAAAACGTCATAAATACGTGAGATTTTGATGTAGCCAATGGGACAATTGCTAAAAATGTACTAAAACCACCATTCCATACTGCTGGACCGATATCGCGGTACATCTTAATTGTTCTTTCTGCAAGAAATCCCAGATATCAAACTAAGATTAGATTACTCATTCTCGATTTCCATGGTTTGATAGTTGATCAAATATCACCTCAATAAAGTCTCGACTGACGAGCTCGTAATCTAATTGTAAGTTAAATATTACTGAGTAAGTTTTCATTGTAGTTGTATCCTGGTTCTTTGTACGTTGGTCCAGAAACTATTTATATTCATTCACTCAACGAGTAACAATGAATATAAATAACTTAATTCGGTAATAAGTTAGCTTCAATGAGAAAACAGTACAAAACAAGATAATGCAACACATATTGATTAGATTTTCTTATTTAGCCCAGTGTTCTTTGATGTTTTTTAAGTGACTCGATTTCTTAAATTTATCAAATAAACTAATTATGAAATTGTGAACTTCAAGTAGTTCAAACTTGATTTGAATTCAAGGGTTTTGATGATTCAGACATTAGACATTCGTTGTCTTTTAAAATTGTTTGTACTTCAATAGAAGCCACAAACACATATAGTTAAAAAAAGTAAAATAAGCGATTTTATGTATGGATATGACTGTTTTGCTTTTATATCTTTAAGACATATATAAAAAATTTTCTTCGCATGCAAAAAAAGAGCATAGAAATTAAATGGGAAAAATTGCGCTTGGGTAAAACGAACTTTCATTTGTCTAGAGCCGTTAATTTAAATGAAAGGTAATTAGTTAAAAGGTGTACGGGGTATTTCATGTCCAAAATATACTATTTCATAAATACGAAATGCGTGATTGTTCTTGGCAGTATTATGGTTCATACATGTTAATAAGAGATGTTTCATTATTTTGTCACCTTTTCTTGTACCAGATTTTACCAAAAATGTGTGTCCAACATGAGATGCGTAATCCACAGATAAACCAATAGCAATGATAAGCACAATAGTTGAAACTGTGTCAATCGTTAAATCCCAAAAGTACATCAGTCCAGCAACATCAACCTAGAAAATCATGAAGACATATCAGCCATCAATACACAAGTGCTGCATAAGAATAGAGATAAAATTTGACATTAATTCTAAATTGACATCAACCTAGAGAAATATTTGACAAACAATACATAAACTCGGCACTAAAGTTAAAAAGGCTTGCTAAACTAGAGTGACTGGAAAAATTTAGGTTAAATGCAGCAAAAAACAATAGAAAGAACTAGGTTACGTCAAAATAAATTACTGCAGCACATTTTGAAATATATTTTCATTTGTAGCCACCTTAGAGGCAAGTCCATCGGTAAAATTATATTCTTTAAAAATTCAAAACCAAAAGTGTTTTTCTGAAAAGTACTTTGAATTTAAAATTGAGCTGCTATAAATTATGTTGACGAACGCCAAATCCGCCATTGGCAAGAAGGAAAGTTAATGCAACTAAAAAACTCTTCAGTGAAGAACCTTTTGTTTTCTTTTCTACTGACAAAACATAAGGTTGTCCATTAAATAAAGGTACAGTGTTAGTGATGAGTTTAAATTATTTTTTCATGAAACAATCCATGGCTGTGTAATTTCTTATAAGAGTACGATGTAAAAATTTCCACTTACCACTGTTAAAACAACACATACAAACACCAACACTGACGTCACTGGGCTTGCAATAATCACCATGGTGACAACAAAAACAACTGCCAAAGCCAGAAGTATATTTCGAAATAGTTCTTCAGAAATGACCTGACACAGTTATAGAAAGTTTAAATAACGTAAAACGAACTTTCTCTTTTGATTAAAAATTGTAAATTTACGTAAATAAAGTACCTTGTTTCCCTCAGCAAACAAAATCACTCGATTATAGACAATGGGGTTTTCTTTGAAACCAATTCCTTCTATCAAACTTCGAAACTTATCCATTGCTTTCACTTGATCTTGCGTTTTTCTAAGAATTCTTAGAAATGCACGTATTCGAGTTGCCTAGAATGAGAAAATTAGTCAATCCAACAATATTAGTTGCATAAACTATTTTCTAAAACAAGACAAACCTTTATAGTGTTAGTGTTGTTTTTCCAATGAATGTCGTCACGAAAACGACTTCCGTCACCTTGAAGATATTCTCGCAGTTTTTCGTAGAAGACATTTTCATTCTTGACTCTCAATTCTAAATCATCTTATAAGGTTATGAAAACTTGTGAAATAATTTTGTCAGCTTAAAATCATAAAGAATTTCTTTATACTTACTTGTAGTGTTTAGAAACGTAGAGTTTGTCGTATTTAACCAATTAATGTAATGTTCAAACCAATTTTCAACGGTGTTTGATGCCAAGTATTGTTTTTCACTCTGTATATTGTTATTTAGTGTATGCAACTTTATTTGATCTTTGAAATAATCAATCTCTCCTGTAGAAAAAACAATAAAATGGAAATAATGCTTTATAAGTGTTTCATGAAGTAAAAAAGAACTGGCGCGATAATGTAGAAAGCAAAATACCAATTTATCCAAAATTTACAAATTTTGTATGTAAAGATAAATTCTATAACAATCCCAACACGATAAACATTCCAAAATCCAAAAGAATTTCTATCTTCAAACGATATCCCAGTAATATATAATTCATCAATCACATGCATCTATAGCTTCGAGAAATTTTTCATCTTTTACACTGCTCACAACACGATACAAGTATTTCATCATTAAACTCACCAGTATAAAATGCTATCGGTTCACCACCTTGCACAAATTTCTTACAAATGAAAAAGAATTAAATTTAGACAGTGTTTCAATAAAAATATGGTAACTACAAAGTTAAAGGATCATGTTAAAAAAGGAAATTCAATAAACTACCTCTTCATTAAGGTCCATGTAATCTCTGACAATTGTTCCAGTAGGAAGAAACCATTTGGACTCAAATTGCTGTTCTAATTGCAGTGAACCATAAATATTTCCACCAAGGAGTGCAGCAGCAATTACTAGTATAATGATCTGAAAAAATTAATGATTAATCAAATTTGAGTAAAAACGTAATACCACAAGGCAATTTTACAAACTTAAGAAATTTTTAATATAACGGAAGCAGACACACATATGACGACAATTTTCTATTCCTGGCTTTTACGTGAAAATTATGCAACATGACTTGTATATATATGAACTGATGCAGTTTAAAACGATAGGTAAGTTAGTATACCTTCACAGGTAACTTGACAATCCCTGGTCCAACAATCTTTTCATAAAACATTTGTAAATAACTTTTCTGTCCACATTCATTTGGTTTATAATCCTCAGGTAAAATTATACAAAAACAACAACCATCACGACTTCTGCCACTTTTGAGACTTGATCTAAAGATCGTGATTTTAAAAAAAAGTTACATTTACGTAAGCACTCGTTAATCCTTTCGTTGTTTAGTTGTTGTTCGTTTTTCATTTCATTTGATGTTTCGAGCAACAAATTTTTCAGTGTACATCAAGTGCATTTCAACCTAATCTTTTAAAGTTTTTCGAGCACTGAAAGAGATCCCATGCAGTCGAGAATCGAATTCTTAATGTTAAGATTAGAGCCCAAAAGATAGTTCTCAAAAAAGACATAGCATCTTGATCTTAAAATATTTGTTAAAGAAAGCAAACTACAATTTAAACTACAATAATTACAGAGATTCTGTCACAAGCCTCAACTTATATCTTACCTTCGAGCATCAAGAGATAAACAGGCCACAAAGAAGGTGATTTGCAGCACATAGTCACAAAAAATTCCTAAAAATTTGAAGTGCCTCAATACTATAAGAACACACAAAAAACGTCATTTATTTTTTCGTATCAAGTCTACTTACCAACTGCAGCGTAGAAACAAAATGATCGAAGACCAGGAATTATCTAGTCGTTCAAAATAAAACAAACAGTCATATACAATTTGTAAAACAACTAAAAGTTGCACGAGATTCTAAAAATGTTGGTCCATCAAAATTGGCCTTCAGGCGGAAGGTCCCAGGTTGCAAATTACATTAAAATTTACCACACAAAATAATAATGAAAATTGTTGTATATATTGTTATGATTGCTCAGTTTAAATCCTAGCTTTTTTTCCTTCTGCTGAGACTTTTCACATATGAATAAAAGCTATCGTGGATAAGTGGTATTTATTAGAGAGCAATTTTTTATCATGGTGAATTTTAAGAAACGATTTATCGACTGTCTGTTAGTTTTTCATAAAAAATACAATATAAGTCACGAAAGTGTTTGCTTCATGTAATATATAATCAAATACATACGGAGCGCAGAAAAATGGAAAACTGGTAATTTATTGATGAAAAGTACCGTTGTTGCTCCAATGAGAAAAGCCATAAGATCCGTAAATGTTGTAATAGTGATTGATACTCCCTGAAATACAAAAAAATTTGATGTAAAACAGTTTGATGTTTATGAATATAGCACGGAGGGCTTTAACAACCTTAGCGAACGAAGTTAGAAGAAAAAGGAACTGGAAAATTTACCTCAAATTGAACAAAGTTCAAATGTAATAACTGTATAATTTAAACCAATTCTGTTTTATTTAGGATATATTGGCTTTTCACTTACAGCATGTTTTAAAGTTAAACCAATTCTTTCCGCAACTGAATTTGTCTTATGAATATCCGGGTGAATGTTGGACCAAGATTGTACAATAACAAACAGATCATCTACTCCAATACCTACAAATAATATATAATTCATTATTTTTTTATCTTTTTGCTACTAAAGCTGACGATTGTGCAAACATATTATAATTACCAAGAAGAAGAAAAGGTAATGTTGTATGAGCAGGACCATAAAATAAACCAAAAGCACTACAGAGAGCAATGGATACACCAACTGACAGTCCAACACTAACTATTCCACCAAGAGCAAGCCATGCCTACATTAACAATAAATGCTATTTAATGTATGTTTATTTTTGACATTTTAAGAATTATTCTGACAACCACTTTCTTAAGAAATGATTGGCACTTAAAGTGATTGTGATATAAATTTTTTCTAATCTCATATTTATGCAATGTTTTAGGGTTTGATTTGGCTTGTTTATTTGTTGTTACAGAACATAATAATTTTTAAACACAAAGTTCTATGCAGTTATAAAATCAAAAGCCAACGTGCTATACAAAAATATATTTTAAATAATTATAAAGATTACTCTTGGGTAATTACGTAATCATATCCATGAAGATAGAACTATATAAAACATCTCACTTTTGAAGAAAGTTGGCAATTTATTTCATATACAATAATCTGCTTGCAGGTACGGAAAGACAAACTTTCTACTCCCAAAACAAGCAGTTTCATTATTTAAAACTAGTTGTTTCATGTGCATTGGAAAAAATTCAAAATTTACAATAATTGAAAATGATTGGTTCAAACATTACAGCAGTGCCGTAGCCACGTAGCCAACTCGATAATTGAAGGTAGAGGAGCAATATTCATATATGCATATTTTGTAGTATCAAGTTCCATTGATATACATTGTTTTCTGCAGAATATAGCTTACATATATAAATATTGCCTCCCCTGCAATAGCTGCGCCACTTTATAACAGATAAACAAACAATAAAATAATACCTTGATCTCAAGTCGTGTGAATTTCCCCAAAATTATAATGACGTAAGCAAGTATAATTAGATATCCACTTGAAAGTAAAATGATGTCGCTATTAATGGCGTCAGAAGATATTTCGGCAAATCTACAAATATAAATTTTATTATTGTGAATGAATAAATATTTAACGAGCAATCATTAAAACCTTTGAAATATACATAATGTCATTTGTTTAAGTTGTCTGTTTTGGTTTTATTGACTTTAATTAAAAAGTTTAACAAACGAAAAACTTTTAAATTAAAGTTTTCGAGGAAAAGAAACTTATCAATCCCTACTTTTTTCTAGTCGTATACAGTTTAATGTTATATTTCTCCATAATTCTTTGAAATTCTTCTTCCCATTTTTTACCACGTGGATCAACCTTAAAAAATAAATCAAAATGTTGAAAGTGGAAAAGAATTCATTATGTAATAAAATACGATAAAATATAGACTTTAATTGACTTACATTATCCTCAGGATCAACCAAAGCAGGAAGTCGTTCATAAAAAAAAGAAGTTTTCACAAATCCTGCACTTTTAATACTTCCGTCTGGGTTTTTCTGAATATCGGCTAGAACTTGTTCAAGATTGAACGGACTTCCAGAATATGGACTATTAAGAAAATATTGACATAATGTATTTTATTGTTTATACCGTTACATATATGCATATTTTGCAATAGTGTATAAAAAGACAGCAACTAACATATACCTAAAAGGTCCTCTGTTTGTTATATCATTTCGAATTTGCTGTTCAGTTAATGACATTATTTTGGTCTCATTAAAATCCCACAATTCCAAGATCGATCGTAGAGAGCACTTATCTCCCTTTCTATAAATATAAATGTTAAAATTCAATGCTGATTGACCATCGTACAAGCTGTAGAACTAATTATACTTTAAATCTAAAGACATATACGAACTTGAAGCAAATGTCTTTCCATTGCAGTTTTTTATTTTCAAATGTTATAGTGATGTTGACGACGTCTTGATGTATTTCCAACATCTAAGGATCAAAAGAAGTTTTATGTATAAATTTGTCATTTATAAAATTTCGTTTTACATTATTTACAAAATAGTGGGGGCTCTTCAAATGAGATCTACAGGAAGGACTAGATCTCGCTATTGACAACTCACGATTACATCTTGTAAGGGTGAAAATTTTCCTAAACGCAACATTGAGGGCGAGCCCTTCTCTCCCTGAAGCGTTGAAATTAAGTTCAGTGAATATGCATGGAATAAAAGATCCTAAATTTTCAGTTATGACGGAAAGAAAAGACATCAACAAGAGCTTACGCAAAAAGAAATCACAAAATTGCAAAAATCAAAAACTATTTTTTGGTTTGTCACCAGCTTTTCTGTATTTGTTGTCAAAGCACGCGATAAAAACGCAGCTCTCAATGTGAGGCTAACATTTTGAATGTAAAACAGAAGGAGAAAAAAAAACACGAAGTTATTTTAAAGCTTGATAATATTTGTACATATTGATAGCAAATTAAATCACATCAAGCAAAGATACTTTAGTAGACTTGGTACCTTGCGAATGACGTCAACAGTAAGGACATTAGATTGTTCATAAATAAAATGAACTGGAGCAGATTCTTCAGGAAACTCTCGTTCGACCCATTTCTTGTCATCTTGAGCTTGCGAGTCTTGTGGTACCCACAATTTTTCACCTCTAAACTCTTGTTCGAATCTGAGTAAACCAGCCAGACAAGCACCACATACAATTAAAGTAATACCTAACGTCACCCAAGGACTGGCACCAACAGTTTTACCAATTCTAAAAAATGTAACGAATTTCCATGTGTTATAAATGGTAGTTATGTCAGATCATTAATCAACTTATGGCAAAGTAGTATCTTGTGCACAAAGCCGAAAATTACGTAATAGATTTACTGACTAAAGGACTGGAACTTGTTGGATGATCTAACTCTTTAATTGTCGGAGGCAAAAACAGTTATGTAACTAACTATACAGTCATGTAATGACACACTTGATAATCATGTAACAATACACGTGACAGTCATGTAACAATGCACGTGACTATCATGCAACCTAGATTTGTTATCAAAAGCTAGAATAAAGACATGTAATGAAAAAACATTTTTATAACTTTAATTTTGAGAGCCAAGAAAGTTAACAGTAAAATATGAAGCAAACATGACAGTTAGGTTCCTTTAAGGCTACTTGAAACATCTATTGCATACAAAAACGTGAGAAACAAAAGGCTCACGTGCGAATGATTACATAATTATTCTGGTTTTACGTATTAACGACGCAAAAATGTTTTGATATTACTGCAAACTTATCTTTTTTGTTTGATCTAGGATAAGCCAAAATAAATCATATTTGCACATTCTTGGATATATTTACATTTCAAAACGTCATAAAATCAGTGAAGTTTGTAAAATTTTATTTTTTGAAACTAAAAATTTAAAAGTAGTTAGAATGATGAAAATGTTTTGAATATAAAATTGAGCGGCAGGTAGCTACATTCGATGCTGTAAAGCAAAACATGCATGTGATGTTCACGAAAAAATTAAGATAAAATAAGGCAGACAATACAAGCAAGTGAAGCAACTTTGTTGTCTATATTCTTCAATAGTTACCTGTAAAATGTAATCTCCAAGAATCCTGTTATAACATTACTAAATTTCTGTAGATAGTTTTTAGACTGGGTCGTTGATTCTTTACTAGATCCAGACATTCTTCACAACTTCTATCGTTAGAAAAACTTAATTTCACTAGAATAAAAAAAAGTACAAAGAATATAGCAAAAAAGCTCATGAATACATGCAAGTGACCAAAACAGCATTTGACAATTTTGACAATAAAACGTTAGTTAGCAAACAGTGGCAAAGACAGCCGAACATTTACTCCTACAACGCAAATTTTTTAACAAAACTATTAGAAAATGAATTCCATTTATTGTTTTTGCAGTCATTAAACACAAAAATATATTTGCATTGTTGGAGTAAAACAGGCTGGCTTTGCTGCTGTTAGCAACAAATCGCAGTAGATGACTTGCATTGTTTATGTTAAGCCGGCTGGCAGAAAATTCCAAATGGAGTTAAAGCATTGTTGCTCTAGTGTTGTATAAAAGCACTTGAGCAAATCTGTCTGCCAGCAAAACGTAAATAAGGCAAGTCATCTATAAGAATGAAAACTTAAAGTTTGCGGTGAAATTCTAAGGAATGCAAACTTCCATGGGTGGCTAATATAGAAAATAATTTTGATGATTATTACTTAAAACACGAAACATGAGTAAACCGAGATTTCCAATCCAGGTTCAAAAGCTTGGTTGAAAGTTTTGAGATATGATTTATAACAGTATTTCATTATAAAATAAAAATATATATCTTTCGTGATGTACGAGATTATTCTCTTGTTTATATCAATGTTCTACACTTGTAAAAAACAAAATAGATGATAAAATTTACCTTCACAACAGAAAAATATTCGATAGGTTGAAAAAACTGGCCGCAGTAACGATGACAGTGGTCAATATATCTTGGGATAAGCAGTCGATACAATGTTTACGAGCACTTAGTGAGCCTGAGGCAAATTCGTTTCAACTTTTATTACGCTATGTATGAATATATTAATAACTTACATTAAAATTTTAAAGCTGCATATGTCTTTACATATCCGCGTGGGAGGCAACAGGCAATCAAAGCATTTGTAAAAGAAAAGAATTTGTTGCTGGTTTTGATTCAGTACTCCCAAGTCCCAACTGTTATAAGCTCACAAAAGAAAGGAAAAGACGTTAAGTGAAGATTGTGGTGGCGACAAATCATATAAATAAAACATATAAATTGAAAAATTTGCTATCAATGTATATGACATGACATAATTAATATTGTCTTTGTCTTCTCTTATTACATAATGCGTCAATATTGAAGAAGAAAAAAGGTCTTTCACATAACATTCCACAAAAAATACTAAGTTCTTTCACATGCAAACCTTGTGGTTTTTGTTGATTCATTGGCCGTTTTTATACTGGAGACGCATAATGCGTCATCTTTGTTATTCATTTAGTATAAAAACGGGATGAATTATCCAACGAAGTATCAGACGAACAACTGGATAATTGTGCGAAAAACGTATTGATTTTTGACGAATAATCTCTCTCACTTTATTGAGTTATTCATCTAAGTGCCGTCTTTATACAGACAGACACATTATACGTATAGACAAACTATGTACGATTCTTCGTCTTCAGACACAAATAACCAATGGATTATTCGTCTAGACGTATAATGCGTCTTGTACCCGTCTTTACACGGAACACGCATAACCAGACGAACAAAAATTTCTTGTCCAAGTTCGTCCAGATGCATTATGCGTCTCTAGTATAAAAAGGCCATTAAGTTGTGCGGTTGTTTGTAGGCAATATCGATAATTTGGCATTACAATCGTTACAGTACAGTTCCATAGCGACAGAGTGAAAAGGAAAACGTATAACTATTTAATAGAAAAACTTACTTTAAAATTGAAAACGTAACGTCATTCGACATAAAGTTGTATGACTTAAGACAAAGAAAATTCTGCACACCAACTAAAATTAACCAAAACTCGTGTGATCATTTCTGTAACTAAACTATGATCCGTAGAAGATAATAGACTTTTTGAAGAAATTTTGATTCCTTAAAGGGGAACTCCACCCTCACATAATGTTGGTCTTAAAACTTTGTCAGTCCCGTGAAAATAAATATGCGGCAATTTTTTGTTGTCTGATTCAATATTTTCACAAAAAATGAATTGAAATGCTGCAGCTAGGGCATCCGGTGCGTGGGAGCAGAAATATGTCAGCGGCTTGTATATGACGTCAATCGTCAATTGCTGTTCAAAGCTTTATGTAAAGTCATTGCACAGTCATAACAAACTTGCGTCAAAATGCTTCTCCTAATCACAAAATGTTTCTTTTCGAAACGTCAGAATTTTTTATTCATAGGTATATACACAAGCAACTTTTATAGCTTACATGCAAGTATTGAGCTGGTTATTTGTATTCTGTTTTAATAGAACGGTTTCACATCCATAAAGGCCATTATCGCACAGTTTCCGCACTACATATAGAACTTGAATGTCGATTAATATTATTTTTTAAAAAATACGAAGGTTTCTTTGTGTGGAAACTGTGCGGTAATGGCGTTTGCTTCGTTTGCTTGTCCTCCGAATTCAACCTTAACAACAGTTTCTACGAATGTGAAACCAGTCTATTGCCCTGAATAAACATTGAATAATAATAAACATGGTTGTGTAATTTAGATTCATTATGGTTAGAAAATAATCCTACATAAAACCATTGTAAAAATAGCCTTTCGTGCATAGAATTGGTGTAGTTTCCTAGACGTAAAGTATGAACTTATAGTCTCCTAATTATTTGTACATAATTTCCCTTTTTTAAGTCACATTTGGGAGGAAAATTTATTTCCTACGCACGAAACCATTGGTATAAATAGAAGTAAAACTAGAGACTACGCAGTGGAGTTGTTATTGGATAAAAAAAGTCGTAGTTCTTTTTTAATAAAAATTCCATAACTAAAAATCAGAGTGCAGATCAATTTGTTGGACGAACTAAGCGAATTCTGCGACAATGGTCAATTGTTGTGTTCCGGGTTGTACAAATTATTCGTTGAAGTCGAAATCTTCAGGTGTTAGCTTCCACCTTATTCCGAAAGACCCCTCCCGTCAAAAGGCATGGATTGCTAGAATACGGAGAGAAAATCTACGTCCTCTCCAATACTGTTACGTTTGCAGCGAGCACTTTGCTCCCGATTGTTTTGAATCGAACCTAAGACAGAAACTTACACCATGGCAACCTTTAAAAAAACGACTGAAGCGGGATGCAGTACCGTCGATCTTTTCCCAGTAAAAAGGCCCTCAACCCAGTAAAAAGCGTATGTCTAGCGAGCATCGTACAGAGAAACGTCAGGCTGATCAAGACAAGGAGGAAGTTAGTAAAAGCATTTCTTGTTAAACTTTAATCAAGAAAAAATTTATACCCTAAAGTATAAATTCCTACTACTAATAATACAACTCGTAGTTTAGTACTTAAACTTATTTTTAAATAAACATTTTGAAGAAACTGCACATTAAATGCTACTTTATAACAAAAGTAGCTTCAATCATATGAAGTCCATCTCATAAAGCGTCATTTAATGGATGAATGATGTTTAAAGTAAAGTGTCTCCGTCAGTAATTACAGCGATTGTACTTTGTTAAAATTGTTTAGAAAAATATCTTCGTACATTCTTATCCAGAATAATCATTGTGTAGCTAATAATCGTATTTTCCTTACCTTTGAAAACCACTAAAAACAATCTGCTTTATGCCAACAGTTTATCTGTGAAAATACACAAACTCTAGTTTCCACGTAACTTAAAAACTGACAAGTATCAATATGTAATTAGGTTTGAAGATGCAACAAAGAACTTTTGCAGATGTTGTATTTTGTGACCGTTACATGAACGGCTGCACGCACTAAAAAGTTTCGGATTTGAAATATGTACGACTACTACATTCGTCATTTGTTCTGCTGTCGCAAGACGAGATTTTTAAAAAATTCAAGTAGAATACTCTACGATTAAAAAAATATAAAGCATTTAAACACCTTTTAAACTTTTTTTAACAGCGTTTTTAAATTGTTTGTGTAAATAGGAATGAGAAACTAGAACTCATTCTACGGAAACAGAAAAATTTATAATTTCTCGTGATGTTGTGATTGCATATCGATAGACTGCATTATTAAAATCTTTTAAGCATCTTCAACTCACAGGGGGCTGCTCTGCTCACATTGATTCACTAATCATTGATTTTGTATTATATTTAAGAAAAAGAAAATATTTTTCAAGTTTCTATAGAGTTTTGATGAATACGCGGGAAACTTAGGAAGAAAAAACAAATTGCGTGTCAATTGCTCAAGTGCCCAAAAGTAGACGCTGTGTTTCATTTAGCAAAAATTATTTTGAGTTACTGCCACAATAAATTTACCGTAATTCTTACTGATAGTTTTTTCCTTCAAATTTTCTTTGAATCTCATTTCCTTCATTTTGTAAGAAATTCATTCAAAAAGGGAATTTCCTTCAAAGTGGAAACGCTGCTATTGTTATGTTTTAACCATAGTTTTCATGGCCATTATTCTAGCAAGTTGATTTGGGTTTAAAATTTCCCAACAATATTTTGAAACAGTGCTGTGTTTTTAATAAGACGCCATTTGTAGTATAAGATGAAACATGTAAATTTGTATAAATTATATTATTGCACTTGTGATGAAGAATTGTTTGACTTGAAATCGGTATGACCTACTCTTATATGTCTATAAAACATAATTATGTACAATTTCTGCAGGTTTATGCAGTAATACGAGTTAATAAATGCCTTTAATCTTTATAATGTGCAATAAATATAAAGCATGCCTAAAAATACATTTCAACGACTGGAACCGGTGCATTATTTTGTTCGAGAGCATTTTTTTGTTTTAAAGGATGACCATTGGAAACATTATCTTCAACCTGAACTCCTTGATTTGTTTGTGAAGGAACGCTAGGAGTGTTTTCATTTTTCTTGTTCTTCGGTGAAACATGTCCAGATGAGGAAGAACTTTCGATTTCTTCAGCTGAATCATAAGGACGAGGACCAATAATGGATAAAATGGTCGGAAGGAAAAAAAGTCCATGGAAAATACCAAATAAAACAACACCAAACAATATCTACAAATTGTAATTGTAAAATTTAAAATATAAAATTTACACAATGTACAATATGACAAAAAAGTATGTACGAAAGTTACCCTGAAAAACGTAATAAATACGTGAGATTTTGACGTAGCCAATGGGACAATCGCTAAAAATGTACTAAAACCACCATTCCATACCGCTGGACCGATATCGCGGTACATTTTAATTGTTCTTTCTGCAAGAAATTCCAGAAATCAAACAAAAAATCACAGAATAAGGAATACAAAGCATAGATCACTTCATAATGTATATAAAATGCATATATAATTGATGTATAAAAAATAGATATTACTGGATGCAGTTAGCCAACTCTAGCCAACAAAGATATTTACTGACTGTTACTATGGTAATCACGTGCGTAATAAGACATGCGTGAACAAAAAATTCAATAGTGTTGATTTACTGTTTGTTCTCTATAGTGGTGCTAGAAATTCTAATAAAGAAAACTAATGTGGTGAATACTGATAATGAAATTGTGAACTTTAAGTAGTTCTAAATTCATTTGAATATAAAGGTTTTCATTCGTTAGACATTCGTTCCATTTTAAAATTGTTTGTACTTTAATAAAAACCACAAACATGTATTTTAAAACAAAAGATAAAACAGCTAACGATTTTATGGATATGATTTGGTTTGGTTTTAATATTTTCACAGGATGTCCACAATTGATTCAAACGAAAGCTGATTGGTAAAAATGTGTCCGTTGAGTTTTATGTCCAAAATATACCATTTCAAAAGTAGGGAATTCTTCTTGGCAATGTTATTGTTCATTCGTGTTAATAAGAGATGCTAAACATATTTTGTCACCTTTTCTTGTACCAGATTTTATCAAAAATGTGTGTCCAACATGAGATGCGTAATCCACAGATAAACCAATAGCAATAATAAGCACAATAGTTGAAACTATGTCAATAGTTAAATCCCAAAAGTACATCAATCCAGCAACATCTACCTAGAGAATAATTTGACAAACAATATATAAAAACAACGTTAAACATTGTTAGAAAGTATATATTGAACTATTTTAAAGAACCTTTCGTTTTCTTTTCTACTGACAAACACATAAAGTTGACCATTGAATGAAGATCCAGTATCCGTGGCAAGCGTTAGTGAATGTTCGATACACAATGCATGACTATGCACATGTAAACATGTGAAAATATCAATGAATGTAAAAATTTCCACTTACCACTGTTAAAACAACACATACAAATACCAACACTGACGTCACTGGGCTTGCAATAATCACCATGGTGACAACAAAAACAACTGCCAAAGCCAGAAGTATATTTCGAAATAGTTCTTCAGATATGACCTGACACAGTTATAGAAAGTTTAAATAACGTAAAACGAACTTTCTCTTTTGATTAAAATTGTAAATTTACGTAAATAAAGTACCTTGTTTCCCTCAGCAAACAAAATCACGCGATTATAGACAATGGGGTCTTCCCTGAAACCAATTCCTTCTATCAAACTTCGAAACTTATCCATTGCTTTCACTTGATCTTGCGTTTTCTAAGAATTCTTAGAAATGCACGTATTCGAGTTGCCTAGAATGAGGAAATTAGTCAATCCAACAATATTAGTTGCATAAACTATTTTCTAAAACAAGACAAACCTTTATAGTGTTAGTGTTGTTTTTCCAATGAATGTCGTCATGAAAACGATTTCCGTCACCTTGAAGAAATTCTCGCAGTTTTTCGTAGAAGACCTTTTTATTGTTGACTGTCAATTCTAAATCATCTTATAAGGTAATGAAAACTTGTGAAATAATTTTGTCAGCTTAAAATCATAAAGAATTTCTTTATACTTACTTGTAGTGTTTAGAAACGTGGAGTTTGTCGTATTTAACCATTTAATGTAATGTTCAAACCAATTTTCAACGGTGTTTGATGCTAAGTATTGCGTTTCACTCTTTATATTGTTATTTAGTGTATGCAACTTTATTTGATCTTTGAAATAATCAATCTCTCCTGTAGAAAAACAATACAATGGAAATAATGATTTTAACTGTTTCATGAAGGAAAAAAGAACTGGGCGATGATAAATAAAGCAAATTTCAAATTTATCCAAAATTGACAAATTTTGTATGTAAAGATAAATTCTATAACAATCCCAACACGATAAACATTCCAAAATCCAAAAGAATTTCTATCTTCAAACGATATCCCAGTAATATATGATTCATCAATCACATGCATCTATAGCTTCGAAAAATATTTCATCTTTTACACTGCTCACAACACGATACAAGTATTTCATCATTAAACTCACCAGTATAAAATGCTATCGGTTCACCACCTTGCACAAATTTCTTACAAATGAAAAAAAATTAAATTTAGACAGTGTCTCAATAAAAATATGGTAATTACAAAGTTAAAGGATCATGTTAAAAAAGGAAATTCAATAAACTACCTCTTCATTAAGGTCCATGTAATCTCTGACAACTGTTCCAGCAGGAAGAAACCATTTGGATTCAAATTGCTGTTCTAATTGCAGTGAGCCATAAATATTTCCACCAAGGAGTGCAGCAGCAATTACTAGTATAATGATCTGAAAAATGAATGATTTAAGATAAGAGATAAAAAAGAATAAAGCTATACTGGTATTTGGTTTTTGTCAAAAAACGTGTAACTTATTGATCAAGATACAAACATTACACGCTTAGACACTTTACATCAAGTCAGAAAACCTTTAATAAAACGGAAGAAGACACAAATATTAAGAGAATTTTCCATTTCTTTAAATTAGTATACCTTTACAGGTAACTTGACAACACCCGGTCCAACAATCTTTTCATAAAACATTTGTAAATAACTTTTCTGCCCACATTCATTTGGTTTATAATCCTGAGGTAAAATAATACAGAGACCACAACCATCGCGACGTTTGTCAATTCTAAATAATATGCAAATTACGAAGATTGAATTTACTGGACGATTCACTGTTGCCAATGACATCTTATGAAAGCGGGAATTGAATTCTTAACAAAAAAGATTATAATAATTACAGAGATTGTGTTACCAGAAATTAAATGATATCTTACCTTCGAGCATCAAGAGATAAACAGGCCACAAAGAAGGTGATTTGCAGCACATAGTCACAAAAAATTCCTAAAAATTTGAAGCGTCTCAATACTATAAGAACACACAAAAAACGTCATTTATTTTTTCGTATCAAGTCTACTTACCAACTGCAGCGTAGAAACAAAATGATCGAAGACCAGGAATTATCTAGTCGTTCAAAATAAAATAAACAGTCATATACAACTCATAACACAACTTAAACTTGCAAGAGGTTAAGGAAAAGTAGCTCCATCGAAATTGGTCATCATGAGTCGGTTGCGAATTAAAAAGGTGTCATCTTCCCTTCACAATAATTACACTTTATTATCTCTAAATTCACATTTATTGTTTTAAATGGTCCTTTTGAATTTAAGCTTTTTGCTATCTGAGAAACTTTATATGCAATCAAAAAAATGCCATCAATAGAGAATGTTATCAATGCATTCGCAGCCGATTCCTGTTAGCAGTTAATGATCTATCGAATGTTTCATAAAGATAAGTTTTAATTCACGGTAATTTATTGATGAAAAGTACCGTTGTTGCTCCAATGAGAAAAGCTATAAGATCTGTAAATGTTGTAATGGTGATTGATACTCCCTGCAATGCAAAACAATTTGATGTAAAACAGTTTGATGTTTATGAATATAGCACGGAGGGCTTTAACAACCTTAACGAACGAAGTTAGAAGAAAAAGAATAAATAATCAACTGGAAAATTTACCTCAAATTGAACAAAGTTCAAATGTAATAACTGTATAATTTAAATCAATTCTGTTTTATGTAGGAGATATTGGCTGAATTTTTCACTTACAGCATGTTTTAAAGTTAAACCAATTCTTTCCGCAACTGACTTTGTCTTATGAATTTCAGGTCTAATGTTTGACCACGATTGTACGATAACAAATAGATCATCTACTCCAATACCTACAAATAATATATAATTCATTATTTTTTTATCTTTTTGCGACTAAAGCTGACGATTGTGCAAACATATTATAATTACCAAGAAGTAGAAAAGGTAATGTTGTATGAGCAGGACCATAAAATAGACCAAAAGCACTACAGAGAGCTATGGATATACCAACTGACAGTCCAACACTAACTATTCCACAAAGAGCAAGCCATGCCTGTACATGGAAAATAAATGATTTGTAACTTATGTATATTTTTTACATTTAAAAAATTTTTTGGACCAACTCTTTCTTAAAAATGGCCGGTACTTAAAGCGGTTGTGATTCAATTTTTTCTTATATCCCAATGAAAAAGTTGCCTCGTGACTTTGTTATCTAAGATTACCCATGTCATGCGATAATGTTGGGAGCTTAAATATTAATTGTGTTAAAATACAATCATTTTGCAACACAACGTTCAATGCAGTTATATGAAGTCAATAGCTAACGCTGTCTACAAAAATATTTGTTAAATAATTATCTGGTAAAAACGCAACAAACTCCACATTAAAATAATGAAACACTCCATTTTTCCGTTTTGTGGAAGGAAATTAGGAATTTATGTAATACATAATCTGCTTATAAGTATACGGCAAGGCAAACTTTTTACTCCCAGAACAAGCAGTTTCATTATTGCAGAATAAGTTGTTTTCAGGTCCATTGACAAAAATTAAGAATTTGCAACGATTTAAAATGATTGGTTGAAATATTACAGATAAACAAACAATAAAATAATACCTTGATCTCAAGTCGTGTGAATTTCCCCAAAATTATTATGACGTAAGCAAATATAATTAGATATCCACTTGAAAGTAAAATGATGTCACCATTAATGGCATCAGAAGATACTTCAGCAAATCTAAATGTGAATTTCATGACAGGAAATAAAAGCCTTGGAAACACAATATACGTATGCCATTTGTTGTCAAAGTGATCTTAGGGTTGTTAGTTTTGGTTTTCTCGGCTTTAGTTAAAAAATTTCAACGAACAAAATACTTTTATCATCAAAGTTTTCAAAGAAAAGAAATTTATTAATCCCTACTTTTTTCTAGTCGTATACAGTTTAATGTTATATTTCTCCATAATTCTTTGAAATTTTTCTTCCCATTTTTTACCACGTGGATCAACCTTGAAAAAATAAATCAAAATGTTGAAAGTGGAAAAGAATTCATTATGTAATAAAATACGATAAAATATAGACTTTAATTGACTTACATTATCCTCAGGATCAACCAAAGCAGGAAGTCGTTTATAAAAAAAAGAAGTTTTCACAAATCCTGCACTTTTAATACTTTCGTCTGGGTTTTCTGAATATCGGCTAGAACTTGTTCAAGATTGAACGGACTTCAGAATATGGACTATTAAGAAAATATTGACATAATGTATTTTATTGTTTATACCGTTACATATATGCATATTTTGCAATAGTGTATAAAAGACAGCAACTAACATATACCTAAAAGGTCCTCTGTTTGTTATATCATTTCGAATTTGCTGTTCAGTTAATGACATTATTTTGGTCTCATTAAAATCCCACAATTCCAAGATCGATCGTAGAGAGCACTTATCTCCCTTTCTATAAATATAAATGTTAAAATTCAATGCTGATTGACCATCGTACAAGCTGTAGAACTAATTATACTTTAAATCTAAAGACATATACGAACTTGAAGCAAATGTCTTTCCATTGCAGTTTTATTTTCAAATGTTATAGTGATGTTGACGACGTCTTGATGTATTTCCAACATCTAAGGATCAAAAGAAGTTTTTTATAAATTTGTCATTTATAAAATTTCGTTTTACATTATTTACAAAATAGTGGGGGCTCTTCTAAATGAGATCTACAGGAAGGACTAGATCTCGCTATTGACAACTACGATTACATCTTGTGGTGAAAATTTTCCTAAACGCAACATTGCCCTTCTCCCTGAAGCGTTGAAATTGTTCAGTGAATATTTATGGAATAAAAGATTAAGTTTCAGTTATGACGGAAAGAAAAGACATGCAACAAGAGCTCAACGCCAAAAGTAGACGCTGTGTTTCAAAAGCAAAACTATTTTGGTTTGCCACCAAATTTACTGTATTTGTTGTCAAAGTTTTTCCTTCAAATTTTCTTTGAATGTGAGGCTTCATTTTGAAGAAAACAAAAGGGAAAAAACACGAAGTTATTTTAAACCATAATTTTTGGCCATATTCTAGCAAGTTGATTTGGGTTTAAAATTTAAAATACTTTTGAGACTTGGTACCTTTTTAATGACGCCAACAGTAAGGACATTAAATTTGTATAAATAAATTGAACTTGGAGCAGAATTGTTTCTTGAAATCTATGACCTACTCTTATTTCTATGTCATAATTTGTAGCTTGCTGCAGTTTGTGGTACCCACAGTTTAAACCTTTAATTCTTGTTCGAATCTGCAGTAAACCAGCCAGACAAGCACCACATACAATTAAAGTAATACCTAACGTCACCCAAGGACTGGCACCAACAGTTTTACCAATTCTAAAAATGTAACGAATTTCCATGTGTTATAAATGGTAGTTATATCACTTTCATTAATCAACTTATGGCAAAGTGGATATGGTTATGCACAAAGTCCGAAAATACCAAATAAAACAACACTAAAATATCTACAAATTGTTGGAAAATTTAAAATATAAAATTTACACAATGTACAATAACAAAAAGTATGTACGAAAGTTACCCTGAAAAACGTAATAAATACGTGAGATTTTGACGTAGCCAATGGGACAATCGCTGAAATGTCTAAAACACCATTCCATACCGCTGGACCTATCGGTACATTTTAATGTTCTTTCTGCAAGAAATTCCAGAAATCAAAAATCATGTAAGGAAACAAAGCATAGATCACTTTAATGTTATAAAATGCATATAAATTAATGTAAAAATGAATAAACATGATGCAGTTCCTCTAGCCAACAAAGAAATTTCTGACTGTTACTATGGTAATCACGTGCGTAATAAGACATGCGTGAACAAAAAATTCAATAGTGTTGATTTACTGTTTGTTCTCTATAGTGGTGCTAGAAATTCTAATAAAGAAAACTAATGTGGTGAATACTGATAATGAAATTGTGAACTTTAAGTAGTTCTAAATTCATTTGAATATAAAGGTTTTCATTCGTTAGACATTCGTTCCATTTTAAAATTGTTTGTACTTTAATAAAAGCCACAAACATGTATTTTAAAACAAATGAGAAAACAGCTAACGATTTTATGGATATGATTTGGTTTGGTTTTAATATTTTCACAGGATGTCCACAATTGATTCAAACGAAAGCTGATTGGTAAAAAATGTGTCCGTTGAGTTTTATGTCCAAAATATGCCATTTCAAAAGTAGGGAATTCTTCTTGGCAATGTTATTGTTCATTCGTGTTAATAAGAGATGCTAAACATATTTTGTCACCTTTTCTTGTACCAGATTTTATCAAAAATGTGTGTCCAACATGAGATGCGTAATCCACAGATAAACCAATAGCAATAATAAGCACAATAGTTGAAACTATGTCAATAGTTAAATCCCAAAAGTACATCAATCCAGCAACATCTACCTAGAGAATAATTTGACAAACAATATATAAAAACAACGTTAAACATTGTTAGAAAGTATATATTGAACTATTTTAAAGAACCTTTCGTTTTCTTTTCTACTGACAAACACATAAAGTTGACCATTGAATGAAGATCCAGTATCCGTGGCAAGCGTTAGTGAATGTTCGATACACAATGCATGACTATGCACATGTAAACATGTGAAAATATCAATGAATGTAAAAATTTCCACTTACCACTGTTAAAACAACACATACAAATACCAACACTGACGTCACTGGGCTTGCAATAATCACCATGGTGACAACAAAAACAACTGCCAAAGCCAGAAGTATATTTCGAAATAGTTCTTCAGATATGACCTGACACAGTTATAGAAAGTTTAAATAACGTAAAACGAACTTTCTCTTTTGATTAAAAATTGTAAATTTACGTAAATAAAGTACCTTGTTTCCCTCAGCAAACAAAATCACGCGATTATAGACAATGGGGTCTTCCCTGAAACCAATTCCTTCTATCAAACTTCGAAACTTATCCATTGCTTTCACTTGATCTTGCGTTTTTCTAAGAATTCTTAGAAATGCACGTATTCGAGTTGCCTAGAATGAGGAAATTAGTCAATCCAACAATATTAGTTGCATAAACTATTTTCTAAAACAAGACAAACCTTTATAGTGTTAGTGTTGTTTTTCCAATGAATGTCGTCATGAAAACGATTTCCGTCACCTTGAAGAAATTCTCGCAGTTTTTCGTAGAAGACCTTTTTATTGTTGACTGTCAATTCTAAATCATCTTATAAGGTAATGAAAACTTGTGAAATAATTTTGTCAGCTTAAAATCATAAAGAATTTCTTTATACTTACTTGTAGTGTTTAGAAACGTGGAGTTTGTCGTATTTAACCATTTAATGTAATGTTCAAACCAATTTTCAACGGTGTTTGATGCTAAGTATTGCGTTTCACTCTTTATATTGTTATTTAGTGTATGCAACTTTATTTGATCTTTGAAATAATCAATCTCTCCTGTAGAAAAAACAATACAATGGAAATAATGATTTTTAACTGTTTCATGAAGGAAAAAAGAACTGGGGCGATGATAAATAAAGCAAATTTCAAATTTATCCAAAATTGACAAATTTTGTATGTAAAGATAAATTCTATAACAATCCCAACACGATAAACATTCCAAAATCCAAAAGAATTTCTATCTTCAAACGATATCCCAGTAATATATGATTCATCAATCACATGCATCTATAGCTTCGAAAAATATTTCATCTTTTACACTGCTCACAACACGATACAAGTATTTCATCATTAAACTCACCAGTATAAAATGCTATCGGTTCACCACCTTGCACAAATTTCTTACAAATGAAAAAAAATTAAATTTAGACAGTGTCTCAATAAAAATATGGTAATTACAAAGTTAAAGGATCATGTTAAAAAAGGAAATTCAATAAACTACCTCTTCATTAAGGTCCATGTAATCTCTGACAACTGTTCCAGCAGGAAGAAACCATTTGGATTCAAATTGCTGTTCTAATTGCAGTGAGCCATAAATATTTCCACCAAGGAGTGCAGCAGCAATTACTAGTATAATGATCTGAAAAATGAATGATTTAAGATAAGAGATAAAAAAGAATAAAGCTATACTGGTATTTGGTTTTTGTCAAAAAACGTGTAACTTATTGATCAAGATACAAACATTACACGCTTAGACACTTTACATCAAGTCAGAAAACCTTTAATAAAACGGAAGAAGACACAAATATTAAGAGAATTTTCCATTTCTTTAAATTAGTATACCTTTACAGGTAACTTGACAACACCCGGTCCAACAATCTTTTCATAAAACATTTGTAAATAACTTTTCTGCCCACATTCATTTGGTTTATAATCCTGAGGTAAAATAATACAGAGACCACAACCATCGCGACGTTTGTCAATTCTAAATAATATGCAAATTACGAAGATTGAATTTACTGGACGATTCACTGTTGCCAATGACATCTTATGAAAGCGGGAATTGAATTCTTAACAAAAAGATTATAATAATTACAGAGATTGTGTTACCAGAAATTAAATGATATCTTACCTTCGAGCATCAAGAGATAAACAGGCCACAAAGAAGGTGATTTGCAGCACATAGTCACAAAAAATTCCTAAAAATTTGAAGCGTCTCAATACTATAAGAACACACAAAAAACGTCATTTATTTTTTCGTATCAACTCTACTTACCAACTGCAGCGTAGAAACAAAATGATCGAAGACCAGGAATTATCTAGTCGTTCAAAATATAACAAACAGTCATATACAACTCATAACACAACTTAAACTTGCAAGAGGTTAAGGAAAAGTAGCTCCATCGAAATTGGTCATCATGAGTCGGTTGCGAATTAAAAAGGTGTCATCTTCCTTTCACAATAATTACACTTTGTTATCTCTAAATTCACATTTATTGTTTTAAATGGTCCTTTTTAATTTAAGCTTTTTGCTATCTGAGAAACTTTATATGCAATCAAAAAAATGCCATCAATAGAGAATGTTATCAATGCATTCGCAGCCGATTCCTGTTAGCAGTTAATGATCTATCGAATGTTTCATAAAGATAAGTTTTAATTCACGGTAATTTATTGATGAAAAGTACCGTTGTTGCTCCAATGAGAAAAGCTATAAGATCTGTAAATGTTGTAATGGTGATTGATACTCCCTGCAATGCAAAACAATTTGATGTAAAACAGTTTGATGTTTATGAATATAGCACGGAGGGCTTTAACAACCTTAACGAACGAAGTTAGAAGAAAAAGAATAAATAATCAACTGGAAAATTTACCTCAAATTGAACTAAGTTCAAATGTAATAACTGTATAATTTAAATCAATTCTGTTTTATGTAGGAGATATTGGCTGAATTTTTCACTTACAGCATGTTTTAAAGTTAAACCAATTCTTTCCGCAACTGAATTTGTCTTATGAATTTCAGGTCTAATGTTTGACCACGATTGTACGATAACAAATAGATCATCTACTCCAATACCTACAAATAATATATAATTCATTATTTTTTTATCTTTTTGCGACTAAAGCTGACGATTGTGCAAACATATTATAATTACCAAGAAGTAGAAAAGGTAATGTTGTATGAGCAGGACCATAAAATAAACCAAAAGCACTACAGAGAGCTATGGATATACCAACTGACAGTCCAACACTAACTATTCCACAAAGAGCAAGCCATGCCTGTACATGGAAAATAAATGATTTGTAACTTATGTATATTTTTTACATTTAAAAATTTTTGGACCAACTCTTTCTTAAAAATGGCCGGTACTTAAAGCGGTTGTGATTCAATTTTTTCTTATATCCCAATGAAAAAGTTGCCTCGTGACTTTGTTATCTAAGATTACCCATGTCATGCGATAATGTTGGGAGCTTAAATATTAATTGTGTTAAAATACAATCATTTTGCAACACAACGTTCAATGCAGTTATATGAAGTCAATAGCTAACGCTGTCTACAAAAATATTTGTTAAATAATTATCTGGTAAAAACGCAACAAACTCCACATTAAAATAATGAAACACTCCATTTTTCCGTTTTGTGGAAGGAAATTAGGAATTTATGTAATACATAATCTGCTTATAAGTATACGGCAAGGCAAACTTTTTACTCCCAGAACAAGCAGTTTCATTATTGCAGAATAAGTTGTTTTCAGGTCCATTGACAAAAATTAAGAATTTGCAACGATTTAAAATGATTGGTTGAAATATTACAGATAAACAAACAATAAAATAATACCTTGATCTCAAGTCGTGTGAATTTCCCCAAAATTATTATGACGTAAGCAAATATAATTAGATATCCACTTGAAAGTAAAATGATGTCACCATTAATGGCATCAGAAGATACTTCAGCAAATCTAAATGTGAATTTCATGACAGGAAATAAAAGCCTTGGAAACACAATATACGTATGCCATTTGTTGTTAAAGTGATCTTAGGGTTGTTAGTTTTGGTTTTCTCGGCTTTAGTTAAAAAATTTCAACGAACAAAATACTTTTATCATCAAAGTTTTCAAAGAAAAGAAATTTATTAATCCCTACTTTTTTCTAGTCGTATACAGTTTAATGTTATATTTCTCCATAATTCTTTGAAATTTTTCTTCCCATTTTTTACCACGTGGATCAACCTTGAAAAAATAAATAAAAATGTTGAAAGTGGAAAAGAATTCATTATGTAATAAAATACGATAAAATATAGACTTTAATTGACTTACATTATCCTCAGGATCAACCAAAGCAGGAAGTCGTTTATAAAAAAAAGAAGTTTTCACAAATCCTGCACTTTTAATACTTTCGTCTGGATTTTTCTGAATATCGGCTAGAACTTGTTCAAGATTGAACGGACTTCCAGAATATGGACTATTAAGAAAATATTGACATAATGTATTTTATTGTTTATACCGTTACATATATGCATATTTTGCAATAGTGTATAAAAAGACAGCAACTAACATATACCTAAAAGGTCCTCTGTTTGTTATATCATTTCGAATTTGCTGTTCAGTTAATGACATTATTTTGGTCTCATTAAAATCCCACAATTCCAAGATCGATCGTAGAGAGCACTTATCTCCCTTTCTATAAATATAAATGTTAAAATTCAATGCTGATTGACCATCGTACAAGCTGTAGAACTAATTATACTTTAAATCTAAAGACATATACGAACTTGAAGCAAATGTCTTTCCATTGCAGTTTTTTATTTTCAAATGTTATAGTGATGTTGACGACGTCTTGATGTATTTCCAACATCTAAGGATCAAAAGAAGTTTTATAATTTGTCTGTTATAAAATTTCGTTTTACATTGATCGCATACATTTAAGAGGCTGTATACATGAGCCCTACAGTGAGATGTCATCATTGACAACCTAAATTTTGTCTTGTGGAGCTGCAAATTGTCCATTAAAATGCAGCAGGAGGTAAAAATTTAGCGTATGGCGGCGATAAAAGGGATTAACGGAAGCTCACGCACATATAAGTGTGAAATAGCAAAGAGCAAAACTATTTTGGTTTTTTTAACCAGCCATTCTGTAGACTGTATTTGTCGTCAAGGCGCGCTGTGAAAGTCCACCTCTTAATGTGGGGCAAGAATTTTGAGTATAAAACAGAGGTAAAAAACAGCCCTTCAAGGTTACATAGCTCATCTCGTAGGACTCATTTAAAGCGGTTATCTTGAAGCTAGGTAATAACTGGACATTTTGATATAACAATTTAAGTAATAGATACTTTAAGAGACTTGGTACCTTGCGAATGACGTCAACAGTAAGGACATTAGATTGTTCATAAATAAAATGAACTGGAGCAGATTCTTCAGGAAACTCTCGTTCGACCCATTTCTTGTCTTTTTGAGCTTGCGAGTCTTGTGGTACCCACAATTTTTCACCTCTAGATTCTTGTTCGAATCTGAGTAAACCAGCCAGACAAGCACCACATACAATTAAAGTAATACCTAACGTCACCCAAGGACTGGCACCAACAGTTTTACCAATTCTAAAAAATGTAACGAATTTCCATGTGTTATAAATGGTAGTTATATCAGGTCATTAATCAACTTATGGCAAAGTAATATATTATGCACAAAGCCGAAAATTACGTAATAGATTTACTGACTAAAGGACTCGAACTTGTTGGATGATCTAACTCTTCAAATAAGAGAAAAAAGATGTTTACTGTGTTTGCACAGGCTTATGCAAACCAAGGAGACCTTTGGGAGAACTCGAGAGCAGATCAGTGCAAGCTGAGACTGAAGGTCGAGGGTTACACCTGCTCAAGAGTTCTCACTAACGTCTCCAAGGTTTGCATAAGTCTGTGCAAACACAGTAAACATCTTTTATTTTATAAAATAGCAATATGGTAGTGCGAAACAGACCAATTTCAGACAAACGTTTTAATTTTGCTCTAAAATGTAAATTCGCAAATTCTCTTTAATTGATTGAGTTGATTTGTCAAGCTCAGTTCGGCGAAAATATCAACAACATTTCATTAAAATCAGTTTGGGGAGAAACTCGAATGTCTTGAAAACACTCGCACTTCCCACGTGATTTTATAACTCCGTAGAAACTTGGAAATATTTCCTATTTCTTAAATGACAAATACAGTTATGTAACATGCACTCCTGCACAAACACAAGTGACGTCATGTAACAATACACGTGACAATCATGCAATGTATACAAGTGATCAAAATCTAGGACTAAGACACGTAACGAAAAAAAACATTAAACTTTAATTTTGAGGACCAAATAACAGTGAAAAAATATGAAAATAAGAACCAAACATGAAAGTTAGAATCCGTAGAGGTTACTTCATAACACCTATTGGATACAAAAACGTGAGCAGCATACGGTTCACGTGAATGATTATATAATTATTTTTGTTTTACGTATTAACGACGCAAAAATCTTGTTGTATGTTTGACCTAGGATAAACTAAAATAAATTACAATTACACGTTCTTGGATATATTTACACATAAAATGCCTTAAAACCAATTAAGTAGGTAAAATTTAATTCTTTGCACCTTAAAACTTAAAGTGTTGCTGAAGTTAGATCGATAAACTGAACAGCAGGTAGCAAGCTATATTCGTAGCTCTACTAGCTAAAGGTAGTACAGCCATGGATGTTCACGAATAAAATAAAGCCAAAATAAAGCTGACAATACAAGCATCTTCGTTGTCTTCATTCTTTAATATCTACCTGTAAAATGCTTTCTCCAAGAATCCATTTATGACATTACTTAAATTCTGTAGATAGTTTTTAGACTGGCTCTTCGATTCTTTACTAGATCCAGACATTCCTGACAACTTCTGTTTTCTATCGTTAGAAAAACTTAATTTCACTTAAACCAAAAAAAATAAATACAAAGACAAAGATTATAACAAAATTGCCAGCTCAAGACTACAAGCAAGAGACAAAAGCCAAATGTAACCAACAAAACGCAATAAGACTAAAAACTTAAAGCTTGCAATAAAACTCTACTTTTTTTGAATCCAAACTTCCAAGGATGGCTAATATAATTTGTAAGAAATCTTCTTATGTTGAATGCGAAGTAAAATAACACTCTACTTCTATTGAATGCAAAATTCCATGGATGTCTAATAGAATAATTTTGATGATTATTACTTAAAAGACGAAACTTGAACAACACTAATTTTCTCCCCATAGTTTTTAAGGTAAAATTTCTGCCGACAGAGATAACAAGAGGATTTAGAATCTTTGTCGAATATTTTGAGGAAGGATTCAACAATATTTACATCATAAATTAAAAATATACAATGTTCTATATTAATTCTAGATTTCTAGAATGCATGTCAAAAACAAAATGGACAAGTAAAATTTACCTTTACAAAAGAAAGATCAAATGCAAGTATACTCTAAAACAAATGGTCGCAGTAGCGATGAAAATGGTCTATATATCTTGGGAATAAGCAGTCGATACAATGTTTTGTTTCACCCTTATCGCTATCGTATGAATATATCATAAATAAAATATGAATAACTAACATTCAAATTTCAAAACGGCAATTGTCTTTAGGCGCGTGGGAGGATATGCAAAAGCATTTGTGGCAAAAGAACTATTAATACATTATCAGTTAATAACTAAATCCAAGAAATGATGGACTTATAAAGTCCTTAACACAGTGCTATGCATCAAGCAAGATCATTAACTTCTACAAACTCCTTGGTCTCGGGTGACATAAATATTCAGATAAGATGTAAATATCACTATGTACTGTTTTGTCTCCCAAACGTTTTTTATTGTTGCATCGACGCTTGTTTAAATACACTTCAATACAACAAAGGATCATGAAGGAAGCACGTGAGTAGACAAGGATATTATTGTGCAATGCTATGTTACATGAACAGGGGAAAGTCAACATTAGAAAAATTCAAAAACATGCATCGTCATAGGCTGTGGCATGATTTGAATTTTTGAAAAACTTAATATAACTTATAATAAACTTTATAATAACAAGCTGGATCATCATTATCGTTACAGTACAGTCCCAAAGTGACAGAGTCAAAATGAAAACGTACAACTATTTAATAGAAAAACTTTTACTTGAAATTAAAAAACGTAACGTCATTCGATATAAAGTTGTATGACTTAAGACAAAGAAATTTCTGCACATCAACCAAAATCAACCAAAACTCGTGTGATCATTTCTGTATCAACTAACTATGATCTGTAGAAGACACGAAAAACTTTTGTAGACTTTCTTTTAAAGAGATGTGAAATTTTTATGCCATGAAGTTGAACCGAAGGTATATAGCTAAAATAAGCATATTTTTTAATAAGATTTTTAAATAAAGATGTTAAACGTTTTTTAACGAAATGAAACTTAAAAGTTTCAAAGTCCGTCTCAATGAGTTTTAACAACGCAATACAAAAAAACAATTGTCTGATCAACGTAAACCACAACAACATAAGGCTAAAAACGATGTTGCGTTGCGAGGATTTTTTTTGAGAGATAAAAACTTCGCAGATATTTTAGTAACTAATAGTAAGAAATACCAAAAAGTTTTCCATACAGAATAACGTTATTTTACTACCTAATATTTATACAAGATTTGAGTGAAATATTTAATAAGTTAAGATACGCATTTATAAATGAGGTTTGAGCTTTTCTTCCTTCTTAAAATCAGAATTTGTTGCTTCGCAAAGGCGAAAATTGCGTTTTGATAACTTTAATCTTATTATTTGCCTGCACCTCCTAAACATGGCGGTGATTTTGCTACTTTACCTTCACTTTTCTCCCATTGTGTTGGTGTTTTTGCCTAAAACACAAAGTGAATAACACAAGCGTGGGTATAAATAATGAACCAAATTATTTTATCATTCGTAAAGTACAATTACCTGTATGGACAAGGCATGAACTGAAGTGGATAATTCAGTTGCAAGAATTTCGTTGACCAATCTATGCCTCTAGTAATAATGTAAGACATTTTTGTTTTTTTAGTCAAAACCTTGATTGAAGACAAGATTTTTATTAAATAAAAAAATAACCTTAATCAAAGGAAGATTTTCAAATTTCTTTGATACAACAACCACTTTAAAATGAGTCTCGGATCCTTATGCATACAAAAATAACATAGAACTAAAAACTCTGAAAATGAACAACTTTTAAGGTAAATTATCTTGCAATTGCCAACCCTTTTGCTACCAGCCAATAATTCACACAAATCGTAATGATCAACGACAGGCAGATGTTTCTGAACAGTCACATATTTTCCTCAAGTTTTGCACAAACACACATGGTGAAAATATGAATGAATGTAAAAATTTCCACTTACCACTGTTAAAACAACACATACAAACACCAACACTGACGTCACTGGGCTTGCAATAATCACCATGGTGACAACAAAAACAACTGCCAAAGCCAGAAATATATTTCGAAATAGTTCTTCAGATATGACCTGACACAGTTATAGAAAGTTTAAATAACGTAAAACGAACTTTCTCTTATAATAAAAAATTGTAAATTTACGTAAATAAAGTACCTTGTTTCCTCAGCAAACAAAATCACTCGATTATAGACAATGGGGTTTTTACTGAAACCAACTTCGAGTTTGTCGTATTTAAACATTTAATGTAATGTTCAAACCAATTTTCAATGGTGTTTGATCCCAAGTACTGCGTTTCACTCTTTATATTGTTATTAAGTGTATGCAACTTTATTTGTTTTTTGAAATAATCAATCTCTCCTGTAGAAAAAACAATACAATGGAAATAATGATTTTTAGCTGTTTCATGAAGTAAAAAAGAACTGGGGCGATAATATTTAAAGCAAAATACCAATTTATCCAAAATTGACAATTCAAACTAAATGTCAGAGTCAATGTGTCCTCTTGTAAGGAAACACTGGAGTTGTTTTTTATATTTCTTGAAAAGGATTCTCAATTATCACAACATGTGATGAAGCGACCTAAAAATTAGCAAAATACTACAAATCATGAGACATCAGCTAAGGTCAAATGCATGGGAAGGCTGGGAGAAGTGACATGTTTAACGCAAGCATTTTTACGGTGCACAAGCAAAGAATAATTTACAATAGTTTTCTTTGTTTTATGTGTTGACAACATTGATATGCAAAGACACAACAGGGGCGGAAATTATCTGGAAAACAAAACTCGACAAAAAAAAGAAAAAATTGGAGTTGAACACAAAAGTTTAATAAGATATTAAAAATGACCAATATGCTATTTACAGGGATTTTTTTGACTAAAAAAACTAATGTACGACGGACACTTACAATAATATATGATGGACACTTAACAATCTACAATTCTTACAAATTGAAGATGAAACGATGAAAAGATGATTTATATTTCTTTATATTAACTCAGACTCAGCGCAACGTTTTCTTTGAGAATGATACTCTGAGATGACTATCGTTACCAATTGGATAATCATGAAGATCCTGAATAGAAAAAACACATGTAATCACATTTGACATGGAACAAAAAATAGGAAAACAAAAACAAATATCTCTGACACAATTTATTGTTTTTGAATGTAGAATTAATATTTTCTTTATAAAATAGCGAGTCAAACTTGTAAGATTTTGAGAGTGCAGCGCCTAAAGTAGGTACCAACCACAAAAAACGTTTACTCACTACTAAAGCTTGCACAGCTTCTTCAACTGACGCCATCTCTACTAAAGCCATTCTTTTTCCTCGTCCAACTTCTTTCCTGTGTTTAAAATAATCAAAACACACTTGTAAACTTGCTTTTTGTGAAATTAATTTTTGGTATAACAAAATATGTAGGTACTAACGTAAAAAACTCGAATTTTGTCATTTCTCCCTCAGTTTTAGATTTAAATAAAGACTTTAGCTCCTCTTCAGTGACACTTCCACTAAAACACATACAATTCTCGTTTTTAAGTAAAATAGACTAACTCAATCTTCATTTAAATTTAAAATCACGTCCAAAATTACTAACGGGATGTTGGACAAATGAAGGACTCTCCCGGGGGGGAAAATATTCTGATAATTTTTTGAGCCTTGTTGTTTGAAGCGATGACCAGCGGCTCGCGAATAATCTTGAGTAAGATGTGCACCCTGGTAATAATAAAAAATTTTAACTGAAAAATAAATATTTTCTTAATATTTTGTTAAAATACATATATTCTTAACGAGTAGAGTATGACGGATATTTTAATTATGTATTTATTTAACAATAATTACATAAATCCAAAGCTGCAACAAAACATCACAAAATTAGCATAAAAAATGATTTGAACTATGAGTTGCCTCATCAGGATGAAAAAAAGCTTTTAATATAATAACTGGTACATATCAAATAATGAATAGGATTCATGTTTATAAACTACCTCAGAATCTCGTTTGGGCATGTTGATGTTATCATGTTTTGATGTACTAACTCTCAATTTTTTCCCTTGAAAGCGAACTTCATTCAAATTTTCCCGAGCTAAATAAAATAAAATACGCACAGTTAACAATATCCAGTTTCTCTAGACTAAACATTTGGTCGGTGAATAAGTTTCGAAAATGGCGAGAAAATTCATGCGGCGTCAATTAGAAACAGCGTGTCATTCAGACTAGGCGTGACCAATCAAAATGCTTCATTCACTTTGCTGGACATCAATGTTTCACTTTGCCGGTTATTTGGACCAACCACATTTTATCGTTTTCAACAAAAGTACTGTGGTAAAGCGCTTATAACGTCTAACACAAGAATCTGTAATCTCGAAACAAACTACTTTTCATGTTTTTTGTAGTATCTGTGTTCAAGTATCTGTGTATTGATAAGCGAGCAAAAACCGTAAGTACACAACTTAGCCGTTCTTTTGAGTTCTGCACATAGCAATAAAAGGAAACCCAGGCTAGTTTGAAATAACATATTACGTAAATGTAAGGAGTATTTGTACAAGAGAGATTATTACCTGTTTGTGCGTGATAAGCATCAAAGAATTGAATAAGAGCTGTGTCAGGTTTATTGAAGAGAATCTTTACACGCATTACATCACCGTAAGCACCTGGTATAAATAAATAAGAAAAATGCTTTCACGTTTTCACAGGAATTTTTTTTTGAAAGGACTTTTTGTAGTTTGATTGGAAAAACTAATTTCAGGCAAACACAATTTTCAACGTCAATAAAGTTGACGGACTTCAAACAATATCTTAAGATAACCTGTAGATTTTCAAGAAAAAACCTTCTTTAAATAAGTAATAGTGTCATCAAAACAAAGTAGATAAAACAGCACAATAATTTAAAAGAATATTAAGTAATTAAATAACAAGTCGATCTTGAAATGTATTGACATTTGAAGGGAAATATTTTTTAGAAACCCCGAGAGAAAGAAATTTCGTCATTGAAGAAAACAGCTTTGAAAGTAAAGAATCATAGCATGCACGCATGAACGATTTGTCAACTCAAGAAAAAACCGGAGAACAGTGAACATATAAGATCAAACCGTGGTACTTAGGGACTTGCGTGGACATACCAAACAGTATGAAAAGGTCGTCACATTTGATCCTCTAATGAATTCAGGATAAAGTTGGTAGAAACAGAGCAAGGATGAAACAAAAACCAGCGCATTAAAGAAAGATAAATAAGTTCAAGTAGTTAGTAGAATGAAGTCATCAAAGATAACGAATCTAGTTCAAACATCACATGTTATGTTTCATCAATGATAAATCTATGAAATAAAGAATTAAGAGCAAAAATGCATCAAAATAAGTTGTGTAAGAATTTTGCTTTTCATGAAAGGGAAGATTAAAAAAAAAGATATTAAAAAGAAATTAATTTCATAAGATACAAGGTGAATTCTGTATATCAACAAATATCGTATTCATTAACCCAAGAATTTCAGATACAAACCTCAGCATTTAATTCACTGACAAGTAAAACAGATTTTCTATCGCGATCATCATTATCTCGTCGACGACCTCGTCTATCATCAGATTGTTGATTTCCTCCAATGCCTAAAAACAAAAAAAAACACACCCAAAATTTTCAATGTGATAGATAAAAAATCAGACAAAATACAGTTACATTACCACACGATTCCTTAATCTGAGAAACTTAACAGATGAAACCAAATTATTTTACTATCAACAAGACAGATAAGGATAAGTTTTTGTTACCCTGTAGCATATTACCAGCTCCTAACAATCCAAGATTTGGCACAGTAGCAGCTGCACTGGCAGCAAGAAACGGGTTGCTCAAAACAGCCCCTGTCAATATTAAATACAAATCACTGAATATAAAAAATAGCTTAAAATAGATCAAAACATTGCATTTAGTTACCTAGAGCGGATAAGCCAAGATTTGGATCAAATGATGGTTGACCTTCACCCGAGGGAAGGTCGGGTCGCGTAAAATCTCTGAATGATATAAAATGTTATTACAATCAATTTATTTACGACATACGAATGAAAGGTGAAAATCATACCTTGTTTTGTCGTTGTTAAATTTTACATTGAGATTGTTGAATTTGGAGTAACCTATTTTCATAGAGCAACATCCATTGTAAATGTTCTGTCCATCAAGCGCCTAAAAACAATAAAACATAAATCATTTTGAGAAGTTTACAGTATACGAACTAGTGGAGCCAACAAAAGCGGAGGTGTGTTGAGCTGGACTATGAAAGTTCGTGTTGTTATCTGGCTTTTTTAAGAAAAGTAAAGAAGAGTTTTTGTCACTTGATTGTACAGTACATACATGAAGGACAAAAAAACAAGAAATTATTCATCTTGTACACTTCTTTTAAGCCATTATTATTGAAGTATTACAGCAAACAAGTGTAAGCGTGAAACACGTGACGTGAAGAGCAAGCAAGCATACACGTGGTACATGTCACGTGACGAAACAAGTGAAACACTTGACGAGCAAACATATGCGCGCACGTGAAACACATGCATTCTGTGATTACAACGAAATTCTTCAATGAATAGCTGTAACAAAAAATTAAATAACTGCGTATTTTGTAAAAGGTATTTCTTTTTGCAAACAATGGAAACATATGTGAAGTTGACATGGTAAATTTTATGGTTATTTTGAACTTACAGATTTAGCAGCAGTAGCAGGAACATGATCTGAATATTGAACAAACACTTGAAACTGATCTAAATAACATTCATAAAATGAAAAATAAATGCATAAATTAACGGGATGATAAGAATGCAACAGAATGATAACGAAATCAAACACGTCCACTTAGTTGAACAATAAATTAAAGGCAAAAGAGTAGACAAATAAAACATATACTGTGTCCCACATGCCTGTCTATCAAAAATATATCTTTCTTGTCACAATAATGTCGATATTATTTAACTAAGTCGGTACATCAACCAAGCGTGAGGTCTTCAAGCCGAAATATCAAACTAATGTTTTTTCGGTTCAATATTGCTTGGTAAAGACTGAACAAGTAGGGTAGTTAAAAACTTTATCATTAGGCATGGATCATTTTGTTTTTAAAGAAAACCAAAACAAACCACACATTGTTTACAGCATGAAATTCTTCTATACAAGAAACATAGAACAGTAACATAAATTATTATATCGGAACCGTCTCTTCCGGCTAAATAGCACGCTTTGATTGGCCCAGAAACATTTTTGCCGGTCCATTATTTTCCAGTAATCGACCACGGTCCAAAACGCGCAATTTTACAGTCAAATATAAACAAACTTCGAAATGCAAATGGCAAAACGCAAAATAAACGAAACAAGAAACCATTTACAAATGTGATTCTAAGGAAAAACACTTAAAAAACCATCCAGACGATACAATTTGAAACGATTTATTTTTTATGGAGGAAAACTAGAAAAGTGAAAGCCAACCGGTAAAAAATAGCAAGGACAAGAAAGAAAGCAAGCTTCGTTTCAGGTCAATTAATGCCTTATAATAAACCTTTTAATAACCTCGCTTTCAACGTCTTTACTGAGAAATATCGGACCTCTGTACAAAAAAACATCGGTCCGATATTTCTCCGTATAGACCTCGCACTCGGTTATTAATTCGACTCATATTCATACATAAGTGATTTTTTATTTTGAATTTGGATTTTTGCAGTATTCTTTGGGATATTGAAAGTCTAAAATTTGTTTACTTTTTTGTAAGGTCCATCAAAAGAAAGAAATGAACTGTCAAAAATGCTTATAAGCCAATCAAAATGCACTATTTCACCAGAAGTGATGCTTCTAAGCCACTCAAAGTGCACTATCTCACTGGAAGTGATGCTTCTAAGCCAATAAAAGTGCACTATTTCACCAGAAGTGATGCTTCTAAGCCAATCAAAATGCACTATTTCACTGGAAGTGATGCTTTTGCCATATATAATAATAAACATCATATGATACATGTACATATGTACTGTATCAACAAGCTTATGATAAATTATCTACAGCTACTCGTTAAATACAGGCAACATACTTGTTTTAGTACAAATAGCAATTTTTACCACAGTTCCATACTTGGAAAATATCTATAAAATAAACATGCAAAAACTTGAACTATGTTTTCTTCATATTTAAAGCATCATTCAAACACAAACTTACCAGTTGTAAGGCATCAATAGATACGGGATATAACATATTTTCCACAACAACTCTTAAAACATTACTAACATTCTCAGATGAAGAGTTGTTTGGGAACAATGTGGGATTTGGAAGAAGACCACCACCATTGTTATTGGGACTAGCCATTACACCAATCTTGGAATCTTCTCCCATCAACATAGACATGAGATCACCAGATGATGAATATGTGCTGGATGCCATGGCTGCTGCGGCTAGGAGTGCTGTAACCTGTAAAAAAATTATTTTTTATAAAAGTGAATGATTTGAGCCAAAGTATAGTTAATGTTTGAAGACATTGATTGTCAAGGGACCTTAGGACAATCCCGTTGACTGACAAGGACAATCAACGCCAACAAACATGTAACGACATTTCTATATCACCAGATCACTACATTTCTATAAATCATTACAGCAAGTGTAAGTCATTTATCACAAATTTTATAATTAATACATACATATCAGATATTACTGCATGGTCATCAATTTTTTTACTTACTGCAGGAGACTGCTTCTCAACTTTAAGTTCAGTATGTGATGAATATTGAACATAAACATTTGATCCTCTAAACAAAATGTGAATATATCATATAATTATTTATGAATTGTAAAAGTTCACTTTTCTTTTAAGCTGTTCACTTCATGACAAAATTATGTTTATCGTCACATGAAAATACAACATTTGCCAGTTGTGGTCAGCATCTGACCTTGAAAAGAAAAACATGGGAATTTTTGGCAACAAAATCCAATAAGATTTTTACCTTATATATTCTTTTAGGAAAGCAAGTATTTCATATATTTACATTGTTGTCAGTGTTCTTTTTAAAAATTGGTAGAAATAATAAAAATTGATTGAAATCTTTGGAAACAACTTGTTTTGTTGCTCCTTAAACCATCCTTCCACGGTTAACACATGTGTCAAAATATATGATTGAAAATTTGCTAAGTGCATAAACAAGCAACAAATTCAGAGCTTTCTCTGTCACAAATTGAGAATTAATATGAGCATGCAAAGTCAACTGCAACAACTCTCCAAGTTCACGGTCATGGCAACGACCAACTGTATGTACTAGTAACAATTATGGAGTAATTAGCTCACACAGTCACAAATTTTCAGATAAATCATCTGCGCATGCGCAGTTAGTTTGATCATGCACAGTCAACTTGAGCAGCTGTCCAAGTTCAAGTTCATTGTCATGCATTTCGTTGTAAGAAACCACCCTATCAAAGAATATCAAGTCCCGGTTTTAGCTGCATCGAGCAAAGAAAATTGCAAGTCCGAAGTTTTAACTGTTATTTTTATAATATTTATGATTCGATGTATCATGAGATTCCAGATGAGATTCATGACTTTCTTGGAATACAATTACACATATTCATAATAAGACAATGTTTTATGTTATCCTTTAGCGTCATTGTAATTTTATACATTTAAATTTATAGGTATAGTTTAAAATCCCATTTTATGCACTTTATGCAGCTGGAATCCGTCCTGGATGTTCTTAAGTCCCGCAAAAATCACAACAAAAAAGTCCTTAGTGCAACAACATGCCAGTATTCAAGCTTTCCTTCAATCTTTAATCTTTAATCTTTATGTTTTTTTCTAACCCAAATTGGTTAATATCTACTGCTATGCCCTCTACCTTTATTAATGAGCAGATTCAAAAAAGCCCCAAAACTCAAAAACATCTCTGAACCATTTTTTTGTCCACTATTGTACATACTATGTCCGACCATTTGATTGTCAATTTTGTAATTTGATCTCATATTTTTGACATGTGTCTACCTTCAGAAAGGTGTATTAATGGCATCCATAGTAAACAAAACACAATTTTCCTTGATCTCAGTGCGTAAATCTTAATTACCATAACAGCAACCTCACTATTGACTTTGAAGACGACTGTTGCTAACAAACATCAACAGTCTTTCTCAGGACTCTACAAACCTGGAGGATTTACATCTACGAACATTACATAAACTCACCTAGCACTTTATCTACAGGTACTAAACATTGCCATAAAACATGATAAAATAAAACTATAACTTGCCTTATTTTTGCAGGTGTGAATTGGTAAAATTTACCATCGCCTCAGCTTTACTTATATCTTCCATTTCAAGAAATGCCTACAAAAGAAAACAAAAACAAACATTACTACATCCTAAATTTAAAAAGAAACAAAAGAACTTGTAAACATATTCAAAAAAAAACATAAACAGAAATTACATTATTATCAATGTGTTAAAAAGAACAAAAAAGTAAACTTAAATTGTCATAAAATCCATAAAACAAAGTTGTTTTAATAACACATGTAGATATTCATATTTCTAACCTGTGGTTTTCCTTTACTTTTTGTAATTTTTAAAATGTTTACAATCTTGCCAAAGGGAATGCCAAGTTGAAGAATCTAAATTGTTAATTTAGATGATCAAATAAACCAATGAGTACATAATAGTCCACCAAACTGTTGCTTTCAAAGCCTGCTACAAGATACAATACTTTATGCTAAATTAAAGTCATTGATAATTAGCAAACAATATACATCAGCTTCAGTTGCAGCATCAGGAAGATTTCTAATGTGAAGAACTTTTGATGGAGGGTTGTCGTCTTGTTTCATCTGATATAAATAAAAATTACGACAAAGTGAAGAAATGAAAGAGAGAAACCTAATGCTAAAGATGTTGAAAAAATTTCTGTGTTCCAAAAATAAATTAGACTTCTTATATATTATTTTAACATTAGAAATACACATGCATCAAAAACAATGAAAATAAATATACTGTAATACAAATTTTTACATTCTGAATATCTATGTATTGCAATTTTCAACATCGTTAAAGCAATTTGCTAACTGCAGCATGTTCCTCAAACTTTGTTATGCATTGAACATTGAGAAACCTACATAACCTAATTATGAAAAATTAGCAAATCAATAAAAAAAGTTAAAATACAAAAGAACTTTGTTTAACTCAATCATTGCTGAATTTTTTTAATGGAAATTAAAGGTAAAAAAAGACTCACTCACCCTTTTCATACCAAAGTTTTCATCAATATTAGAATAACCATCTGAAGGTCGCTAAAAGCAAAAGACAAAGCAAAATATTTCATCAAGCCATATTTTGAATCTAGTAAATTCATCTAGATAATGGGAAATGTTGTTTAGTAAGTGATAGATATGACAAAGTAGGCATGAATGGAGCTAACAAACATTAATAATTATTAATGACATTAAAAATTAACTTCATATTGGAAAGACTTCAAATTCAAATTCATACCAATGAAGATGACAATTTGTTCATTAAATAAGTACAGGACTACCTTAACTAATGTAATAGAAGATAATGTGGTTGAAAAATATTGAACTTAAAGCAAACCATTAAATCTCTAATAACAAAATTTCTACTTAATGAAGAAGCTAGATATATCTTGTTGTTATAAACTCTTCTTTAATGTAAAGCTTCAATGCGGCATTAAGGAATAAATTTATAGACATTACAAAATAATGAAAAGTATATTATATTATGTAATATTTGCTATTTAAACACTTGTTATATAAAACAAAAATCAAAGAAAATAGCTGATACTTGACCAATAAAAACTTTGATCAATAGGGGTAAAAAGTCATGAAGAAAGAGCTTCTTTTGTATTTCTTCTAAGAACTAAATTTCATAATGTTGCCAAGGACGTTAAAGAAGAAAATCTCTGGGGAGAAATTTATATTCATACTATGTACGACAAATAACAAATTCCAAACCAAAACTAACAAATGTAGTGTGTATGAGGAGCTAACTATCAAATTCACATGTGATAACATAATAAGGTTGAAAGGTTGTCAAAAAGAGCACCCATACACTCTCCAGTAAGCAGCATTATTCCATGCAATTACACGAAAAAATATATCTATGACTGTTTCCAATACACGCATCATCCAATAAAGCAAAGAAATTTACATTAAAATTAGCAAATAGTTGGTTCATTTGTGTTTGTTATAAACATGATGGAAAGCATTTTGCATGCGCAAACAAACTTTAATATAAAAGAGTCACAACGTCGAATTTAAAACAGGTCAATGTAGATTATCACAAAAGATCCAACACAAGCACAAGATTGAACAAAATACATCATGGTCTTAGTGTAAATCAACAACAGCAAAGAAACAACTGAATGCTGACACACGAAATCAACTTCTATGTTATGCTACGATCATTATATCTTTCAATGTAATTCAGCTTTACCAACATACAAACCTAAATTTCTAATCCCATTTGTGGGTTTATCAACACCGTATAAAAAACATTTTTTTACAAACAAGAAATTTACCTTTCGTTCCGAGGACGAACTGTAATCATCTAACAAACTCATCCTTCTAATATAAACTATTGAAATCTGTTTCGTAGGATAAAAGAAAATACAATGAAGTCAAAAAATCGAAATGAAACGATGAAATAAAAAAAAAGACAAACCAACAAATATATCCCAAAACTCTGCCTCTGTCTCACAATGCTGTTCTTGCTTTTCCCGTCAAGCTTGTACCCAGTCCTCGCGAGCTCTGATTGGTTAATGCCACTGATCTGAAAGACTGGATAGCGCAACTATTAGACAAAATTTCTAGTAAAAATTGAAGGCTTTTTTGAAGCCGAAAGTAAATCTGCCCGAGTCGAAGATGGGGGCCCGTTTTCTTTAGATTTGTATTACAGAATTACAGTTTTTGCAATATTTTGTCTTTTGTGCGTTTCTGATCTGGCCAATTTTCTCACCACAACTATAGAAATTTAATAGAACTCAATGACTCTGATTGGTTAATGCCAATGGCTAATTCACAATTAACCTTAATAAAAACTAATAAAGTAGAGCATGCATATATAAATATTACCTTCTCTCCAATTATCGACTTTCCAGGGTCCTTGAACCAATCAGGTTAGAGTATTTACATTGTAATCATTCAAGCACAGTCTAAAATTCCAGTTTCAAACGCTTACCAATCTTTACGCGATTTCCCCTGGTTGAGAAATTTTCTTAGTCAAACGTTAAGTACTCATTTTTATGACATAAGCTCTATACTTAACGATATTTAATGCTGTTTTTTTGATTAGTTCGAACTGGCTGATATTCTTCTGAAACTCTTTTTTATCATTCTTCTCCTGAACTGTTATCAATTAATCAAACATGTTAATAAAATGTACTTTGTATGTCAGTGTCTCCTGACTCTTCTCATATTTACTTCAGTTATTTGATATCGAAAACAATTTTAAAAGTTTAGTACTATCACCAGAAAGGCGTGAGAATTTTTGCCATTATTTCCAAAATAAATGAATTGAATCTTTTACTGAACAATGAAATGAGAATTCGAATTTCAGCTCATAAACTACCAGTTGAAGCTGTTCGTAGGTCGCTCAACAATTTTATACATACAACACTAGGATTTACAAGCATTGCAGTACTAATTAAATTGGAAATAAACAACATCTCCTAATAATACCCTGCACAAAAACAAAATTGATCGACATTTAGATAACATTCATTAAAAGCCTATGTAAGAAGAAACCTATACAATGTTGACTTTTAGCTGGATTTTGAAAAAAATCGTCGATGGCATCTATACTCCCTGATGGATCAACGATATTTTTTGTTTAGATGGACATTTTTTTTTATTTTGGCCAAATCTCCTTTTGACTATTTCTAGTGTCTTCGTGCAGGCAGCCTCTGATTTTCGAACGATAGATTTGGCAAAGATTTGCATATGAATAGAGGGTAATAAAACACAAAAATAATTACAGCTGCTTTATTTTTCCTTTCTCTAGTTATAAAAAATAATTATTGTAAAGAGATTTTAGGCAAACATAAAACCCTCAACGCATTCAAGATTGTTTGCCATGCTATGTTCTAACGTTGTACTTCTTGTATCAAAACTCTAAAACATCATAAGAATTTTTGCAGGTGCTATATTTTATAGTACAATAATACTTAATTTATTAACCGGCGTGGGATAGTAATTAGAACAATTTATGACAATAGCCTCAGCATTCGTCATTATAATCGTCAAGGTTACTTCGTCCACTCAAACTAAATATTTTGATCACTAAAAAACTTAAACATGAAAGTTGGAAGTAGAACTTGTTTTATATGTAATCGATACAGCGACAACGAAGAACAGAAAAACAAAAGATAAATTGTTGACAGTATTCTGCATCCAGTTCAAGGGTCCGTTTCGAGTTAATCCTATATTTGTACAGTCATTGAAATCTCAATTATTACAGACATATCATCTATTTCAGACTTTGCAGAATCTTAATTTATGAGCAAACACTTCCATTTGAAACGAATCGCGTTCAATAAAAATGATAGCTGGATCGATATTTCGTGAGAGAATATGTATTTCTTGCAATAATCCAAGTCCAGGACCAATAAAACTCTTGTCTTATCGTTGGCGTCTTCATGGGCCTTTTTTCCCAGTGCTGGAAGACTTAAAAAACGAAGAGAACTCCCACTGGTTCAGTTATGGTCGTGTACCAGTATGTAATTCATGTGCAAACTTTTTGCAAAGACAGTGGAATTATTATGAAAAGAAAAACATCAATCTTCCTAGCGAAAAAAGAACATACAAGCTACCAGAAGGTTAGATTTTGTCTAATCGGTCATCAATGAATCTTCATTGACGATTGAAATAACTTTATAATATTTTGAGTAATAATACCTTGCAATGTTATAGTTATTTTATTCAGTTTATACAAACACTATTTCAACATAGTTCGCAGCAAATGTTCCAAACACCAAATATGATCAAATTTTCCATACACACGCGTGTCATGTACGTTCAGTTGACAAAGACGATGTTTACCAACTTATATATGGTATTTTAGAAGAAAGAGGGAAGAAATTGAATCGAAAGAAAAACTACGAAAAATCAGGAATAGATTTATCAAGTTATGATAAGGATAGCATTGTAGAAGGAGTTCAATTAAGTCCCCGAAATCACCGCCAACTTCCTGCAAAAAGCAGAATTCCAGTTTTAGCCAACACTCGTCGAGAGCTTTCACTTTTAAAAAAGGAACCTCAACGAGACATGAGTGACGGTATGAGATTAAATGAAGTAGAACGTGACGTAAGGCACAAGCTGCTGCAAAGATTCGCCGAAATAAAGTATCAAGAAGAATTAGATAACATAGAAAGAAAAGTTCAAAAAACAATGACGATGATGCATCTTAAAAGTCGAGATGAAAGAATTTGTGAAATCGAGTTGGAACTCGACGAAAAACTAAGGGAATCAAAGACTGGAGAAAAAATAAACGAAAACAAAGCATTAAAAGCCTATCGCTTTCCTGTTGAGAAAACACACGAAGACATGTCTGAGTTAAAAAAGCACATTAAAAATGAGATGGAATTACAAAGATTGGAAATAGAAACACTAAGAAAGAACATAAGAAAGGAAATATCCTTTGCAATGGATGAAAATTATCGCCAAAATGAAGAAATACGGCAGCTTATCAAAGAAATAAACGACATGACGGAGTCACGTGACGGTCGAAGTCGTCGTCCATATAGTGATGGTCATTTGCAGAGGTCACCCAAAGCAATAAAAAGAATTCCAGGGGGGCGTGATTTGCTATCTAATGATAATGATGAAACAGGGAGGGATGAAATTTATGACGATTACGATTGAACCGACGCTTTATCAATAAAGAATACAACACGTTGGTCAACGGATATAAATTCAAATCATCAAACATAAAATTAATAACTTTTTTCAATTTTAGATACGTTGAATGAGGTAAAAACTTTAATAACCAAACTTATTAACTTAAACAAAAGTAACTGAATTAACTTAATACATTTTTGCAAGGGTTCATAAGATCTTCCAACTTATGAACTATATTTGATGATGAGCAATAGTGTAAAACTTGGATAATAGCATTTCTTCATCAGAAAATATCACTGTTAACAAATATTAAGAATTCTATCAAAGAATCTTTTTACTCTTACGAAATAGAATCATCATGCAATTGAAGTACACTGTCAACCACTTCTTTGTACAAATAATTTCTTGTGGATAAATCTACATTCTATCTCGCAAAAGAAACTATTTATATACGTTAAGATGAAAACTCGACCTGTACATACAGTTGCTTGACACCCAGCTAAAACGGAGGAAAAAGAAGAGAAGACTCAACAATTAAGTAAAAATACGTTTTTAAATGAAAAATATAGCAGAAGCACGATAACTCAACTTTTAAAGGAAATGAAAATTATTTGAGCTATCGGAAAATCGATAAATTTCGGTAAATACGAACACTGTGGCAGTTGAACTGTTCACGTGCTTTTGTAAGCTACAACAAAGACGTACACAGATCTTTCAAGTTTCGTATAATACTTTGAAGATATAACAAGTGCATACGTTTAATTCAGTAATATGAAAATTTTAGAGCCATTCGGACAAATTGTCCATTATGAACCTTTGAACCTGTTTTGAATGTATATAAATGGTTCGATTTCTAGTTTTTTAGTGTTTACACGTTCAAGTTGTTAAATTTATGCCTTTATGTCCACCCTTGAGAGTTATGATATTACAGTTCGTATTATAGAGGGAGATTTGACCAAAGGAAATTAAAATTCGTTGCATTTAACAAAAAATTCGATCTAAAAGTTGTAGTTATCGCGATTCTACTGTATTTTCGGCGGTTACATACAGACTATCAAAATTTTCCTCTAGAAATCATGAATTTACAGTCAAAATGTAACAGGCTTTGACACACAAAAATAAATACATTATTTTTGTAAAAATTCTTCTAGAGATACAGTAATTCCTTATGAGTTCAGTTCACAAAGTTTTGTTTTGTCGCAGTGAAAAATTGACATTGAAACTAAGCCTACGTGGCTCATACTTCTCCTCATTCATCCTTTACCTATTTTCTTGAGATAACAAAGCATTTTGTATATGGTCTTTAACAATGGACTTTCCAATGCGTAGGCAAGTACGAGTTGAATGGTTATAGGGTAAAACTTTACAATAATTAATACAATAATATTTCATATATGCATATAGCTACCTGAGAAAATATTTTATGACACTGACTTAAGATTCTTTGCGTATCAGTGGCAGGTGCAACCAATAGTCGCAGGTTACCAACCCAAATTCCACTAAAAAGTTTGCAATACACATTTTTCTAAACATGGTTTATAATGAAGCAAAAATATAATGCTAAAAGATAAAATTTTCAGCATAAAACTATCATATATCAAAGGGCCGCAACACTCTTATGAAAAGTGCGATATTTCTTCATAGAAGATTGGACACGTATTCACGTATATACGTTTTTATTTGAAAACGCAACTTTTTCTATCCGTTTTTGAAATAAATTACGTCCACACGTAGCGCTTTGCAGGGGCGGATTCAGCTATAGGCAAAATAAATTATTACAACTTACTGATTGGTTTATTTGTATTTTTTAAAAATTCATGACTAAATACTTTAGCGGTTATAACTATTTTGCCTAACCCTGGATCCGCTACTGCTTTTATGCATGGCATTTTTGCTTGTTCCACAAGATACTTTGGCTTAAGGCGCATGCGTGGCGTAGCTGAGCCTGCTAATTAAACACAGTGAGCAGTTTTCGACGATGTCATTTTATACGCGCATGTAAGAGCAAGATTGCGACGCCAATAACTAAACAATACATAGCTGCTGTTTATCTAAATCATTTTGATACTAAAACGCGCTAAATTTGTTTTTAAAAACGCTGTAAGGTTTTATATAATGTCTAACAATAAAGCCGACAAAAATGCTGGTCGGTTGCCATCTTCAATTTTGTTATTGCTCAAAAGCGCTGATCCAACATTTGCGAGGTACGTACACAAGCGTTTAGAAAGTGAAAAAGTTACTTTTTACACGTCCAGACGTATAAGATCATGTTGCGTTTTCAAGTTTCATTCTTAAAGGCGTTTTTGAAAAGTAACGTTTTCAGTAGGCGAAATCATCAGATGCAAGTCTTTAGTGAAAAGTTGCGTTTTCAAATAAAAACGTATATAAGTTATAGTGAACGTGGTCCTGATGAAAGGAGTCCAACGAAGAAGAAAACACTCTCTTACAAATCGTGATAAATGTGTGTGTGTGTGTATGAAATCGACATATAGCTACGTTATCATTACCGAGACGCAAGAATTTCAGCGATTTCAAAAACATCAAAACATTAACTTAATATATATCATCAGAGTGCCATGAACTCGATTTGGCTGCCAATGTTCAATTCAAGAACAGACTCTTTTCTCAAACAGAGGCTGAAAGCTGTAATTATATCAATGTTTTATTGACAAATCTTCAAAATCTTCAAAAAAATATCAAAATGGTATCATAGCCACTAACCTGCACAATGTCCAAAAATGAGGATCTTGAATACTATGAACACCCTCTATTTGATAAACCTATATACATTATAAAACATTATATATGAACCTGTTGTGATTAAATATCTTCACCTGCACATACACACTATATAGACTGGAATATAGATTATAAAGATCATGTACGTATATATATATATAATAATGAATAACTCAACATTATATCAGTTTTATAGATCAAAAGGAACTGAAGTAATCTTTGAGTAAATAATATTACTAAGGAAAGAATGCAGTTCCATTGGAATAGTGCCTAATTCTTAAATACACAGTGTATAAAATGACAGTGTATAGTGAACATCAAAACTCGCAAACTGACAAAATTTATAATGAACTGTATGAACAAAGTCACAGCAAAGTTTTAAATGTCTAAAAATATGACAAAATATTTTCTTAGTTCTTACTCGTTGATATCCTAAATGCAGGTCCTTTTCTAAACCAAGTGGAATCCTTTGCATCAAAATTCCCACTGACTCTTTCAATAAAGGAATCACACTTTAAAAAAAAACACATTACCAAACACTTTGTAACAACTGGGTGCATAAAAACAACAATCTCAAATTCAGACTGAAACTTTCACAGTTCACACAATTTATTCTACATCACCTTATTGTTATCAAAACTGCTATAAACAACGAACAGATTGGATCAGCCAACATCCATCCTTCATAGAGAAAAAACAAGACAAATGTGGACAGTAAATATGGGAACATGATGTACAATGGACGATAACAATGGATAGTAAACATATGTTGATCTATGACATGAATACATGTACAATAGAGAGCAACTGTGGATAAAAATGGCTGGCAAACATGAGTGCTATTTGAAATTATATTTGTTTATTTTATCTATGCCAACAATATGCTAAAAATACAAAGAACAGAGATATTTACTAAATGGCAGGGAACAGTGGAAAGAAATCTAAATCTTTACTAAGTGCTCAATTTTAAGTTTCTTTTTTCATAAATTCTCATATTTATATGATAAAAAACATTAATAGATTGGGATTTATACTCAATAGCATAATTCATTTCTTTCAAAGGTGAATTATTAAGGATAATGTGATTCATTGCACCAAAAAACTAACCAAACATTTTTATAAGTCCAGCAGATATGATAACACCAACACTTCCGAGAGTATCAGCCAATACATGAAGAAAAACACCTATGTATTTTAATAAATTAACACAAAAAGCAATAAAAAAAATTTGAAAAAATTTCAGCTATTATTATCCATTATAACATTTGGTGTTGTCTCTGATTTCCAATATTTCCAATTTTGGCAGCTTTAATGTTTAGAAATGTACTAATAACAATCTCATTATTTTTGGTATTGAGATTTTCTAAGCTTAGCTGAAGATGAACAAAAAAGAATAGCATTGAAATAACAAACCTTGAATGATTTGATTACTCGATGAAGGTAAATCTTCAAGATGATTTGAATCACCAAAACCTGCATAAATTCCATATTGAAAGCATACATTTGAATTGAGATAAACTTGACAATTCTATTGTCATTACAAAAAGACTTGTAAAATAAAGTAATGCTGAAAGAAAATTATCTATTTCACAAAAGCCTTGACAGCAAGTGACAAATCACTTTATACATAATAAAAACAATGTTGCAATAAATTTGATTTAACAAACAAACAAAGTAAGTAGTGCCAAGATTTATGTCAAATCATCATAAATATCACAGTATAATCATACCTAGCCCATGTGAATGACCATGATTTCCACCACCATGTAAATGACCATGACTTTCACCACCAGTCGAATGACCATGATTTCCCCCACCATGTGAATGACCATGATTTCCACCACCATGTGAATGACCATGATTTCCACCACCATGCGAATGACCATGACTTTCACCACCATGTGAATGACCATGACTTTCACCACCATGTGAATGACCATGACTTTCACCACCATGTGAATGACCATGATTTCCACCACCATGTGAATGACCATGATTTCCACCACCATGTAAATGACCATGATTTTCACCACCATGCAAATGATTATGTTGTAAGGAGTTGGCAAAGGAATGTTCATGTTCAACATGACTACGTGAATGACCACCATGCGAATGACCATGACTCCCACCACCATGTGAGTGTCCATGACAATCTACAATGTTAAAAAACTATGTTAGAGAGCTGAAAACCACAAATTTACACTTAATACATAAATTCTACACAGCATAATGTATACTTAAAGTATAAACTGTCAAAAGCATAGTTTAAACTTAATTAACATTCATGACTACTTGTACGTGTAATTTTACTTGAATAATGTATAAATTCTAGTATGCAGTGAACTTGGGTATGTATAATTACCTCCACCATGATGAAAAACAAAAATCCCAATCAAATTTACAATAAAACCAAGAACAGAAATAACAAACAATCTCTCGTGCTCAACATGAGGAGGATGAAATACTCTCTAATGTAAAGAAAAACAAGTAAAATATCAAACACAAAACACAAAATTTCTTCACAATTCTATTTGTTTTATGCACATGTTAACATGTAGAAGGACTTGGCCATTTTGTGAGTGCACATATTTATACTTTGAAAGATGAGAAAGAACCTTAATACTTACGTACAAGAGAAACTTAAATGTGAGAATACATTTGGAAGCATAAGCAGCAGCGTTGATGTTAAGAGAGATATTTCAATTTCCTGAGGGAAGTGAGTTAGGGGTTAAGTATGCATATTCTGTGGAAACAAACCATCAGAAAGAAGATATGAAATAACACATTACAACAAGCAAATACCCGATAATATTGATTCTTACCTCCATTGCTTCAGAAAGAATAAAAAATCCAATGAATAAAAGAAAAAGTGCATTGACAAATCCTGCAAGAACTTCAACTCGTACATATCTAATAAATTTTCATTCAATAAACAATAGGAAAAGATAAATGCACCATTTGCAAATAAAAATTAACGTTTTCAATTACTAATACCCATAAGAATATCTTTCGTTTTTCTTCCATCTCGAAATTACAGAAGCAACCACTCCAGCCATAAGCGCAGTGCAATCAAAGAACATGTGAAATGAGTCAGATATCAAACCAAGACTGAAATATGAAGATTTATTTGATTAGAAAGAAATAAAAAATACTATTCATCTTTATTTCATTAAAGCTCAATTCCACATAATGGACATTAAAATGTTTATATTGGTGGTTGGCAGACATGGTGATGACTCAGGGATTTTCATTTAAAATGATTTAAAATTCAACAAGAAAAAACTCACTAAAACTCCCTAAATACATCAATGTAAGTGTTGTATTAGGAGTTTGCTTAGTTTTCAATAATTGAAATATTTATGAATATGACGAACATTACACCAGATAAGACATGCAATATAACGCAATTTTTTACCATAAATATTGTTTTAAATAAACACATTTAGAATATACAGAATAGATAGTTTGGAGCAACATTCAAATTAATATTCTCTTTCCTTCAATACATTATAGTTTTTTTGAAAACATTTTGAAAGATTATCATCAAGTAAATTTAAACATGGAACTGCCAAACATGTGGACGTATATCAGAAAATAAACATGATAAGTCTTGTGAAAACATGTAGAATTCATTTTCAATTTATATGGATATAAGCTCTACGGTAGACAAATGATGAAAACACCACGTGCTCATAGATAATTTTGTCAAATAGAGGATAAATGTGGTGGAATAGTAGGCAATTTTGTAAGTTTTGATTCAATAAGATGTTACATGTTCACCTAACTATTAATGCATAGAAAGCAACAAAATTATGCAATCGTAAACTAATTCTTTTCAGTAATACAAGCACACTTTTGGAGGTTGTTAACATGATGCCGGCTAACCAATATTCAGCGAGGGGTGAAATGATTTCCAAGCATTAAAATGAGTCAAAACTTCAAGCGAGAAAATTATAACTGTTCGTTACGCGCAACAAGTCATTCCTGTTGTAATTCTAGAATTATGCCAAATAAGTTGTTTTCATTTTAAATGCTTTGCGCGTTTATAAAGTTAGAATATTATGAAAATGCTCAAGAAGATTAAAATGATGATAAGTTTTTAATTTTTTCATTTGCCAAAATCATTTATCGCTTCGCTGAATCGCGGCTACCCGGGCTCATGTAATCAGCCCCCTTGAAAACAACCTGTTGGTCCATATTCCATAAGCCAGTTCAACAAACGCAAACGACAGATTCAGTAAAAGAAAGCAAAACAAATTTCTTGAACTATCATCTGAGAATATTTGCCTAAAAAATGAAAATAAAGTTTAACAATCGAGCGATGATTCAAAGACTTTTGACTCTGAAGTCTTCTCGATAGGAACAACACAATATTCAAATATACCTAATCCACAGCAGAAGCTTTGATCTGAAGTTCATTCCAGGTTTATACTCATCGCTTTTATCGCCATCATTTATACGTACGGGAATCATTGTAGACATTGAGCTTACTTATCAAATTGAATAAAAATAACGACGTTTACAATCTATGACGGAGTGGAATACGTTTACATGATCATCGAGAACACATTGACGGTGAGCAACGGAAACGTGGCATAATTACTCGATCCAGTCCACCGTATGCGCAAAAACATCACTCCTCATTCAATTATTCAGTGATGTAAGAATAAAAGATCTTACGTAATCGCTGAGGCCAAAATTGACATTTCACTAAAGTTTTTCTACAAAATACAGAACGTGGAAAGTCATTACGGAGTGGAGCTTGGAGCAATCACAGGGATTTAATTTTATGAAATTTATCTTTGCATTCTGGATTTTATTTGTTGATATCCACCAGTTACGTTGCCCACTTATCACGGGGGGTACATGAGAAAAGTATCTCTCCAGTTTTTACCATTCCTAAAAATGTTATCGTTACTAATTTTCTTAAATGTTAAGTTCATGACGATGATTCCACTTTAAAATAGCTATAACTTGTTGCTTCATGTGAACAGATAGCAAAGTGCAGACAGCTTTCTTCAAGCGCGTCAAATAAGCATGGAAAGAAACTTCGCTGATAAGATTCAACTGAACACCTTTTGACAAGATAACAAAAGAAAGTTGCTCTTGTAAAAATTGTCAACAGAAATCGCCAATGAGTGTCCTTCAAATTGAGGAAAACCATACCCCCAGGCCTCCCACTTTTGGCATATGTTTTCATTTTCTACCCATGCAACAAACAATATGACATTTCATAGGCAAAAGTCTGTTCTTTCTTAATATGTCAATACTGCAGTCGTTTATAAAGTAACTTGCACACACCAAAGTGTTGAAGTTGGATTAACTTTAGCCCAACTTTAATGCTGCTAAACATTTCTCATTGGGCCATATCAAATCGCCATCGCCCATCTAGGGTAGATGTACCACTAGCCACATTACAAAACTTTATTAAAAATCATTTTAAACACCAAAATGTCACTAAGAAAAATTGCAGCTGTATGTGGTCTATACAAATGGCCACCTGCTAAAACAGTTTTATAAATGCTGAAACAAAAATTACATCCATTACAAAATATTTCGTTAACTGTTGTTTAATTGAAACGGAAAATAGATGTCCTGTATTTCTTTACAATGAATAACTATAACATTCATCGAGAAATGCAAAGATCTCCAGCAAAGACTAGTCTTATAGGAATGATACGAACTAGAAAGTTGGCTATCAAATTGAAACGTCGAGCACAGTTTCTTGTTGCTCATAAAAATCGTCGTGAAAACTTTGGTACTACGGCAATAATTCATCATGATATTCCTCAACAAAGTTATTTTCATAGAAATATCTTCGGTATAAATAATGAAAGATATAATCTTACCTCAGGCGACGGAAAAACAACAGCAAGCAGAGAAGTTCCTTCAACACAAAAGCATGATAGAAGAATTCGACAAGTTGGGAAGTTTATAACGAGACCAGAGAACATTTTTCCTGTCATAATGGCTGAGTTAAAGATCAGTGAAATATTGGAGCGTCGATTGAAAAACACCAAATACTCTTCAACGTTTGGAAAGGAAATAAGCAAAAGTTTGTCCAATGAAATAAAGAGAGAAGTGAAAACATGTTATGATCTTCAGAGATTCAAGTTGATTTGTATTGTTAACTTGGGAGAGATTAAATTTTCAATCTTAGGAAATGCTATGTTTGGCAGTCGTTGTCTTTGGAATACAATCACCGATAATTTTGCTTCATCTTCCTATCAAAACGCTGAATTGTTTGCTGTTGCTACGATATATGCACTTTATCAAGAGTAATTTCTCATAAACGACTCACTAAGAAATGTTGGAGGACTTAAAATCTAAAAATTTTATACATGTTCGCTGCCTGTTGCTACCTCATATTTCAATATTTTCTTTTTTTCAACAATGAAGACTGTACGTGAAGGACAACAATGAAAAATTTTTATAGTAAGACATAAACTTAGCTTAGCTGTTGCCTAGCAACGCGTTTGAAACACAATTATACGCATGCGCAGTTATTTCTTCTCACTCCAGAATAACCACGGACCCATTTCTTCATTTGCAGTTGACATGAGAAGAAAGAGCAAACCAACCATTACCAGATTTCTAAAAACAAATATTTCGCAATGATAATACATATTTCAATGTAAATGTCATCTTTCAACATTGTTAACTTACATTACTCAGCAAAGATTTACGAGATATATCTGTTGTTTTGGTGCAACTTCTACAAAATTATATAATTCATGATAGTAACTTTAATAGAACAACGACATAATGAAATATACATACAACATAGTGTTAAATATATATAGTGCCGTAAATAAAGTTAAAACAATTGAATGAAAAAACAGCGTAGTTTACCGTTGGTCATGCCACATCGAGACATGCTTTGGTTGATGAAATCTTTGACAAGTAGACATCTCATCAGTATACGGTAAAAATGGCGAAGTTTGCGATGACTGGGCACTCTCTTTGTCTGGTAATAATGTAATTAAGTATTTAATATTCTTCTTTCGGCAAGAACAGGTGTATCAATTACGACAAAACTTTCTCATTACATTTGCCCAATATTTAAACAACATTTTCTAAGGATAACTACAACACAATAAACAAGAATGATATATGTTTTACTTACAAACACAATGCAATGTCATGTGCTTTATTTATAAAATATGAAATTATACCTGCATTATCAAAGCGACCAATAGCGTTTGTTTGATTTCGACCAATAAAAACACACGGTTGTTGAAATCCTTTATCATTAACTGTGATTGATGTATTTTTGGTATCGAGTTTATTCGCACTGATTGGATTGGCGTAATTATAAAATAGAGGTGATGTTATAATATTTTCTCGAGACATTTCCTTATTCCCACATGTCCTTCGTTTATCCCGAGACGTTGTTTTATCCTCACATGTCCTTTGGTTATCCCGAGACGTTGTTTTATCCTCACATGTCCTTTGGTTATCCCGAGACGTTGTTTTATCCTCACATCTCCTTTGGTTATCCCGAGACGTTGTTTTATCCTCACATGTCGATTTTTTATCCGAAAACGTCGTTTTATCCTCACATGTCCTTTGGTTATCCCAAGACATTCCCTTGTCCTCATATGTCCAGTGGCTGAATATGTTCGCATGGATATTCTCATTACCGGCGTTTGCACCAATTTGATGCAGACGACAAGGTATCTCATTATCTTGTTCTTCAACATTATTTGAAAATATGCCATTTGTCATACTTTTTACATTCGATTGAGGGAAGTGACGAGAAAAATTATTAACATCAACAGTTGTAGTATCACGATCTAACGACTTTGTTACATCAACAGGTGTAGTACCATGATCTAATGTCTTTGTTACATTAACAGGTGTGGTACTATGATCTAATGCCTGGGTTACATCGACAGCTTTTGTGCCACAAGCTATAGGCATGGTTATAATTGGTGCAACTGAATGGTAATTTTGTTCATTGTTCAATGAGCCACCATCATCCATTGACTTCGATATTTCAGGAGTATAATTGCTATTATGGCTTGATTCTTTTATTGATAATTCGTCTACCTAAAATGCGCATTAAATCTTTTAGAAATCAGTCATTAATACGTCTCTGCATTAAAGAGAATAAGCTCTCCACTGCGTTTCATACGTTGATAGCTTTTGTTGATACATTCTTCACATTTTCTATTTCATTCTTTAGTTTTTCATTTTCACTTTGCAAAAAAATCATTTCCTAAAAAGGACACAAAAAAGAGTACATCTTTCTTTCCCTTATCATCTCAATTTATCCTTTCAAAAACTACATCGACATCTTTGTGTATTCACGACACATTCATTAAAGTAAAGTTGATCCACAAGCTTGCAAAAATATGACAGACTACAAAAAAAAGACAGACTACCAAAAATGACAGATTACCAAAATTTTAAAGTAAAAGCTTAAAAAAATAACAAAGAAAATATTGAATCTTACTTACATCAGTGAGTGTGTCTATGAATACTTGTTGCTGTTGAACTGTAAATAAAATTTCCTCTTTGAATTTTTTGTTCTTTTGTTCCTCAGATTCACACTGTATCAAATATTAAAAACTCATAAAATATAAAATTTTCCTTATGCTACTGCTCATTGAGGAAATATTTTGTCTTACCTTACTTAAGTATTCCGTAATCTTTACAAACGATTTTAAAATGAATGTTGCAAAATCTTTCATATCATCATCAATACTTGCTTTCTGTAAAAAAATATTTTATTTTCAGAAAAAACGTCGACCCAGTGTAAATATAACGCAATAATATAGTACAACAGAGTAATAAAGTTATTCCTACTGTAGACGTACATAACACAAATGTACACAGGACAACTTCGAAATAACGTTATATCCAATGCAAATAGAACAGATAAAGTAGAAGAAGTTTGTTCTAAGCCTGATGGGAACACAGCTGAACGTTGTATTACGATAAATGTGCAGGCAACAAAGTACTCTCATCGGAACTTCCATTTTTAAACAAAACTTGAGATAAAATTTAGTCAGTTTTTTGTTAGGGTATGCTCGACCTTGTTCACAATGGGAAAAGATGCAGGGCGTTTTGGTATATGTATGAACAGGTCTGGTGTCTCAGCATATGTATGAACAGGTCTAGCTTCTCGGTATATGTATGAACAGGCGTGGAGACTTGGTAAATATATGAACAAGCCTGGCATCTGGGTAAATGTATTTACAGGCGTGGTTTCTGAGCATATGTATGAACAAGTATGCATATCTTTGAGTCTAGTTCTTACAGAAATAAATGATGTTGGTTCTTGGTCAATTTTTAACATGAACCGTTCCATTTCGTCTTCTAGTTCATTGACTATCTGAAAAAGACACAATGCATATTTCTTTATAGGAGACGATATCAAAAGAAGCAACTGTCAACTAATTCTTACATTACGTTTATCACAAACTTCGTCTTTCCCAGGATTTACTCGGCTTGTGTTGCATTTCTCATAAGACTCACCACAACTAAAGACAAAATAATAAAACTGTGTAAATTACACAAAACTGTGCAATAAAAGATGAGTAAAACGCGTGAATCTGGTAAATACCAGATCTAACATGAGTGTAGAGATATTTTCATAGATTTCTTTAAAAACTCAAAGTTGCCCAAATGCGCACAAATTTTAACCATTACCTGTACGTTTCTGACAGTTCTTCTTTTTCTTGAGACTGTCTTCGTTGGAATGTTTCCACATCTTTCCCTTAGTTGAATTAATTTTCATAAATTAGTGACAAATAGGAATCAAATCATGTTTCTTACTATTAAAATGTGATTAAGACAATAAATTTTGTAACGTCAACTTCATGGTAAAAGGTCAGTATTACAACAATTAGTCAGGACAGACAGGAAACAGAGGGATAGAGAATAATTTTCAGGGATACATTTAGGGGAGGAGTGTGGATGGATGTGCATCCCTACAAGCATAATCTAATTCAAACTTGAGCAACCCCCAAAACCATCATGAATCTTTCTCTATGTTTGTTATTTTGATACATTGATTTCATTTGTTAAGTTTTTTCACATTAAGTTTATACATTACTTTGAGACAGTTATTTACAATAGGTGCAATTGAGTAATATAATGATGTCATAGGTTGAAGGATAACGTTTTGCCCCAGGTCCCCCAAATTCTATTTGCTACCCAGCAAAAAGTATTTTTCTTCTGTTGTTTTTAACAATGCATAAAATTAACATCTTATTGATTGAAGACACCAAGCAAATATAAACTTTCTTTAATGATCTTGAAATTTGTACCTTGTTGAATCATAGACCAATCATTCAATGCTATATTATCCATGACACTTTCACTCAAAACATCTAAGGTGGAAGCTCCAACTGATGGATGACTGGTGAATGCAAGATTTTGAACAACTTCATGTTTATTTCTTTGAGGAGCAAGAGTTATATTGGGAAAACCTTTAAATTTCTGAATAATGTAACAGTGTGTTAGTCATGACATTATGCTGCAGGAAGTTAACCTTTGTGAAAATTAAACATGATGTTTGTCTCTTATATCATGTTATCTGTTTAGGTGATTGAAAATAAGTGATTGAAATTTCACTACTTTTTGAAATACCGCTAACTGACCTTGGGATCATCACCAAATATATCTGGAACTGACGAAAGCTTTTTATCACTGTACGTTAAAGTTTCTTGCAACTGTAACAATGTTATTGCAACATTATATTAGACATAAATATTCACAGTAAGATAATCAGTTTATTATATTATATAAATTTAATGAAATTGTAAAGTTACTTGACACTTACATACAAAAATAACAAAGAAAATTAAAACCAGACACTCATGAAACATTAAACTACAAAAAAACAACCTTCTTGTTGGAATTCATGATCTCCTTCAAAACGGAAGGTTGTGCCTTTCTGGCATTTTCCAAAAACCAAATGTTTCTTTTGTTATCAGGTGTTTTAAATATTTCTTCACCATTTCCTACAGATAAATGTCTGTGCATTACTATATTTTATCTTGAAAAGGCAGCATGAATCAAGACGAAATAAAAAATCATTCACCAAGTGATTTATTGGGAACTTTATCCATTGGTGAGTTTGAACATCTTAATATGGGTTGATGTAATTCATGTCTTTTTTGCTGAGAAAAAAATTATTTATGTTGAAACAGTGTTTTTTTAAATGAATTTATCAACCATTCATTCTTTAAAAAGTTTATAATCAGTACTCACCAGTTCTTCTTTTGTAGGTTTATGAACTAACAAATCTGATATGGTACTCTAAAAATGATGAAGTAAGAAAAATTATATAAATGCATTCGTCTCTAAACATATTCAAAAATAATAGCTTACATCCCACGGTGGCTTCTTACGACTTTTGGATTTTGAACGAAAATTATCGACTTTCTTTGATCGTTTCGTTGATCTTCGACTCGCCATTTTAAATTGAGCGCAAAAAAACTCCTTGGATTTCATCCATCAAAATGTGTTGAAAATTGTTATTTTATAAGCATCGACCGTATGTTAACGGTAAACAGCTTCTGTATTACAGGCACCACACAAGGTTTTGTCAATTATAGACACAAGCAAGCAACAAACCTGGTTAACATCGGTTAACAAAATGATTTCCAAACAAAATGAGACGAACTCATGTTTTCGTGCAAAAAAAGACACCTTATGAACACTAACGTAGTTGCTTTTAAAAGAAATATTCAAATTGACGTCCAACTGACGTCCTGATTATTATTACTTTGTATGTTTTATGAGACTTTTTTCTTTTGTAATATGATTTGAAATAATCTTTATCCATGACAAATGAAAATTTAGATGGTTACAAAATTCTATGGATGTATTTATTATTGAATTAATAGTGCATAATAAATCTTATTTCTAGAAACGTCAATAAAAGCACAAAGTTCGGAAACATACAGTTCAAAAGAAAATATAATAACATGTCAAAAGCATAACTATAAATCTCTGTAAGGAGTTAACATTTGCATCATTTGTACCACCAGATTCCTTTTTCATCGCAATGATCCTTGTTGGACCACCGCTACCCCCTCCTATCTTCATTGGTAGACAATATACCACATAACCAGTAGCTGGTAGTTGATCCAAATAAGCCACATTTTCAAGGGCATATATATTCTCTCCTAATAAAATTTGATGAGATATGTAATTCCTAGATTTTCCATAATCAATCGATGGTGTGTCGATGCCAATGCCTTTAATCTTACGGTTTTGCACCAACCACCTTGCCGCATCTTCGTGAATTCCTAAATTTTATGGAAATAGAAATGACTTATGTACAAAAGCGTAGTGCTCCGAAGTGCTTATAGTCTTGTTGTCTTTAATAAAAGATTTTCTAACATTGTAAAAAACTTTTTTTACCTTATTTCGTGAACTATTGAGGCGTTTGTTTCGATTTGTTTGTTTGATGTTATCAAAGCGATTATTAATGAACGTGAAATATGCAGTAAAATAAAATTGACCACCAGAAGGAAAACTTTCGAGAAGTAGGCATGCAAGCATTGATGTTGAAAAGAAAATTTATTTTACCTGAAGAAAATCTTTTACCAAAGACAAAAATTTAAGTTTAAGTTTATGGTTAAGATTATTGAAAAAGTTACTATTAAACATTTGGTCGCAAAAACAGCTATGAAAACGGATTATTTTATCTACGAACGCCAATATCTCGGTGTAATCATAATTAAATAATTTATATTGTACTGCTAGTTAGTTTCCGGTACTTGTATCACATGCACAGGTAACTTCATGAGGTCAAGGTTGAGAGATTAACATTTTTCATTATTGGCAGAAAAACAACTATACTTTACCTGGAAAAGTATACAATGATGGGTTGGTTGTATTTGTTCCAAAATACTTTTCGTTGTTCAACCAATATTTTCCATATCCAGTAAACACAAACATTATACAGTCATTAGGAATGGCACCATAAACACTCTCCCAATCCTTCAAGTCTTGGACAGTTAATTGAGCACTGCGATTTGTGGAGGCTTTAATTGATATATTAACTACAACAGCATCACCTATAAAATTTTCGATCGGAATGACATCCAATGTCCATTTTCCGTGTGCAAAATGAATCGGCGCATCCATATGGGTTCCCCCGTGTTCAGCTGCTTCGTATTCATAAATAGACAAATATGGCACGATTGTCTCGTTGCCATCTTTTAGAGGACCATCAAATACAACTGGATGATTGAATCGCCTGTTGTTTCCCCAATACATCGTTTCATTATCAAAAACATAGCTAAGGTCAATTGGCTTACACTCTAAAAATGTAAGTAAATTTACAGTAACAAGTAGTTTGAAAATACAGATGCCTGAAGACATGTTTGCTTCGTGAATACTACAATTCAAAGCTGCCACAATGACGTCTATTAGCATTAAGCAATGTCATTAGTGCATGAAAATTGTGGTGGCATAAAAAATGCGGAGAGCGGAATAGGATTGTAGAGTGTCTCTAGTAAAATGATAAACAAACACTGATTGAGACACACATAGTAAGTCGTGACCATGCAACGCTTTCTACCTTCCATAAAATGGTAAATAAGAAGAACTATTAAAAATACTTCACCTCCACACCAGTGTTAGACATTTCTTCATTTTTCAATACGTACTCCTTGTAAATCGTAATACAATACCGAGCTGTAAAGCGTGTTTTTAGCTTATGAGAGAAAGCATATTTTTTGTTTTCATCAGCATATCGAATTTCATTGCATTTATCACCTCTTAACCACAGAGCCCTCTGGGTTATGAGAAAAGCATATTTTATATATATATTTATATATTATAGTTAGCTTATGAGAGAAAGCATATTTTTTTTGTTTTCATCAGCATATCGAATTTCATTGCATTTATCACCTCTTAACCAGTGTTAGCTGAGTCACTGCACATACTACAAAGTTACTGCAAATACGTTGCTGCATGGCCAGTCCTGATATCATGGTGCTTAATGCGTTAACTATGAATTTGAGTGCCTTTTTTTTCAAAGCCATGAATAGAATCTCGTTTACTTCATTAAAATAATTGCGTAATTTATATTAAGTTATTATTAACAAACAAAGAGCAGGATTATACAATTATGTGTTAAGTATTGGCCGTCTATTTGGTGACTACCCACCTCTATGTCACCCACATGTACGCTCTGTGTACCTCTATGTCACCCACATGTACGCTCTGTGTACTTATTTATTTTGGATCAGTTGATGTTATTGATGGAGGCGTAACAGACATGGTGGAAAATGCACACTGCGGAGACGGAGTGCGGAGTCTCTCCTAATGCAAAAATTGATACTTATAACACGGACTCCACATTTTCCATTTCATGCCCCTACAGTGTGGAAAATATGGAGTCTCACTAAAAATGTTCCTCTTTCAAAGAATACGCGATAAATAGAAAAATCACTAGCCTTAAGGTTGAATCGCTTAATGTAAATTAAAAGACATTCGTTAAATTAAAGGATTTACCGAAGACTGTCATGTTTTTCTTTTGTCATAGACTTTAATAGAACAGTGTGGCTCGAGGTGCGACTCCGCATTTTCCATTCTGTGGGGGCATATTGATAAGTGGAAAATGCGCAGTTGGTGTTTGAAGTATATCTTTGCATTAGGAAAGACTCTGCACTACGACTCTGAAGTCCGCATTTCCACCATCCGCACTCCGCATTTTCTACCATGTTACCTGTTTAGGTGATTGAAAATAAGTTATAAAATTTCACTACTTTTTGAAATACCGCTAACTGACATTGGGATCATCACCAAATATATCTGGAACTGACGAAAGCTTTTTTTCACTGTACGTTAAAGTTTCTTGCAACTGTAACAATGTTATTGCAACATTATATTAGACATAAATATTCACAGTAAGATAATCAGTTTATTATATTATATAAATTTAATGAACTTGTAAAGTTACTTGACACTTACATACAAAAATAACAAAGAAAATTAAAACCAGACACTCATGAAACATTAAACTACAAAAAAACAACCTTCTTGTTGGAATTCATGATCTCCTTCAAAACGGAAGGTTGTGTCTGTCTGGCATTTTCCAAAAACCAAATGTTTCTTTTGTTATCAGGTGTTTTAAATATTTCTTCACCATTTCCTACAGATAAATGTCTGTGCATTACTATATTTTATCTTGAAAAGGCAGCATGAATCAAGACGAAGTATAAAATCATTCACCAAGTGATTTATTGGGAACTTTATCCATTGGTGAGTTTGAACATCTTAATATACAAACAAACAACAAACAACATTTATATACCGGCCAGTATTAATCCACGTCAGGGGGGTTGACCGGTCCATGAATTTTTCCACGCCACACGTCTCTATCTCTCGCCATATCTCTCGTTATACCCATCGCCTTCATATCACTGTTCACAGCATCCATCCATCTCTTTCTCGGTCTACCTCGTTTGCGGACTCCATCAACATTCATATGCAACGTTCTACGAATTTCAGCACTTTCTTCCCTCCTTTCCACATGCCCAAACCACCTCAAACGCTGGCGCCTTACCCAATTCTCGATACACTCAACACCAACTCTTTCTCTAATCTCTTCACTTCGAATCCTATCCATCAACGTTACACCACACATCATCCTAAGCATTCTCCTTTCCGTCGACGCCAATCTTCTCAGGTCCTCTGCTTTCGGCGCCCAACACTCTGCTCCATATCCCAAAACACTTCTAACACATGCCTTATACAATTCTCCCTTCTGCTTCAACGAAGTCGACTTTCCGCACAACATTCCCGACAACTCTCTAAAACTCCACCACGCTGCTTGAACTCTGTTCCTCACCGCTTGCTCGTACCCTCCACCATCATTTAACACATCGCCCAGATATTTAAACTCCGATACACCTTCCAAACTCACGTCACCCAGTTCAAACCGTTCAATCGCGACTCGCCCACCACTTCGACACGTCCCGCACTCAAAATCAGTTACTTTGTCAATGCACCACGGACACCTGAACATCTTCCATGAACCCACTTACCGCATTTCCCCACATTATCAATTCACTCCAACTCTTTTCCACACACACCACATGGCCATTTATCACTGTCCTTCACCTCCACCTGCCTCGAGCATCTCATGCCCTTCGTCTTTGCCTCATTCACTTTCAGTCCCTTGACTTCTATTGCCGTTTTCCATTCTCGGTACCATTCCATGACTTTCTGCTTCGACTCCGCCACCAAGACAATGTCATCTGCATACAACAAACACCAGCATCCTTCTTTTCTTCTCACTTCCTCTGTCAGTACATCCATCACACAAGCAAACAGTAACGGCGACAAGACTGAACCTTGATGAACACCAACTTTTACCTCAAAAACACCAGATCTAGCACCTTCCTCCGTAACCACCGCCTCAACACCTTCATAAGTCTCCATAACTGCCCGAACCATATTCTCTGTCACACCTTTCTTACGCAGCGCGTACTCGATCACCTTTCTCGGAACTCTATCAAACGCCTTCTCCAAATCTACAAACACCATATACAATTCTCTGTCCTTTCCAAAAATTCTCCTGCAGCTGCCTCAACACAAAACACGCATCCGTCGTTCCTCTCCCCGGTATGAATCCATACTGCTCTTCCCCCATCCGAACAACTTCCCTCAACCTTCTTTCAAACACTCTCTACTATCTTCAACGCATGCTCCATCAGCTTAATAGTCCTGTAATTCCCACATACCGTCGCTGCTCCTTTTCCTTTGTACAGCGGGACCACTAGACTCTTTCTCCATGTACTCGGCATCTTTGAGCCCCTCAAAACCTCGTTCGCTACATTACACAACTCTCTCACGCATAGTTCATTGTCCAACATTTCGCTACCCACTTCACTCGGTCCCGTCGCCTTTCCTTTCTTCATCTTGCGCAGAGCCGCCGCCACCTCATCAACAGTCACTATTTCCCACGGCCCAAAAACTTCATCCGCTTCAACTTCTCCATTCCACTCATTCTACATTCATCAAACGGTCACAGTACGCCCTCCACACTTCTAACCTGTCTTCCAATAACACCTTCAACTCCCCATCGTGGTTCTGCACGCCGGAGCACCAAAATATCGTTCCTCTCCTTCTTGCTCCTTCTAGCAGTTCTAAACAACGCTTTTCGTCCATTCTCCTGCATTTTTACGAGAAGCTCTTTCTGATGTCTTTCTATCGCTTTAGCCACCTCCTTTCGCGCCTTTTTCTTGAATCGGATGTAATCGATCCTATCAGCTTCAGTCCGCGACTTTCTCCACCTTTTAAATGCCAACTTCTTCGCGCCAATCACTTCGCTGACTCGTTGATCCCACCACCATGCCTGTTCTTCTACTACACCGCCTTTACTTCTACAACATACCTTCTCCGCTGCCTTTAAACACCCTTCTCCATCGTCCATCGCTCCACCGTCTCACCCTCAACATTCAATGTCGCAATTTCGTCACGGAAACACTGCTTCCCTTCATTCGATCGTAACTTCCATAGCTTGCCTTTACCCTCAACCTTCTCCTTTTCACCTTCCTGATTCTCCAGTCCATGACCAGCAGCTTGTGCTGGGTCACACATTCTCTCCTGCAATCACTTTTGCATCCTTCACGTTTTCCTCTCTTCTTCATTCACCAGTATATAATCCACCACCGTCCTACTGTCACCAGATTCATACGTTACAAGCTTGCTTTCTTCCTTTATAAACCACGTATTCACTACCACCATCCCACAACTCGCTGCTAACCAATATCGCCTCGCCTTCAGCATTCATATCACCAACTCCAAAACCTCCATGCACAGTATCTTTTCTTCCACATGACCGTTCCAATCCAATCACCTCAATCCGCCCTTGTCTTCACATACACGTTGTCGGGAATCTTCCTTCTGCATACACCACGAATCACAATCGGCCTCCTAACTACATCAACTCTCAGGACTCTGTCCGAAACTCTTCCTGACTTCGCCCAATCCTCTTATCGCAAAGCCAACACCATTCTGCCACTTCCGTTCCCTTCCAAAACCACTTAAATCTCGCTCCATTATCTTCACCCTTTATGACTCTCGTACCTTCACCTTTAAACCTTACCTCCTGAAACCCACACATCAACTTTCCTTCTCTTCAACATGTCCGCCACTTCTGCACTCCTTCCTTCATTGTCCCAACGTTCACTGTGCCTACCCGAAGGGTGACACTTCCACAACCATTCGATCCGGAGATTCTTCGCACCCCCTGCCCACTGAAGGGCTGCCGGGGACTGGGGGCCATATCTTCTTTTCCAAAGTCCATTAATTTTGTTGGAGCAAAAGTTTTACGGTAGGATGCCCTTCCTTACACCAACCCCTTTTAGTCGTCTTTTACGACACGCAGAGGATACGTTGGCGCAATTCTAAGCCGGCAACCACACGGCAAACATCTTAATATGGGTTGATGTAAGTCATGTCTTTTTTGCTGAGAAAAAAATTATTTATGTTGAAACAGTGTTTTTTTAAATGAATTTATCAACCATTGATTCTTTAAAAAGTTTATAATCAGTACTCACCAGTTCTTCTTTTGTAGGTTTATGAACTAACAAATCTGATATGGTACTCTAAAAATGATGAAGTAAGAAAAATTATATAAATGCATTCGTCTCTAAACATATTCAAAAATAATAGCTTACATCCCACGGTGGCTTCCTACGACTTTTGGATTTTGAACGAAAATTATCGACTTTCTTTGATCGTTTCGTTGATCTTCGACTCGCCATTTTAAATTGAGCGCAAAAAAACTCCCTGGATTTCATCCATCAAAATGTGTTGAAAATTGTTATTTTGTAAGCATCGACCGTATGTTAACGGTAAACAGCTTCTGTATTACAGGCACCACACAAGGTTTTGTCAATTATAGGCACAAGCAAGCAACAAGCCTGGTTAACATCGGTTAACAAAATGATTTCCAAACAAAATGAGACGAACTCATGTTTTCATGCAAAAAAAGACACTTTATAAACACTAACGTAGTTGCTTTTAAAAGAAATATTCAAATTGACGTCCAACTGACGTCCTGATTATTATGACTTTGTATGTTTTATGAGACTTTTTTCTTTTGTAATATGATTTGAAATAATCTTTATCCATGACAAATGAAAATTTAGATGGTTACAAAATTCTATGGATGTATTTATTATTGAATTAATAGTGCATAATAAATCTTATTTCTAGAAACGTCAATAGAAACACGAAGTTCGAAAGCATACAGTTCAAAAGAAAATATAATAACATGTCAAAAGCATAACTATAAATCTCTGTAAGGAGTTAACATTTGCATCATTTGTACCACCAGATTCCTTTTTCATCGCAATGATCCTTGTTGGACCACCGCTACCCCCTCCTATCTTCATTGGTAGACAATATACCACATAACCAGTAGCTGGTAGTTGATCCAAATAAGCCACATTTTCAAGGGCATATATATTCTCTCCAAACAAAATTTGATGAGTTGGGAAATTCCTAGATTTTCCATAATCAATTGATGGTGTGTCGATGCCAATGCCTTTAATCTTACGGTTTTGCACCAACCATCTTGCCGCATCTTCGTGAATTCCTAAATTTTATGGAAATAGAAATGACTTATGTACAAAAGCGTAGTGTTCTGAAGTGCTTATCGTCTTGTTGTCTTTAATAAAAGATTTGCTAACATTGTAAAAGACTTTTTTACCTTCTTTCGTGAGCTATTGAGGCGTTTGTTTTGATTTGTTTGTTTGATGTTATCAAAGCGATTATTAATGAACGTGAAATATGCAGTAAAATAAAATTGACCACCAGAAGGAAAACGTTCGAGAAGTAGGCATGCAAGCATTGATGTTGAAAAGAAAATTTATTTTACCTGAAGAAAATCTTTTACCAAAGACAAAAAGTTAAGTTTAAGTCTAGGGTTAAGGTTAAGGTTATTGAAAAAGTTACTATTAAACATTTGGTCGCAAAAGCAGCTATGAAAACAGATTATTTTATCTACAAACGCCAATATCTCGGTGTAATTATAATTATATAATATATATTGTACTGCTAGTTAGTTTCCGATATGAGGTCAAGGTTGAGAGATTAACATTTTTCATTATTGGCAGAAAAACAACTATACTTTACCTGGAAAAGTATACAATGATGGGTTGGTTGTATTTGTTCCAAAATACTTTTCGTTGTTCAACCAATATTTTCCATATCCAGTAAACACAAACATTATACAGTCATTAGGAATGGCACCATAAACACTCTCCCAATCCTTCAAGTCTTGGACAGTTAATTGAGCACTGCGATTTGTGGAGGCTTTAATTGATATATTAACTACAACAGCATCACCTATAAAATTTTCGATCGGAATGACATCCAATGTCCATTTTCCGTGTGCAAAATGAATCGGCGCATCCATATGGGTTCCCCCGTGTTCAGCTGCTTCGTATTCATAACTAGAGTAATAGGGAACGATTGTCTCGTTGCCATCTTTTACAGGACCATCAAATACAACTGGATGATTGAATCGCTTGCTGTTTCCCCAATACATCGTTTCATTATCAAAAACATAGCTAAGGTCAATTGGCTTACACTCTAAAAATGTAAGTAAATTTACAGTAACAAGTAGTTTGAAAATACAGATGCCTGAAGACATGTTTGCTTCGTGAATACTACAATTCAAATGCCGCCCCTATGACGACTATTAGCATTAAGGTATGTCATTTGTGTATGAAATTTGTGGTAGTATGAAAAATGCGGAGAGCGGAATAGGATTGTAGAGTGTCTCTATTAAAATGATAAACAAACACTGATTGAGACACACACAGTAAGTCGTGACCATGCAACGCTTTCTACCTTCCATAAAATGGTAAATAAGAAGAACTATTAAAAATACTTCACCTCCACACCAGTGTTAGACATTTCTTCATTTTTCAATACGTACTCCTTGTAAATCGTAATACAGTACCGAGCTGTAAAGCGTGTTTTTAGCTTATGAGAGAAAGCATATTTTTTTTGTTTTCATCAGCATATCGAATTTCATTGCATTTATCACCTCTTAACCACAGAGCCCTCTGGGTTATGAGAGAAAGCATATTTTTATATATATATTTATATATTATAGTTAGCTTAAGAGAGAAAGCATATTTTTTTTGTTTTCATCAGCATATCGAATTTCATTGCATTTATCACCTCTTAACCAGTGTTAGCTGAGTCACTGCACATACTACAAAGTTACTACAAATACGTTGCTGCATGGCCAGTCCAGATATCATGGTGCTTAATGCGTTAACTATGAATTTGAGTGCCTTTTTTTTCAAAGCCATGACTAGAGTCTCGTTTACTTCATTAAAATAATTGCGTGATTTAAATAAAGTTATTATTAACAAACAAAGAACAGGATTATACAATTATGTGTTAAGTATTGGCCGTCTATTTGGTGACTACCCACCTCTATGTCACCCACATGTACGCTCTGTGTACCTCTATGTCACCCACATGTACGCTCTGTGTACTTATTTATTTTGGAACAGTAGATGTTTTTGATTTTGGCGTAACAGACATGGTGGAAAATGCAGACTGCGGAGACGGAGTGCGGAGTCTCTCCTAATGCAAAAATTGATACTTCTAACATGGACTCCACATTTTCCATTTCATGCCCCTACAGTGTGGAAAATATGGAGTCTCACTAAAAATGTTCTCTTTCAAAGAATACGTGATAAATAGAAAAATCACTAGCCATAAGGTTGGATCTTTAACGTAAATTAAAAGACATTCGTTAAATTCTATACAATAGTTTAAACCTTTATTCCTCTTATGAGCAGATGAGCAATGCTCATTGATGCTCATTATTACTTATGAGCACTTGCTCAAATGCTCATAACTGCTCGTAAATACCTATAACTGGTTGCAACTGCTCATAACTGCTTCAACACACTTGCTCATAAATGCACATTGCTACATAAAACGTCACATTTCTAAAAAGGCAGTGCCGGCGGAATGAGCTGCAGATACTGTGGAAAAGTATTCAATCGAGCTTTCAACTTACGCTGACACGAAAAAGAATACTGTCCACTAAGGTATCAGGAAAAAATGTCTCAATCAGATTCAGACAGTCAGGGAATGCATTTCGAAGATAATGTTTAACAGATGAATCTAAAAGTTCAATGTCAACAGAAAATGAGGCTGAAACTGGGGAGAAAACTGATCCTTGGATACCTTCGATAGAAGAAGCAAGGGAAATTAGTAATGTCGATTTCGATGAGATGAAAGAAAGCCTTGTGAACAGTGGTCTGAATGAGCAGACAGCAGAAAATCAAGCATATTCTAACATTCTACCAAAACTTCAAAAAGAATTGGAAAGTATTTATATGCAACGAAAGCGTTTGTAGAAAATGACGACTTCGATCCACAGTAAGCTATGGAAGCAGCTATTGATAAGAGAAAGTTTCTCATCAACAGACCTTTAAAAGAGTACAGCTTTAGTGAGATTGCCAATGATGAAGAAGTTTAACTTTGATAAATGAATTCATTTCATAATAACTTGTATCTTATTTTGAAGTGACGTTGTTCAATAAAATTTTTTGATTTTCAGTTTAGTGTGAAAATTACTTTAATATTCCATCGCTGTAAAAATCCTCTGCTATTGTTTCTATCTCTATCTGTTTAATGGGTACATGCAAAGAAAGCCTCTTAGAGCTATACATACTGCGCGAAGCTCGATGTTTTTGATGCATTGTTCAGATTAAAGTTTTAAAAAATCAAAGTATTTAACTATGAATAAGTAAATGACAGATCTTTAATGCATTTGGACATTTAACTCAAATGAAAATTATTTTAAGAGGTTCAAACTAGTGTCGATGGAAAGTGGAATTTCTTAAAACAATGTTGCATGAGAAACGGTTGCACGTTTATACTTAAACACAAGGTATTGAATAGTAAATTTGTTAATGTAAAATTAAAACATCTAAAATTGCCGTATTATTACGTAAGAAATTGAAAATGTCTTTATTGAAAAGTTTACCAAATTAGATGAAGCGATTGCGTTTGATTCTTTTTAAAATACATAACAATAACCACAATTATAGACAACAAATACAGCCGCTTTTATTCAACGACTAATCGTTTTATTATAAGTAGCGCGTGTTATGCTTTTATGAAATATTTAATGATTTATTTCCAAATTTTAATGATATATTTCTAAATGTTTTGAGCAGCAAAGGGGGATGTAAATGGATAATCATGCTTTAGGAATGGTAATGAATAATGATGTTTTAGGGATGTAAATGGATAATCATGCTTTAGGGATGGTAATGAATAATGATGTTTTAGGGATGTTAATGGATAATCATGCTTTAGGGATGGTAATGAATGATGTTTTAGGGATGTTAATGGATAATCATGCTTTAGGGATGGTAATGAATGATGTTTTAGGGATGTTAATGGATAATCATGCTTTAGGAATGGTAATGAATAATGATGTTTTAGGGATGTTAATGGATCTGGGAATTGGTGAGTGCGTTTCTATTACATTACATATTTCGTGATGAGGAGTCAGCACTACTAAAAAAGATATTGGATTGAGCAAAGTTTTTAAGCTCCCATCATGATAATAAATGTACATAACAACAAAAATGTTCACGACAGTTCATTGAAGTTCACAATTGTTATTTTAATTGTACCTAACTAATGTCAATACCAGTTAAAGCATCAAATGCTATGTTAATTCTTTCTTCTAACTTAAATGTTCTGTCTTCTTTTCTCGTTTTGTGTTTTATCTCTGATGTTAACTTTTTTGGCTTCATAAAATGTTTCATAAATAATTTCAAACTTTCCTTTAGTGTGTCCAAATTTGAAATTGACGTAATTCTTGAAAAGACATCTCTAAGAATTCAAAGAGCCGCAACTCAAAGGATATATAATGCATGATCATAGTGGATATTGAGAATTAATAATTGATAAAGAAAGGTTGCAGTGGATATATAGAGTGGTAATATGGGATAGAAGACTGCAATAATTTTGAATATTTCCAAGAATATAAATGAATCATGAGTCACAAGCCTGTTGTTGATAAAAAACTAATTTATATTAACAAAATTCTTCTTTTTTAACACAAAATACTTAGCGTACCTTGTTGTTGATGGAGGATAGTCCAATAAAAGACGAGTAAGCAGTTCAGTAAAGAACTGCACCATTCTTTTATCTAATGTAGTGAAGTCTACAACCTAAAAATTATCATATAAAAACAATGCTATGAGTAACAACATCAACAGCAAGAAATCAAATGAAATAATAAATTGTTGTAATGACCATAGATTACAGTCAACTGCAACGCAATGAAAGAAAAAACTCACCTTTAAAACTGATAACGACAGTGATTTTTTGCCAAAAAGATGAACAAGAAGACATGACATGTTAGAAAGATTTTCATTTGAAAGATCTGCAGCCATTTTGAAGCGATCCCAAAGTGAATACTGGACAGTAATCTATAAACAAAAAAAAATTTAATTTATCCTCTTTTTCACAATTCATTAGTAAAATTGTCCACATAGCGACGTAACACCTACCTGAAAACTACGATTTAACTCACAAAATTTCTGAATGAGATAAGAATAAAATGGATTGTATGGTTGTTCCTATAAATAATAAAAAATTGTGGAAAAAAACACAAAAGATGAATAAGGAGCGAAGCAAAATAGATGATGGTAAGATGAAATTATGATACGAGATGGTCACTATCAATACATTATTGTACATTAATGTACATACCTGTAAACAGCAATCCATCAACACACGAACTATCTCTCTAGTTTGTTTATCTTTTAATTTCAATCTCATCAATTTTTCAAACGCATCAATATAATCCTTAAAAAAATCAACAGTACATTTCTTTCCTACGGAAGTTGTGGATACATTTGCTGGAAACATACACATTACATTACAGTGACGTCATTGCTTGGACGAGATACAAATTTTCTACTTAAAATTTAGCAAAAAGGAAAGGGGACAAACTAACATTATTCTATCAACTAAATGGTGACAAAAATCATTTCTTATCTCGTGAGTTTACGAGGTTGTGACATAAATCAGTTGAAGGTAGGAGGTGACAATGACATAAATTTCCTTAAGTAAAAAAATAAAATAAAATATATTCACCTCACTACTCATAATTGTACAAAATATATTTCTTCTGATATCTGTATTCATTCTTTGTTGTCGAGAGATTTCTATCATGTTATTATGACATGACTTTATTTTACCATCCTTCAAAGAATTTTTTCTTTCTCTCTCATTCCAAGCTGAGCCCACAATCCACCATCGACCTATTGAGTGTTTTATACTTGAAATTCAGGGGTATAATAGGGGAGTCCTTATTTATGTATTGACGATGACATACTGCATAAACATTTAAAACAAGAGCATTTTACAGTATGAATAAATGTATCAGTTCACGTATATGATAAAACTGTTTTTGCAGTAATATTTCATATGTGATTATTTATCAAATACATAAGAACATAAAGACGACGCAATAGTCATTTTTTAAACACAGAACATGTTTCTTTGATGTAAAAATGTCATTTTGCACTGTGCAGTTATGTCCTGCACAGAAGACGACATTTTAATTATGCTTTACATATGCTACCTTTTTTCTCAGCTGATAAAAGATCTTCAAGTGGAATACTTAATCTTGCATTTTCATTTGAACCTATCCAATGATTCATATAAAACAATTGTTAATGAACATTTTGCTGATGAAGAACTTCATAATGAATGACGTTGATGCAGTTTACCTAAAGAAAGATATTTTTGATCAACAAACCTGTAATACTTTTCAGTATTTTTCTTTCTCTTTCAACAGGTGCAGGATCATAATTTGGAATTTTTCTAATGTTGTTGTTTCTTAAAGCATTCATAGTTTCCAACATGAATCTTGTTCTCGAACTTAAAAATAACAATTATAAAATTGTAAAATCTAATTTCATATACAATAAGTCACAGAAGTCAGTCAAATCACTAACTTGTTGGTCATTTTACAACTAACTGCAGATTTCGCTTGGATTTGAAGAATTATTTCCTATAAAACATGACAAGTGTGAGGTCACTACGACGAACGGAACTAAATCATGTAAAAAAGTGAATTTAAAGTTTTACTCCAACATGTTTGATAAGCGAAGTCTCACTTTCAAGGATTGAGGATTTTCACGTCTTAGTTCAACTCCAACGTCTACAACATAACAATAATAAAATCCACGATAAAGAGAATCATACAAATATAAAGACAATACCGATGCAATATCTCATATATTACGTATTCTCCAGGGGTCGGTTGCACAAAGCCTGGATAGCAAATATTTTTAAACGGTTAAAAAACATCTTAAAAAGGAAAAATATAAGGTTTGAACAGAGCAATAACTGAAATTAAATATTGCTTCCAAGATTACAAAATTTCTTGGTCGTAAGGAAAATACAAACACCACTTTTTACAAGTTTGAGAAATTTACTATCCAATGGACAACGCTCTCCAAGCTCATCAACTGAGACATCTATGTTAGGATTTCGCAACAAGATTTAATTTCGATACATAAAGCAGCTAGAAATAACTGTGTTGATATATCGAGAGAAAATACTCAAACCATTAAACTTACGTCGTATTAATAACAACAACAACTCAATGTCCGTTTCTTCAAATTTATCGACCAAAGATCGAAAAATATCGTAAATTAATACACAATCAACGATCTAAAGCACAAAAAGAAGATTAAAAAGTGCGTTGAAGCACAAAACTTACATTGAAAATGTGTTTCTAGGGTTTTACTATAACATTTGGAAGGCGAGACCAGCCATTATGCAAGATCTATACTTTCTCGACAAAGTATTTTAAGAAATTGGTACATTTGCAGGCACACTTGTAAGTCTAAACTATAATGTAATAATCTTCAAAAAAAAAAGAGATGCTTACAAACATAAACAGTCATTACCTTAAAACAATAAAAAAATGCCAAAAGCGTTACAACGTTATTGATTTCTTTGCTTTCTCTACTGGATGTAACATTCGAGTGAAATTTATCAAACTGCATAACCAGTTTCTGAAGAAGATAAGCACCTAGAAATATGTTAAAAAATCAAAGTGAAAACTAACAACAAAAATCATTTGTTTTATCATCACTCTCTCATACATCATCAGACAACAAATTTCTTTCGACTTTAACACTTAACGTTTAATTATTATTATAGAAAGATGTCGTTTCGTTTCAGCAAGGTGGCCGGCACAGATGGCCCAAATCGCACACTTTATCGAAATTTCAAAAGAATGGAGAGAGTTTGTACAATGCTGCCAACAAAACCATTCGCGTTCAACTGGTAATTTTTCGCGTTTGTTCACGTTTGAAACGTCACGTTTTGCTTGGACGTTTTGCTTTAGAATGCTTTACGTTTTTTCAGGAATGTTTAACGTTTGCTGAGGAATATTCAACGTTTGCACAAGAATGTTCAACGTTTGCACAAGAATGTTCAACGTTTGCTCAAGAATGTTCAACGTTTGCACAAGAATGTTCAACGTTTGCTCAAGAATGTTTAACGTTTGCTGAGGAATATTCAACGTTTGCACAAGAATGTTCAACGTTTGCTCAAGAATGTTTAACCTTTGAGGAAGAATTTGAAACAGGTTTTGGTCATATGATTGACATGTTTATATGATTTTACATTGATAAAATGCTGTAGCAACTGAAAATTACATGTGCATTCTCCAGGCGATTCGTAAAATTTAATAATTGACCATATAACATAAGAAAGAGCAGCTACAAACGTAGCAATCCCCGATTTCAACAAACGTAACGTTTACCGGTTGAAACCCAACGTTTCGTCTGACAAACGTGACGTTTGAAACGTAAACAAACGCGAAAAAATTCCGAACATTTACCAGTTGAACGCAAATGGTAATATGTTTTTCCACACAGTCAAAAAATTGTTTTTTCTTCAGTTTGTAATGTGCAACATTTTCCGTAAATTCAAGGATAGTTTATCTTTGTTGAATAAATGAAAGTCCTCCAGAAAAAACAAAATTTTACAAATACTTATTTATTTGTGAAAAGAATTATCGATACAGTATACAACAAACCAATTTCCGATCCAACACGACAATTGAGAACAGCAATCAACATAACATGTTCACGTAATAGCCCATCAGGCATCGCAGTCTTGACGATACAGGATTCCATTAAAAGATCCGATAAAATTTCATTAAGTTCTAAAATATTTCAAAATGAACATTTTCAATCTTTAAACTGATAAATTTTCCTTATATTGTACATAAAATTGTAACTAACCATTTCTGCTGTTAGTCATATACAAATGTTCAATTTGACCACTCACTGTTGATATATTGGATTCACTCAGACTAAAATTTTAAAATACAAGATATAAGAAACATATTAACAAAAGCTTTATCATGCCGAGTCCAAGTCAATTTTGCGCTCTGTCAGTCGGTGATGTTCGGCAATGTGATTAGTTTTGTCATGTTTCTTTGTAGCTCCACAGTTTATCGCAAACCAACACACACTGACCGACTACTAGACCAATCATCTTACAATCCTAAATCACATCCTACATCCTAAATCATATGTGATTCACCGGACGTTGAACACAACGAAAACAACTATCTCAAACGTGTTTTTGACAAAAACAACTATAACTCTGACTTTATCAAACGCAACACTTACAAACCCAACGAGCCCAACGAAACGAACACCTCAGTGACAACAGCAACGATACCTTACATCAAAGGTACGTCTGACACTATCTCGCGTATCTTACGACCATACAACATACGTGTCGCACATAAACCAATCACAACGATACGACAAGTACTAACGAACATAAAGGACAAAGAACAACCCAACAAACGACAAGGTGCAGTTTACAAAATAAACTGCTCCGACTGCCACGCCTCCTATATCAGGGAAACTGGCAGGAACTTAAACATAAGACTGAACACAAACGAGCTACAAAGAAACAAGACAAACTAATCACATTGCCGAACATCACCGAGTGACAAAGCACAAAAAAGCTTTATTCTAAATTTAAATGCAAAGACAATCAGTTGATTAAACTGTTTCAGATATTTCTGATAAGCAAGTGTAGTAAAGTCAATTAGACTAGTGACATTTAATACAGATCAAGAAATCCTTTCGATCAACAGCCTTTTCTTTAATCCTACCGATTAAGAAGTCCTTTTATTTGTTTCTTTAATCTTTCATTGGTTTGTTTAGACTCAAGGTGAAGTCTTTGATGAGGTGGAACATATTTTGAGGTCGCACCGCCATAAATGTCCACATTACTAATGAAAAAAAGCTTATAAATACGTAGATCAAACAAGAAATTGAATCTTCGATTATGACACAATGTTTTGGTCATGTGGTGATGAGGTTTTATCGAGATGACTTCTAGGTGTCATGAAGAATTGATAAAATAAACAAAGAAAAATAAACTTACAGTGAATATAGTAATTTTCGGTTCTTTTATCAATCAATAATTTTATGTGCTTACCTCGTTCGTGTTGTTCCATTTTCTTCTTCAAAATTTGTTTGGCTTTTTTCTGCCTCGTTTTCTGTCAAACAATTCACAGTTTTTTCATCACAATACATTTCATTATCATTCACTGAATTTGCACAACTTTCATTTGAAGACGGAGGTTCGGATTCATCACCGAATTCTTCATTTGCTTCATCACCACAAAAAGAAAAGTCTTCAGATTCATTTAATTCTTTGCAAGAATCGATCTGAAGGTAAATATTCAAAAGAAACAAGAAGAACAATCAACAGAAATATTGTTTCCATAATATAATGATTTTTTATAAAACATCGCACAGAACAAATGCTACCACCATAGTAAAGACAATAACTTTAAAATATTAAGCTGCAATAACACTCTCTACATGAAATGTACGGCACCAGTACAATAACACTCTCTACGTGAAATGTACGGCACCAGTAAAATAAGTTATAAAATATTTGCCTCATTGTGTCTTTCGAATTCAACATCGTTTTCCTCTAAATCATCACAGAAACTGTCCATTTGAGTCTTCAGAGAGCCATGTTCAATGGCATTACACATATCAATGATATCTTGTTGTGAATGTTAAAAAATATGCCTTCAGACAACTTATTAAAATCTTACACAACATTTATGTAAAGATATAGACTAACCAACAGCTAACCTACCACTAACCTACCACTAACCTACCACTAACCTACCACTAATCTAACCACTAATCTAACCACTAACCTACCACTAATCTAACCACTAACCTAACCACTAACCTACCACTAACCTACCACTAATCTAACCACTAATCTAACCACTAACCTACCCACTAACCTACCACTAATCTAACCACTAACCTAACCACTAACCTACCACTAATCTAACCACTAACCTAACCACTAACCTACCACTAACCTAACACTAACCTACCATTACCCTACCAACAACCTACCACTAACCTACCATTACCCTACCAACAACCTACCTTAACCCACCACTATCCTACCATTAACCTACCAACAACCTACCATTAACCTACTATTTACCCACCACTAACCTACCATTAAACCACCATTAATGTACCACAAACCTACCATTAACCTACTATGATGCAATAAAGCATTAAAACAGAAATTTATAAATAAAAGATACCACCGAGACCATCATCAAAGAAAGAATTGGGAGTTTTAGATTTCTTGTTAAGACTAAGTTTTTTTTCTAGTTCTTCAATCTCTTCTTCGTCGTTATTAACATAAATGGAGGTCTTAGGCTGTTTTGCAGTATAAAAATTGTCATCCTTTAATGAAAAATATAAAACTGGTCAAAACGTCAGGCCTAGAGGTCGCAAAGCATTTTATAATCTATAGGTAACATTTTAATTTTCAGTAATGTTTATGTTGCTTAGTGGACAACTCTGTTTTCTACAATGTAAGCATGATTATGGACCAAATATGGAATACAAGTACCTCAATTTTAGTTTTATTTCTGTTTTTTCTTTTTCTTTTCTTTTTTTGTAGACCATTTTCTTGTGTTTTTTTCTCAACTTGTTCTGCTATCTTGTTTTCTGCCTTTATTTATAAAACAATATGTGAATAAAATATTATACATAAAACTCACCGAATAAAAAATTTGTGATAATACAGCAAAAAATACCCAGTGTCTGTAAGTGCATAGTAATTTATTTTTCATAAAAATCTTTAACAAGCTGTCTAAGTGACATACTAACTTTCCTGGCTCATGAGTAAAAAATGTTTTTTAAATGCACTTACAGCATATCTGTGTGATAAAAATTGCAGAGAGCGAGCAAAGACATGTTTGTCATCTTGAATATATAAATAAAACCTTTTACTGCACCAAAAAAGTTATGAACTCAGTTTGTCTTGAATCGACTACAGAAGTGGAATTTACCTTCTGAGAATTTGAAAAATAAACATGCTTTCTTGATTTTTTTTCAATACGAAGTCGTCTTCTCTCTTGTTTTCGTGATAAAGTTCGCTTTAACCCTCCTATGAATGGAGCAGTTAAAACTTCAGCTGACAATTTCACGTATTAAATTGTTAATTATCAAATGACTCAACCAAACACAGATTGACTGACACACACACACATCGAATGGTGATTATTTTCTCACTGAAATATGACTTCATCACTAAGGTGTGGAAATTTATTAAATGCAAATATAAGGCAATTATAAATCGTTTGATGTAAAAATACTTGGATCATTAAAGATAAACTTTTCAATTGAATTCTTACCTTTCTTCTCAGTTTTTTTCAAATTGTCCTCCATACTGCAAAGTTTATTATTTCCTCCTGATCGCAGGCTGTTAATCATTTGGCGGCGGTTGTTCGAAGCCAGGACAGCCTGGATGTAGCCTTATGCACTGGATAGCAAGTTTTTTTAAACTTTTATAAAATCTTTAAAAAGCAAAAAGTATAAGATTCGAACTGAACAATCACAGAAAATAAAACATTGTTTCAAAGATTTAAGAAATTTTTTGTCGTATGAAACATATCAACACCTTTTTTAATTACAAGTTTAAAAATTTTTGCTATCCAATGGATAACGCTATCCAGGCTTCGTGCAACCTGCCCCTGGTATAAATAATACCCAACAATATGGTATTTTGGCCAATAGCACAGTAGCGTGAAACGAACTTGCGATAATATTTTACTAATGAAAAACTTTAAGAGTAGGTGAGTAATTTTTGTAAAATAAATCACAGCCAACACTATTGTTTTACTCCAAATGATAAATTCCCGTCGTCGGTAAATATGTGTAATATGTCTTCGAATTAAATAGTTATAGAATGCTCCGAGTGATGTGAGGATTGTAAACAGTTTATTTCATTTCAAAAGTTAGCGGTTATCTTCGAACATAGCGAAATATTTTTGCTATGTCCATTATATCACTTAAGATAAATTATTTATAGTAATCATTCAACGATTGTATTCAAAGAGTAAACAAATTTATACATCATATAATATTTTTAAAAATGAAAATAACCTTTCAGTATTTTCAGCTTTTTAATAGATTTTATCCTTAAGTTTACAAAATGATTGCAGTTGAATAGAAACATTACTGCAATACTGGATTGTAATTTAGGTAATGCTCAAGTAGAATTTCATAATCAAAGAACAGTAGAAATCAAAATCTCAGCAGGTTTGTAAATACAAAGAGCAAGTTTAATATGGCAATATCGTAATTAAATTGATGGTCAATACTTTTTTTGTCAAATGCTTGTTATTTACAAATATCATAGTTTTTAAAGATGTTTTTGATCAAAATTGTGTTGTTGTTTGTATTTTGTAGTACTACCTTTCGTCAGAATATGATATAGAAATACTTGTACCATTCTAGCGTGAACACGTACTTATTTTTCTATTATCGCAGACAATTAAAATTTACAAGACGGCTTACAGGCGCAAGTTGATCGTGATTGTTCATTGTTCATTGAAAATATAAGGATTAGATCAAAATAGTTTCACAAAAAGATTGCCGACAGCATTTTCGACGCGCTCGCCTGTGGTGTTTTGAAATTACTTAAAAAGCACATAATTGAATCGCATTGTCAAGCTTCTCTTAATGGTGCTCTCAACAAGTAATTTTGTCTCCTCTTTCCTCGTAATCCAATGTACCTGACAACAATTTAGAAGAATTATTTATTAACGAAATTACTGCTATATGGTCTGGTCACTACTTGTCATAGCTGCGAAAGAGGAACAGGATTGTTTCATGACAATTGGAACTATAATTATTAAACATTTGAAAAAAAAACATATATATATGATGTTGGATGTTTTTTCTTTCAGCAATTTGTTACTGAATAAGAATCTCTCTCACGTTCTCTCAACAAGCAACCAAGTATAACGATGTTGAAACAACGAACAGTACACCTTCACACCTACCTATGTAGGAATTACTGTGAAGGCGTTAAAAATTTTATGGAATATTTGTATCTTTTGAAGCCTACGAGAATCAAGCAGCAGTTTTATACTGTGTAGAGCAATTGAAAACAGCTTGTCGTATATTGAATGACGATAAAGCATAATTTCTAACTGTCAGGTTTTGATAACCGGAAAAAAATAATTGAATAAACAAAGAAACATTTCAACAATGACGATACATCATATCATTAAATGAATTTGCCCGCCTTAAACCCCTGTGGTTAGGCAATGGTTTATGTAAAATACAGTCTTAGTCATGAACTCTCTCATAATAGCTCAGTATTACTAAGTGAAAGAGTGTGTAGGATAAATGGATAGTTCAACGAAAGATGAAGTTGATGTGGGAACTATTCAAGAAGAAAACAAAGAAGACACAAAACCAAAGCAACGTAAACGTAGACGAAAGAAAATGTTAACAGGAATTAGCAAACAACGAAGACTTGCAAACGAGCGAGAAAGGAGAAGACTTCAGGTGGTTAATTCTGCTTTTGTTAGTTTAAAGAATGTTTTACCACTGCCGTCTGTCGATCAAAAGATATCACGTATTGAAATTGTCCGTCTCGCATCGCGTCACATTGCTTCCCTGATGCAACTTCTACATCATGATGAAGATTTACAAGGCGTAGAAAATGAAGATTTTTGTTGTTCTGGTGATGAAATTGTGAGTGATGATGAGTTAATGGTTTCTCAAAGTGATTGGGACAGCATTAACACAAATGACCATTTGCAATTCTAACTAAAGCATCAGCTTCGAAATCGAAAGTCACAAGCAAGGTAAGCAAAGGCAACATATTCTTGTACATACGAGAGAACGCTGTTTAGAATTTTTAAAATGGGCATTAATTGATGTATATATTTTTTGAGTTTTTATTTGTTTAAATTGCGTTATTGAAAAAATAAATGCCAAGGATTTTCATTGATGTTTCGGTTAAAATAAGCAAAGTGTAGTTCATGCCAATCAATTTCTTTGGAATTGAGTGAACATTTATTCCACATTTCAGTTATAACTTTTGTAGCCATTTGATGTTAAACAGAAAAATATAATCTTATGCATGCAGGTCATCGTTTTTATCACGTAAATATTTTACTTTTACTAATTTCAATATCAAAATTAAAGGCTTTGTGATTTTTCTTGCGTTAAAAAAGAACCGGTTTACATTATCTTTGCATGAAATGGATTCATTTTTTTGTTGATACTGTCTTGTAGCCTTTTCAACCATGTGTGTTTCTCCTAGATCAGTTTCTGTATCGATGATAACATTGTTGGCTAGTACAATGTTAAAGTTAACTTTCATGATAACATAACTCATGGAAGCACGTTTCGAATATTTATCTTTGATAAAACTGTATTGATGAAACTCATGGATACTTTAGACTCAGTAGATCTATTTGAATATAGCTACGGCTTATTCAAGATCTTGTGAACTTGATTGAATTGTGAAAAGACATTTCAGTTCAGCATCGAAAAGATACCTGTATGTATATAGTTTATTAAGATGATATCATTAATATAGCAATATGTTCCATATATTGAACAGTACTATATAGAAAATATATGGCCAAATTTATATACAATGCTGAAGTTTTTGTACGAATTATCTGTATAGAGTTATTGACGCGTTCATCTCAAAAAAGAGTCATGTAATCATGAACTGTCTTTAATCTTCATTGATATTTTTATTTACCATAGAAATGAATTTTTTTTGCTTTGCAGCGAATGGTGTTTTGTGTTGTTGAAACGTCAGAAATTTGTCAAACATATTTTTATTTCTATTTACTCTACACATAAAATGTACAAATTCGCAACCTACGCTTTCACAGTTTATTCTTTTTAAAGCAAGATTTTTTGCATGCATAAATTGTTGTGAACATTTGATAAAGAAGTGATGAAAATGAGAAGAGTATGTGAGCCCACGCAGATCAAATAATATTATCATCTAGTTTGCGAAGAAATGTTCATTTTTTTAGAAGTGCAGGCAACGTAACACCTTTTGCTGACTATTATTAATGAACTTATCGATCATTGTGTAGGAGCAGACATCATTTCCTGTAAAATATTCTTCTTAAAGCCTCACTCAAACGTCTGCAAGAAATATTTATACATAGAGCGTTAAAAAAATTATTTGAAAAGTATCTTTTGTAGCTCTATACAGTAAAACTGGATAATATTACGGCGAAGGATTTATTGAGTAAAACCAATGTTTAGGTTTTCCAAAAAATTACAGTGAGAATCACTATTGAAGTGAATCTGTTATAAAATATCAACTCTGTTTATCACTTTAACAGTAAGAGTTTCACAATTACATGAAAGTAGAGTTTAAAAATGATATGAGCTTTGAAATCCATTACAATCATTTGGTGATGAATTTGAATACACAGTTTTTTAGAAGATATAAAAAAATTTTCAGATGGCAAAGCATGCTGGTTTTATTGAAGGCGAAATCATTAATCTATTGGTGGCCGGTCATACTTGTGCAAAAATAAACCAAGAAATACAAAATATCAAAACAAAATCATACGTATTATAATACAACTATACTTCCCCATGTTATTTTTACTCAATTATAAAAACAGCAGGAAGCAGCGACATGCTTAAACTTGACTGTATCGACATTGGCGGAGTTGTGCCGATGTATGACTACGAAATTCTCAAGTAGAGTTTAGTATGCACATTATGGGACAAAGATAGAGAAATGACTTCATATAATTCATTAAAATTTTTCTTTCAGTGGTTTGAAACAAAATTAGATTAGTCAGAAGCAATAAACAGTTTGTTGACATGAAGAGATATTTAAATAAGATAACTAAGCTAAAGTAACTAAAGAAGACAATGAAAGCTTTATGTTATTGTACAAAGGATAGGATGTAGCATCTCTACGACATAGCATTTATTTTCACTTTCATTTAATTTTCTGGGCTGGTGATCTGTTTCTAGAATCTTCCATACTGCATGTAGTCATAAAATACCATTTTATGACATTATTTTATTCAGGGAAAGCTGTGGTTTACAAAATAAGAAATTACAACACACACTTAATTCTAATCTTCGTAGACTAACAAAACACACACATGATTCTAATCTTCATAGACTAACACCAAACAAGGCGACTCCACACGATGACTTGCCTCTTTTCACACAAAAAAAATTACATCCAAAAGACAAAGTTGCAGGTGATATTTGGTTTACTACGTGTGGTAACATTGACAAGACAAATGTAGTCAACTTTCATCAACTTATTTTGATATTTGACGGAATGATTACTTTTAACTGTTACAATTGTTATAACCAAAAGTTGTTCTGCTTGAAAGATAAAACAAAGAAAAATGAATATCCTAGGAATCTATAGTGAACGATGAGCATTGCTGACGAATATAACCAAAAATTCAATGAAGGTGGAAAGTTTCAAACAAACATTATTTTTTTGATTTGTAATTTGAATTAACCTTAATTTCATAGATTAATTTTAACACGAGAACATTGAGTTTTACAGCTCATCCATTTATCATAATTGGTATTATTTGACAGGCCAGTAAAATCACACTTTGTCCACAACCGTTGAGTTTATTGTATGTTATTGTTATACTATTGAATTGTGTGATGGGCCATTCACTTGACGTTTATCAGTAATTTCTTAATAACAAAAATCAACGACAGAATGTATGACTGAACGAACCGTGTTACTTGTAAATGAAGAAATCATGAGATCAAGAAAATACAATTTTCATCAAATATCAAAGTAATCATAAGTTGCTTCCGCAATAAAACTGAAAATATATGTTCTATTTTAAAAAATAAAGCAACCAATAAAAATAAAATATAAGCGTTTGTATTGTTCGTCGCTGCTTCTAATCTTTCATTAACTTATATTTTAAGCGAATAGCATCATTGGTGTTAGTTAACATAGTCATCAACCTTTCTTGTATCAAAAATAACTCATCCAACGGTAGTTTGTTCAGAGCATCCAGGGAACTGCATGAAACAAAATCATTTGAAATCTCATTGTACGAAAAAACAGTTTCATGACAACTTTTCTTTGGAATTGAAGAATTCCTGTCATCGTTGTTACATTTATTTACCATCGTAATATCCTGATCGACCTGTCTGAAAATATCACCTGCAGACAGGATGTTAGTTTTAAGTAATTCAGGCGTCTTTTCTTCAGTACAGATTCTGGCATTAACAGTTACTCCGTGAAGGTCACTTTTAGTTTCAACACCTCTGTCAATATTAATTTTATCAACTTTGTCAATTTCTAAATGAACATCGTCAATTGAATTGTCTATTTCATCCGCAGTATCTCCCTTAGCAGAAGTGACTCTCCCAAATTCACAATTATCATCAATTTCATGTTGTTCCTTCATTATCCCGGCACCATCTGCACTGTACTTCATGTTATCTTTTACCGTAAGAAAACTTTCCCGAACCTCAACTTCATCAATACAATCAACTTTTTCATTTTCAGTAAATGTTTCAGATTCAATCTTTACTTGGTCATCTCTACACATTACAACTGCAGGCTGGTTTTTGCTCTTTTGGTTATTTGGACTTTCTGATTGATTATTCATCTCACAATCACGGCCACAAACGATTTCATTCGTAATCTCTGACTTAATTTTAAATAATGTCGTCGGAATCACAAGAGAAGATCGTCTTGGAGTTTCAGGTTTATCAGAAAAATTGCAAGAGCTCGAAGGAGTAGCAGGGACTGTATATCCTACTGGTTCTTCGTCATTTAAAGCACAAGAGTCATTGGGTGCTACACTTTTCTCAGAAACATCAAATGCGTCATTCTTCACGTCATCAGGGATCTCTTTTATTGCTACAACAAAAACACATTATAAGGTGCCTTAAGCAACTTTTCTTGCCAAAACTTTACTTTATTGTTAATGTAACAACCTACAGACGACTACAAAATTCCAGTGCTGAAATACGAACGATATCATATTATGTTTAGCGTGTACGTATTTGCACAGGAGGATTAAAAAAGTTCACTTGGTTTTCAATGTTTTGCCTATTGACCCTTTGCCCCCCAAAGATTTGTTGTCTCAAAGATCCCTTTAATAAGAGAAAATCAAAGTACCTCGTAGGTGATTGCTTTTGGCGCATTTTGGAAGACGATTTTCATGAAAACATCTTAGAACTCGACGAAGAGTTGAGACTTTAGGAGAACGAATGGGCAATTTCTCAACTTGCTGCTTGGTAAGAGATGATAGATTACCAACAGTCCGAATGTTTTGTGCATGTACAACATGACCCAGACCACGAATAAATCTGGAGGTTGCAAGTGATGGCAAAATTTGTTCTACAGGAGTACTGCACTCAACCAATTCTGGATAGACACAGTCATCATGATCTGATAATGGGGTTGATAAAATCTGGCAAAAAGTTGAAATAGCTTTTAATATAACGAAGATTGTAAAGATGAAAGTAGAAGGTGGGAGATTGTAAAGATGGCAGTGGAAGGTGGGAGATTGAAGATGGAAGGTGGGAGGAAGATGGAGTGGAAGGAAGATGGTGGAAAGATGGAAGATGGAAGATGGAAGATGGAAGGAGATTGAAGATGGTGGAAGGTGGGAGATTGTAAAGTTGACAGTGGAAGGGAAGAGAGATTGTAAAGATGACAGTAGAAGAAGAGTGTTGAAACGACAGTAGAAAGACAAGTGAGAAAATATCTAAGAAAAAAAGAAATCAAGGCACGAAAGGTAGGCTTCAATATATTGCATTAAATAGATTCATAACAATTGAAACGAAGAATTAATAAGAATACCATATTTGCTGATTTGATTAGAGTGAAATTGTTTGTTTCCGTTGTACTTTCTTCGTTAATATCAATCTTTTCATCAATAATCGGGAATGCAAACGAAACACGGCGTGTCTAAATATAAATATAATTCAGGTAAACAACGTACGATAATCTAAACTCAAATGTCATTACCGACATTATTGGGGTGAACCCCCCGGAAAATGATAAACGAAGAGATAAGACTGCAAAGGCTCTTACCTGTCCAGGGGGAGAAGGTGTTTCAGACTTCCCTCGACTTTTTTTCAAAATTCCAGTGGTCGGTGAAGAAGCCGGAGAGACGACGGAACGATAAAATTGGTCAAAATGTCTACCTGTTGTCGAAGGAATGCTTTGAACGAACTTAACAGATCCTGAAATTGAACACGATGGCTTGTTTCCAACTGATTCGTTTTCCATTATGATATCATCAGAAGGTTTATTGATGTTAAGAATCTCGTCTTTCTGTATTATTTGGGTATCGTCCATTTGGTGATCCGAAAATTCTTCCGAGTCCATCTGTGCGCTTTTGTTTTCAACTTCACCACAATGATATGTACTGTTAACAGTCGAGTTATTAATGCTCGACACTTTTTTAAGATCAGTGACAGCACGTTCTTTTGTTGAAAAATTTTCAAAAACAAACGAATCTTCGATCGTTGTAGACAATTGATCATTACAACATTCATCCCACGGCGAGAATGTTGTCGATTTTGTATTTGTTAAACTTGTCCCATGTTTTTTATTTCGCTGTTTGTAAGGAGTCGGTTTTTTCCTATAACGAGTGCGACTAGATACTGGAGATATTTTAGTTGTTGATCTAGTTTCCTCAGAACTGACATCATCTAAAATAAAATGTGTTTCTTTCTTAATGGTATCATATTTTGAACTGTTTTCTGTCGACTTATCGTTCCTTTGTTTAGTGAATGGGCTTGGTGTATTTTGAGATGGTGGTATAAGTTCATCATCATCCACTTTGTTAATATCAGAATTACGACTGTTTTTTGGTCCTACGTCTTTATCTTCACTGATATGTTTTGACTCAATAGTGAGTGTTTTGTTAACCTCCTTGGCTTGAAGAATGAAATCACCATCTTTTGATGATACAAAACAATTTAAAATAGACGGTGAAAATGTATTTTCTTCATTTTTTTCATCGCCAAGCATCTCTTTTATGGGTTGAATGTAGTTCTTGGACGCTTGTTTTTTAGGGGTTTTTTCAATGTTACTTCCATCGTTGATCACTAGAGAATCACGCGATGAAGAAAAATTAAAAATTATAAAATACAAAAATATATTCAGTTTATATATGGCGGAACACAGTAAATTCTATTACACATCTACGTATTTTTATAACATTGGTTGAATTTACATGAAATAAAGTTGATTTATACCAACCTTTCGCTGGGTTGTCTCCTTTTGTCTCCCTGAAAAAAATTTGAACAAAAAAACTCGGTAAATTAAAATTTCAATGAAAAGCATTTATCAACAAAAAAAATCATTTTGCGAAAAACAACAAAAGAACATACATATCACATTGATTCAAAGAGTATTCACTCCACTCATTAAATTGAGTTCCATCTTGAGATTGGTCAATCGTGCTATACAGCGCAGGATATCCACTACATAACGCAAGTTGAAAGACCTTACTAAGTAATAATGTAAAAGTAAGTACTTAAAATAATGACAGTTCATCTAAAAACTCAAAATTACAAAACTGTACATGACATATGACAAACCTTTCTAGCTTTTTCTGATTTTTAACTTCCTTTTGATGTTCAGTCAACAATCTTTTTTTCTTTGGTGACGGCGCAATTACAACGAAATCCTAAAAAATTTAATAATTTTGACCCTCTACAACTTTCGAAGAGTTATTTTTAAAAATGAAAATAAATTTTACATGTAGAGATGATTTTTCAAGAAAGTCATTAGTTAACACAAACTAAACAACATCTTATGGAACAAACTTTGCAAGTTATGCATTATAAAGTTCTCGCTCAAAGATTCACTTCAAAAACAAGAAACTCACCTTATCCTTTAGAGAATCTAATGGCAAAGGTAGTTTACGTCTGGCATTAAAATTACCAGGAAACTTTCTTTTGTTTTCTGGTGAAGTATGCTGGAGAAAAAGTTATTAAAACAATATGTTAAATACCAATAAATGAAATATTATGAAAAGGATCTTGCATGCTGCCAAATCAGTGGCTTGATTTCATCTTGGAGGAAAAGGGAGTAAAACACCACAAAACTGTCACTTAAATATATTAAGCATTATTTTATACGACTGACATTTTCAATGTACACATACAAAGACCTTAGTATGAGAAATATTGGAGGGTGTGGGGGTGTGCAGTGCCCCCCCCTTAGCCAGCACCTCTGTATTCAATTGATAACAGGTCGAGAGTACCACAAAAATAAGTACAACAGTCGCCACTGTTACCATACTTAAAGCTACTACGAAACATTTAAAAATTTATGTTAATAAAATTTCATTTTCACCTCTGGTTTGCTAGCACTGATACTTTTAAAAAGAAAACTTCCTTTCAATTTTTCTGGAGACAAAGGATCAAAACTTGTTTTAGGCAAGCATCGTGCTTGCGCAGAAATGCTATCGTTTGTGGTTATTTCTTCAGACTACATAACAACAATACAACAAGTCAGTATTTTTATTTTTGCGTTGAATAAGAATGACAAACCCTTGCAATGGTTGGTAGGGTTAGGGTTGCTTATTCAAGATTATATTTCAGTGATGATTTATTTACGTCTAGTGTAATAGTAATACTGGAAAATCTTGGCAAATTTCTCACGTCAGACGTTCATTAGAGACAGAACAAAACTTGATCGTGTAAAATTATTTCTTACGTCATGCAACAAAACTCACATCTTCAAATGCAAATGAATGACTCGATGACTTCTGCCAGCCAGGCAAAGAAAGTTGATTCTTCTCACTTACTTTTCTCAAAACATCACTAATACAAAATAAAAGAAATAGGTTACAAAAACTTCTTGAAATGTTTAAATAGATAAAAATAATACTTTCAAACTGACAAAACTGACTATGCACTGACCTCAATGAATCTGGATAGGAAAGATGTTTTACTTGACCAAATGTTGCATTCCAGAAAACAATAGTTTGATTTTTAAATTGTTGCCGTTGATGACATAAAGTACATTCCTGACAAAACATGTGCAGTTGTACAGATGAAAAAATACAAACGATATAACATTAGCATAAATCTTGAAGCCATTTTATGGCTACTGAAGATATTACTTTAGACTAAGGATGCAAGGGTAGAGCAAAGTTTAAAAAAACAGTCTTTTGTCTCGCAATTTCAATCCAAAGTAAAATGTTTCATTAATTTCTTCCATTTCATCTTATCACGAGGCAAACATCCATTGACTTTATGGTAGATAAAGATTTTCAATAAAACTTACACACAAGCTATAATCTAATTATCTAAATAACCACTTGTTACCAACAGTTTACAGGAAACTAATTTTCTTTCTGTTCACGGTGTAACGTCTATGATTGTTATTGGCTACTTTGCCTTTACTTATTGAGTTTATATACAAAAATATCGGACACCCAACCCAAAAAAAGTTGATGTAGTTTGATATTCCTTTCATACTAATCGCTCTACACTTGCAACAATAGTGTAAAGTTGCCTGGCAAATAATCACTTACAAGAAGATCACTCATCGTTTCAAGGAGGGAGGAGTCATAATCAGCTTTATAACGACTTTGCAAACACAATAGATATCAGACCATAATTTCTCAACCTGAAACACAAATATTATAACATTTCCACAAATACAAAACAATAATAGCACGAGTTGTACAAAGGTGGAAGTCACATCAATTCATACTTTTAACAAGTATTTGGCATTGTTGAATTTTTTATCGCTTGAGCGGAACTCCGAAGGGCTGAAAAAGAAGAAAAATTGATGAAATTGAACAAATTTTGTCAACAACTATCTTTAAAGCTTTATTTACGCACCTTGTGCAATGCACATTTACAATAAACGAACAAAGTGAAGGAGATAGAGCAGCGATGATAGACTTGATTTGTTTAGGATCATTTAAGTTGGAAAAAAGCATTGACAAAGATGTACATATAGTAACCACAGCTGGTGATACAGTCACTGATCTCTTACAGTCCTGAAACAAAACATTAAAATCGCCATTTATGACTATACACAATCCCTAAAATATATGATAGCAAAATCTTCTTTGCATCATGACCAAAAATTGTAAATCCCTTTATTTACTAAGTTTAACAATCTTATCCTCTATTCTTAGTATTCCCTCTACCTCAATTTATTGTTAAATTTCTAATAATTATTCTTTTGTTTCGTCTACTCTTACCACACTCATTTCCCTCCCTCCCTATTTAATCCCTGTGTTCAGTCGTTAAACCCTTCACTTTGCGATTATCTTTATTCATTGACTTTTTCTTATTCTTTCCATCATTTTTTTAGAAATTTGTGTGAAACAAACAACGCAAATAAAAAGACAAACCATAAAACCTTTGAAAAATCCCGGGTAGAAGTTAATTACAGATAAAATAGCTGATAAACGATTATTTCAACTTACCTCATCAAATTTGTAGGACAAACTCAACATTTTACAACACAATGTGACGACACTCTTGAGATTTCCTAGTGGACTTTCAAGTTTCTTTGCAAAACTACCGCTCGGTGTAAGAAAACCCCGCGAACATGACAAAGGTGACGTCAAGTTATTTTGACTTGAAAAATCAATACTGTCAATCATAACGTTCGTAAAACTGCTTACACTATCAAGAAATTTCATTTTCTAAAAGCATAAATGAAATTATAGAGTTTCAGTAATGCTTGCCTTATAGACCATCGTCTCTTTCAAATACGTACCTGACATCTCTCCACAGAAACTTCGCTTAAGAGAACCTTCGATATTTCTTCAATAAAAATATTGTGTTCAGCAGAAGGAATAACAGAAACACAACGAGAAACTAGCCGATAAAAATCAGCTAAGTCACAATCCAACTCCTTTATTGTCACCTAAAATACGAAATAAGACAAAACGAATGTTGCCTTTTGTCAGGAAAGTTAACTAACGTATGAACTCTTGTAATAAAGCTTCTCCTATAACGTCTGCAAACGTTTAAGGCTTTAAGCTTCCACAAGTCAAAACTTGTTTATTATAAACATAAAAGACAAAAAGCCGAAAAATTCAATTAGCATTTGTACAAAATTTTCACACACCAATGGTAATCCACCATTAAATAAACATTTAAAAGGGAAGTTTAACAACAAGACCATCAAAGTGAATTTAGGATCCAACGAGTCTCCTTCATTTACATCTGAAGTCTAAAAGTTAAAAGTATTAAGTACTGTTATTTCAAAATGTTTTTGTTGTTTTCGGATAGATTTGGTAGAATGCTGCTTATGATTGCATTGATCGTTCATGTGCATGAAAACACAAAACTTACTATGTTTTATGAATCAATTTAACTCTTCCCTCCCCAGTTATATACAAAGTTGCACAAGTAACAAAATGACAGTCTTATCATCATTACCTTGGATACGCATTCAGAAACTGAATCAGTCACTTTACTCCAAAATCGCCAGAGATCTTCAACTTTTGAAATCTCACTACAAACACAAGTTTAAATAGTTATTGATCTTGAATGATTTTTGTCCATACAAACATGAGAAAAGCTATCGTAAAAAGCTGAAATCTGAAAAAACAATTTTGCTCGTAAAATATAAACAAAATTTCTGTGAAAAACCATAAATTTCTCTATATAAAAATATAAACGTAAATTTCTGTATACAAAAAACCCCAGCGTGCTATACAGAGCTTGGGTGAAATAACAATATCCGAAGAACAATACTCAAAAGCAACAAAACTTACGATGCTAAATCTTCAAGAATCCCCCAAATCTTATGAACTGTCTTCAATTTTCCAAAAGGATCTTCAAATGATAAGTCCACCAGTTTCTCAAACACAACATGAAATCTAGGAAGATGAAAATTGAGAAATTCTTCAGCTTTCTTAATTACGCATGATGGCTTTTCTACTTCCACGTACGTACCACGTGTGGACCACGTATGGACCACGTGACCACGTGGACCACGTGGACCACGTGTGGACAAGTTAAAAATAAAATAACAAAGTATTACACATTGAAATACCTCTCATCAATGTAAGATTCTTTAAAGTGAGATAACTGCTTAAACAAGACATCAGTAAGTTGAAAAATTGGCTTTCCCTCATTACAACATGCTGTAAGATTTTCAAATGAATGCACCAAATACTTGACTGGAATTGCTGTTAGAGTATCAAGGAACTTCTGAAAAGAGGATGACAAGTAATGGTTACTTGAAAAACAACTACATTTTGCATTTTATGAATGAATAAAACTCACTAAAACAACCGATGAAGACAACAATGAAGATGAAATGACATCATTTATAGTTAGAAACAACGATGAAATAACGTCATCCACATATTTTGGTTCACCATTTTCAATTAAAAGAATGATACGATCCACAAGATTTTTCCACAATACTAACTGAACATCAGCTGCAATAAAAGTAAATCATTTTTTTAAATAGTTGCTTTTTTCATAGAAAACTTTGAGGTCGTTTACAAAATACGGATCACAAAATACCTGTCAATTACACGGTACAAATACGCACATAAAAATACTTACCGTTGACTAACTCTCCACAACAAAAAACAGCCTTCATGGTACTCAGGAAGAAATGAAGATTGTCATTAAATAAACCGCTGGTCATTATCGGCTCAAATATATGCTCTAAAACATGAATGAATAAATCATTTTGCACTTGCATTTACAAGCCCTGTTAATACTTCATGTAGCAAAAACAAATACGAGTTCCTTTTAGATTATGGACCAGCTTTCAAGTTTCAAAGACAAATAAACTTGCGAGCATCGGGAAGAGTATCCCAAATGCTTTGAAAACAAATGTCCCCTTATAGTAAGAAATCATGACGTACGTACCAGTTAAATAATTTCCGTTTTGTATTCTTTCTGTGTTTGCAACGAGTAATTCATGAAACATCTCACAGCCCAGCGTCATGATTTTCTTCACAAAATTTTTGTCAAATTTGCTTGAATTAAATATCATTTTCTTTCTCCTTGGAGTATCGCCTGACTTACATGAAGATGGCGTGGCAAGAGACGCCCGCGATACTGGTGTCACTGGCAGTACTAGTTCCGTCATTGCTTCTTTGTGGTGTCCAGAAATGGAGGAAGGAATATTTTCAACATTGAAGAAATATTGTAGTAATGGAAGACATATCTGTTGAAAACACGTTGTTCACGATATAAAAACAAGCAAACAAAGTATAGTACAAGATTTTAACGCAACTGCACAAAAAACAAAATGAAACATATTTCTATAAAAAACTAGAGTCGTAGCAACGTTTTTTTTACAACACAAAATGTTACAGCAGATAAACATGGAATGCTTACCTCACAAAATATGGATGTTTTGCAATAATATTCAGGTTTAATGGAGCAGATTAAATGCCACCAGGTTTGAAGACGACTGCACTCGACATCTTCGTTTATAAAACTACTTGATTTCTAAACCATGAAGATATAAACATATTTAATCAGCTGGACGAAAGATGCCAAAAACTGTGATTTAAAAAACTGTAATGTTTTGAAGAAATAAAGAGGAAGTTAAAATGTGAGAAGTACAGGAAGGGATGAGATGAAAAAGTATACATCGATGTTCAAAGAAAACTTACCAACAAAGGCAACATTAAAAGTTTGATCCTTTTCGCTGATCCTATGTATGCTACAATATGACATAAAATGAACACTATAAAAATGCAATTGTTTTCATATAAAAATATCAACAAAAACATTTTATTGTTCTCTGAAAAAGAAAAATTAATTTCCTTATCGTCATCAGGTACATTGAACGCTCTCAACCAATGAAAATACAAGAAAAAGGGACTTACAAAAGTGATATCAATAAAATATTAATAATTACACATAACCTATGTATTATTCGCTATATAATATTTATGTGTGAAAACATAAAGAACTCAAACAAACTCATACACGGGAAAAACATAAAAAACACACAACGTAACCAAGTAAAGATGTCAATTACCGGGTGAAATAGCGAAATTATCAATTAAACATATCCACACACTATAGCTTTTTGTTTGAACAACAGGCAACGATGATCTAAAACCCTGAAAACAACAGTGAATTGAGTCAACGTTAATAAAACATTTACAAACTTGTAAAACGTTGTTGTATGCACGTGTACACCGATATGCCATGTTGATGAAAATGAAAATTCGAAAATACTAAAAAACACAGTTAACAACAATGTGAAAGACCTGTAAACTTTAACACAAGTGTGACATTCTATTATCACTGTATCGTCTGTCTTGATGAAGAAGAAAATGAAGTAATCCAGTCTCCATGGCTTACAAAAATTATTTAGTTGTCCTAGTTTTGTCAAACACATAGAAAACACAAGAAAACCATAGCAGCCCAGCGTCACTAGAGCATTTGAGAAGCCGCATCAAATGAATGATCTCCTCGAAAGTTGATTTCTCGTCGGAATTTATATTTTGATACATAGCACATTCATTTTTGTATTAATAAATGGTAGAGGCTTAAACGTAACGTCTTTTTGCGAAACTGTTATGGTTTGAAAGTAAATTTATCGATTCCACAAAAGAGAAATTGCGCTTTTTGTGGTCATGTATGCAGTTCAACAACCTTAGAAATGAGCAATTAGTGAATGAAAAAGTATTTACCTGTTCAGGAATCTTTAACATATCATTTATAAAATTACCACCTTTGTGTAAGCTCTAAATTAAATCGGTTAACATAGTAACACAGAAAATTAAAAAACAATGACTCCTAGTTAGTTAAAGGCTTACCTCACCAAGGATGGTGACCAAAATACCCCAAGTTCTTAACACAAATAGTTCTCTCTTTCCAGAGAATAAATTTGCAAGCTGGGAAAGCATACCCTATAAAGACAGAACTTACAGCATGCTTTCTAAACAAATTACGTTAACTGCATTTATACATGTGACTAGCATGTGCATTCAACTTACTCCTTTAAGGTCTATTA